GCACTTGCCTAGCATGTACAAGGCCCTGCGTCCGCCCCCCCCCCCCCGTTACCACCACCCTCCAAAAAACGTAACAACACTTTTTGAGCCCTTAACCTCATGGACCAAAGCCCATTCCTCCTTCAGACCGAGAAGGATCCTCTTTAGCTTGGAGTGAAGCACAGGAAAACTGAAGAATGCTTCTGTACCACCCACAGTGCCTCTCAATTTGCCACTGTTTCCTCAGGAATGTTTCTAGACGTTTTTCTAACCACCCTCACCATGAAGTTGTAACAACACTGAGAAACAAGCCATTATGGATCACCTAAGATTCTTTTGCTTTCTCCCAAGGACTGATTTTCACTTTCCCAGGGGATATCACCCTCACTCAGAGCACATTTGCTGACATACAGAAAGAAACCTGCTAAAAACTGGTTGGTCCTACAGAGGAGGTCACATGGAATGAGAAATGGCAGAGGTGCCCTGGAATCTCTGTAGAACACTGCATTGCTTGCACATCATTCAAAGTGGATCATTCATACATTACTTTACAACAGAAAAAACTGGAAACAAACCACAGAGTGGGTGAACAAACTACACAGATGGGCCATACCCACACTCTGGACCACTACTGCGATGAAAGCAACAAACTACTGTCACTCAGCAGCCTAGGTAACACTGTCACACCCTGGGCCCAAAGATGACAAACAGCTATAGTGCCGAGGGCCAGTGGGAGAGGGAACTGCTGAGTGAGACGGCAATTTGGGGAATGAGGAACCATATTTAGCCTGATGATAATAAAATTACACAGCATTTGTCAAAATTCTCATTCGATACCAAAGAAACACTACTATATGTTTTCAATGTTTTACAATCCAAGATGATAAAACCTGCTCTTGCACCAACATACATGATTTTAAGATTTATTTTTACAATAAAACACAACAAAATATCCAGTTATTGGAAATGAGACAGAAACTATGGAGGGGTCAGGGTTGTGCATTTTGGCCAAAAGATGCTACATTCACAAGAAGGCAGTAGGAAAAGATGGCTCCAGAGGCAACAGGTACATGAGCTCTACTGGACAGGGCTCAGGAGGGAAGCCTAGCCTGGCCCACCACTGTTTCACCTTGGCCAGAGACTAAAACGTCCCACCAGACACACAGGTTTACCCAGCAACTGGCCACCAACCACGAAGTATTCTAGCCCTAAAACAAACCATGGAGTCTAGGAGGGAAGAAAACAGTCTAGAAGCAGCTTCTAGTTGTGGGCACTGGCAAATGAGCTGATCAGACAAGGATGGAGCCCTTCCAGATAAAACGACTAACACATGACGGGCCGAGGGTGCAAGAGGAGGATGGGAGATCTGCCTGCAGGAAACAGCACAATGGTCAGACCTGGGGCTGGTCCACAAGGAAGCCCCACGCGTCCTGGGTGGGACGCCAAGCCTACAAGTCCACACCCCAGGATGAGAAGAACACAGGCCCAGCAGCTCAGTCTTTCCTCCAACTAAGCAAGCACTCCGCCTTCAGCTGGACCACATGCTCCTCACCACGTCCCCTCAGACGTGCCCCAGCGGGACAGTCCTGGCCTTCCAACAGCAGGCTTTTTTTTTTTTTTTGGGGGGGGGGTACTGGGGATTGAACTTACGACCTCAAAGTTTGCCAAGCAGGCACTTATGCCGCTGAGCTAAATCCCCAGCCCTAACAGCAGGGTTCTAACTCAAGAGCACATCAGGTGTCTCAAAAAGACACCCACACACACACACACACACACACACACCAGATTAATCTTTACTAACCTATCTGTATGTGGAGGTTCCCACCAAATCCTCCTGGAAATCGTTTTTCTTTTGTTTTCTTTCATCTTTTTGAGACAAGGTCTCGCTATGCAGTTCAGGCTGGCCTTGAGCTCACTCTGTAGCCCAGACTGGTCTTGAATTCGCAAGGATCATGCTGCCTCAGCCTACCAAGTGCTGGAATGATTACAGGCGTGCGCCCCCACCCAGTTTTCATTAATATCCTTATACTACAGATATCAGTTGGAGCACTCACTACAGCCGAGACTGACTCACTGAGAATGTAACAGAGCCTAAGGAGTGGGAAAATCGGGCTACATATGACGGGTACTAAGCGCGACAGAACAGGAGGAACGCGGCACGGAGGAGACCCCCAGGACAGCGACCCGGCAGAAGCAAAGCGAGCCTGGGGTGGGGCAAGGGGCCGCGAGGCGGCGCAAAGGAGCCACCGCACGGGAGGTCGGAGGGCTCCGGGCGGAAGAGCTAGGACCCGCACCTCCCGCGGCGGCGGCGGCTCTGAGCACGCAGCGGCTGGCGCTCACCACCCGAAGCCCCATCACAAGGCCCGTGCATTTCGGTTTTTGTTTCGCCTGTTTTTCTGCAGGGCTAGGATGGAGCCCGAGGCCTCGCCTGGGAAACCCCACCGTGGTGCCACACCCCCGGCCCCGAGAGTCCCGCGCGACGCGAAGGACGCCGGGCTGCACGCCCGGGCGGGGACCCGGATTGGGCGCTGGACCGAGCGACGAGGGCCAGGGTCGCGCTGAGGCGGGCCCGCGAGAGGCCACTCAGGGAGCCGCGAGCCCGGCGCAGGATCTGGGCCCGCAAAGGCCCAGCTACGATCCGGCCGCGTCCTCTCGCCCGGAGGGGCGGCGGCGCGGGAGGCCGAAAGGGGGAGGGCGCTCGAGCCCGGGACGGCGGCACGGCGAGACCCGAACCCAAACAGCGCGCAAACCCCCGCCCGTGGCGTCACGTTTACCCCAGCCGGGCACAGCGCGCGAGTCCCGCAGAGACCAAGAGCCACCTCCTGGCAGCGGTCCCGGCCACTGAGAACACAGAGGCGCCCGGACGCGGCCCCGCCGCCCGCGACAAAGCGCCGCCGCGGCCTGCTCCCGACGCGACCCGGCGGCCGGGCTGAGGGGCCGCCGCGAGAGCCCGCCGGGCCCGGCCCGGCCCGACGCCCAGACGCCGCCCTGCCGCCGCCGCCGCCACTCACCGTGGCCTCCAGGCCGCGCTCCGCCGCGTCGGGACGGCGGGAGGCTCGAGCGCTCCTCAGCCGCTCGGCGCATCCGGGTCCGGGCGCAGGAAGCGGCAGCGCGGCGGCTACGGCAAGCAGGAGGGACGCGCGGTGCCCAAGTCGGGTGCGGCCTCCTGCCGCGAGAGGGCGCCAGACGCCACCCGGCCTGGACGCTGGGGCCCGGGCCGAGGCGGGGCTGAAGGCCAGCGAGGCCGCAGGGCGGCGCTGCAGCAGAGCTGACGGACTCCAGAGGGTTGTGCCGGTGCCTGACTGGAGTGGATTCGCTCGGGCGAATTCGGGCGGACTCAGGCAGCGCGAGCGGAAGGTGTCCAGGGGCCACGTGGTGTAGGTCCGTGGTGGCCGCTCGGAGGCTGGGACAGCATGTTCTCAAGCCCCAGGGTGCAAAACCCAGACACCCACGCGTGCAAAGGGAGGTCGGGAACTGGCATAGCATACAGCAGAGCACTGCTCAGCCAGGAAGGGGACAGACCTGACATGCCACCATGTGAGCCTAGCGAGCGACTGAGGAAAGAGCCACGCGCAGAAAACCACGTGCTACAAAGGCGGACCCACGGGGGCCAGGGGCCAGGGGCCGGGAAGCACAGGGCGCCCGCAAGGTGCAGGTAGTGTGATGTTTGCAGTTTCATGAGTTTACTAAAAGGCCACAGAATTGTACACTTGAGGTTCTGGGGATTTGCACTGAGCTACACCCCCAGTCCTTGGTTAACTTGTAGGATCCTCCTGCCTCAACCTCCCAGACTTCTAAAATAATAGGTGGTGCCAGGACACCCGGTTACTGAATTTAACACGTTAAAAATGTAACTTTTAGGGGCTGGGGATTTAGCTCAGCGGCATAAGCACCTGCCTTGCAAGCAGGCAGTTGTGAGTTCGATCCCTGGTACCGATAAAAAGGAAAAAGGGGGGGGGGTGTAACTTTTAAACCTGAACTTTTAAACCTGATGTGGCCAGCAGACCTGTAACTCCAACACTAGGGAGACTGAGGGAGGAGGACTGCTGTGACTTTAAGGCCAGCCTAACACACAGGGATACCCATCTCAAAAAAAAAAAAAAAAAAAAAGTGTGAATCTTGTGCTGCATATAAAATTAACACTGGTTTTGATTTTTTTGGTCTGTTTTGGTTTTTTGGTACCGAAGATCAAACTCACAACCTCGAGCTTGCCAGGCAGGCACTTAGGCTGCTGAACTAAATCCCCAGTCCCAGTTTTTTGTTTGACTTTTTGAGACAGGGTCACTGTGCAGTTCAGGCTGGCCTTGGGTGCTCACTCTGTAGCCCAGGCTGGTCTCAAACTTGCAAGCATCCTCCTGCCTCAGTGTCCCAAGTGCTGGGATTATAGGAGTGCACCACCATGCCCAGCTTTTAGACCTGTATTTTTAAAAATCATTCTTTAAAAAATAAGTGTACCTAGGCATGGTGGCACATACCTCAATCCCAGGATTCTGGTGGCTGAGGCAGAAAGATTGCCATGTATTTGAGGTCAGCCGGGATTGCATAGTAAAACCCTGTCTCAAAAAAAAAAAAAAAAGCGCAAAACCAGTGTTTTTCACAAGCATGCAGGCTGGCCCATTGTCCCAGCTGCTCCAGAGACTGAGTCAGGAGAACCTGTAGGTCAGGGCCATTCTGGACAGCAGAGCAAAAACAGGTCTCAAAAAATAAGAAAAATGTTGTTTATAAGAGCAGCACAGGCAGAGGGGAGAAAGCAAGTACAGGCCTGAACTGAGAGCGAGGAAGCTGCCTTGGCAGAAGATGAGGCTGCGGGGACACAGGATGAAAGTGCAGAGGTGGAGGAGCACGGGATCGGGCAGAAGCACAGCCTGCATCTGGGCAGGCAATGGGGAGCAGTGGACACCCCAGGGCCCCACCCACTGCCGCCTGGCCCCACCTCAGCCTCCTGTGCTGTGAGCCTGCCTTGTGTTCCAAGCTCTGCAGTGTTCCAACCTCTTGACCAAAAAAACACAAAAAGAAAAAGCTAAATAAACATACATATTTAATAAGAAAATCTCAGCACTCAGGAAGCTGAGACAGGAGGATCACTGCAAGTTGGAGGCCAGCCTGGGCCACCAAGGCCCACACACTGATGCACCGACGAGTAAGGCGGGCTGTCCTGTGACAGACGGCACGGTCCTGAGGTGGTGAAGCTGGCCTGACAGGCAGGCCCAGAATCCTTGGCTCTGGAGTCAAGAGGTTGCTTGCAGTCCCAGGGGCTCAGTCTGTGTCCTGGTCACTGCCATCCATGGAGCTGGGGTCCTGCAGGACAGGGACACAGGAAGGACTGTAGGGCCAGCACTGTCCCACCTGAGGACACTGCCATGAGTCGTCACATTATTACCAGGCCCTGCCTGGAGTCTGTACCTTTCTCATTCTAATATAGTGGGCAATGGAGCCAGGCATGGTAGTACACGCCTGTGATCCCCCTCAGGAGGCTGAGGCAGGAGGATTGCCATGAGTTGAAGATCAGCCTCAACTTCAAGAAAATAAAAACTAAAAGAAAAAAACTGGACAATGGAGCAGGAACCAGGGCAGGGATTGGGGTGTGTGGTCACGGTCAGAGCAGACCCCACCCCACTGTGGCAGCACTGCAAACCCAGCCCTACCTGGATGCCAGAGCCTGCGGCGGCAGCACTGGCAGCGAGCGCGGTGGCACTGAAGTCGTGGACGGGCAGGGTGCTGAGCCACTGGGCCATGGAGCGCTCGTGCCGCTCGGTGCTGATGATGGTGGGGTAGATGTGCTGCTCCTTGAAGGCCGCCACCTGGGCCTCTTCCTGCGCCCAGTCCAGCGGCTCGTGCAGCCCATCCCCACCAAAGCGCTGGTTGTAGGTCTCGAAGTGCACCCGCTCCAGCACCAGGCCGAGCCCCGGTGCCTTGGGCACATCCACCTTCTCCTCGCCCCAGCTGCGCTCCAACACGCTCTCAGGGGCGTAGCCCTTCACGATGGCCACCACCAGCCCTACCATCTTCCGGATCTGGTGCATCATGAAGCTCTGGCCTTTCACCTTGATCACGGCGAACTCCAGGCCCTCGCGCTCGAAGGGCGGCTCACAGTACATCTCCAGCACGTAGCGCCGTGCGCTGGGCTCTCGAGGCCCCTTCTGCGAGGTGAAGTTGTGGAAGTTGTGGGTGCCCTTGTAGCAGGCCAGCAGCCGGTTAACCTGCTGCAGCGTCTCCGCGCTCAAGCGGTACGTCTCGTCCTGCACATCCCGGTCCTTGTGCGCAAAGGCAAAGGTGGGCAGCATGTAGAAGTAGGTCCTGGCGTCACACCTGTTCTTGGAGTTGAAGCCGCCTGTGACCCGCTTCAGCCCTGGGGAGGTCAGGAGATGCTCGAGTAAGCAGGGCCAGGGGCAGAATCCTGGCCTCTGCGTGGGCTGCGCCACTCACCAGCACCCGTGGAGGCCTAGGCTGCACTGGGGGCACGAACCTCTGGACCCACAGGCCAGGCCCGAGTGAACCCCAGATCTCTGACACACACGGTGTGGCAAGACTGGGGCCGAGACACCACCAGCCTCTCTTACCACACCCACAATCATGAGCCACAGGGAGGTGTCCAGAGACCCCTTGGGCCACCAGCCGGAGGCTGTTCTGCAGATACAGTTTCTTGCAGCAACACCTGGACACAACCCCAAAGCCCCTGAACAGAGCCAATTAGACGAGCCCATGGACAGGGGCAAGCAAGCAACTGAGAAGGAAGCCTAGGGCTCCAGCACGGGGGACACTGACTGGGCCATCTGTGGCACACTCAAACCAGGCATCTAGTAGCTCAGGGGGCTGAGGCAGGAGAATTTCGTGTTTGAGGCCAGCCTGGGAAACTCAGGGATACCCTATCAATAAATAAAGGGCTGAGAATGTAGCTCACTGGTATAACACTTGCCTAGCTAAGACCAGGCCCTCAGAACCATCAAATCCTCAGAACCATCAACCAAAAGGGGAGGGAGAAAAACTTATAGGCAGTGCCCCATCTACTGTGTCTGTCTGCACAGATTTCTGGAACAGGCGAGAACTACTGGGCTGAGGGACGACTCGGAGCCCTGCTGGGCATGCACAGAGCCCTGGCTTGCAATCCCAGCACCACGAAAAATGCCCCTGATGGTGGGGCCCAGGAAGCCGCCAGGGCTCGTGCAGGACGAACAGAGTACACACTGAAGCCAGACAGGCTGTACCCGGCTCTGCTGCGAGGCGTCTGCACCCCTCGCAGCCTCTACTTTCCCAGCTCCAGTGGGGCCCGGCACAGGTTCTGTGCACACTGTCCCACCTGTGTGGGCGACTACTCCCTTGGTGTCCTGTCCTGCACTTGACACCCTGGAAGGTTTCTGTGGTCCTGGACACAAGTGCTGCGCAAAGGCTGAAAGTGCAGGCAGAGAGTCCTTCACTGCTGAAGCACCAGGCTGTGTCATGCCATGTCACACTAACCACTGGGGAGCCACGCACATGGAGGCCTGGCTGCACGGCAGCCCTGGGGCCCTGGGCACACCGACTGCACGATCCTGCCCCCAGACATCAAGGAGTCCTCCAAAGGAAGAAGCACGGCCCAGGCAGAGAAGGCAATGTCTGGCTGTGGCGGACACACCTGCCACCCCTGCTCAGGAGGCTGAGACAGGACCCAGAGTTTGAGCCAAGTGTGGACCACATAAGGGAACCTCATCTTGGAAAAAAACCAAAGAGAGGAAAGAACAAAATCGAGCACCATGTCACAACTGAGCTCTGGCCAAGAGGCTTTCTGTGCCCATCTGCTTCACGGCAGGTCCTAAGGATGTGGGAGGTCCTGCCCCTCTCCACCTCCACGTCCCCTGGCACCTTTCGAGGAGTGGGGCCTATGCAACACGTGTCTCCCTGAGGCCCTCGGCCAGGATGCCGCTGTGTGCACCACGAAGCTCACCCAGAACTCGGATGTGGGACGGAAGGTGGCTGTTGATCTTGTCCAGAAGGCCGTCGATCAGCCACACCTTCAGGGACACGACCTGGCCGGCTGCAGACACACCCTGTGGGACAGCAGAGCAGGGAGGTGGATCCCGTTCCTGTGCCTGGCGCATACCAGCCCCCATGCAGGCTCCGCTTCAGGGCTGTCTGGTGGTGAGGGACCAGATGGGACAGAGCCCCACGTGAGCCCTGACTCCCAACAGAAAGGAAGGTGTGACGTCCGCGAAGGGACTCTGAGATAGCATGGGACAGACTCCCAGCACGATGCCTGCAATCCTGGGGGCACAAGAGAGTGACGGGGGCCCACAATGGAGTGATGGGGACTCTGGGTGGGCTGAAGGCTTGGGACTGGATTCAGTCCTTTTATGAGGGGATAAAACCTAACAAAACATTCTTGTTTGCTCAGCCCAGGGCTGGACTCGCCCCTCCTACTCAGTCTCAGCAATTTCTACTCCTTGAGTCTTTCCAAGTTGCAAAAACACAAACAGGGAACAGAACTATCTCGAGGCTGTGGGAGTTGTATGACACGTGCAAAGCAAGGGGCCTCGCTGAAATGCTCCCTCCCTCAGCCAACAGTTACTCTCATCTGCCTTCCAAACAGAGCTGCAAAGGGAAAAATGAAAAAGAGAATGTGGCCAGAAGCCAGGTGTACCAGTGCACACCTGTAACCCCAGCACTCTCCACGCTGAAGCAGGATCACTCTGGGAGTTCGAGGTCAGCGTGGGCTACACAGTGAAGTCAAGGCCAGCCTGGTACACAGTAAGACAGACTCTCAAAAAAAAAAAAAAGTAGTTCAGAGCCACAGCAGCCCCTGTTCCTTCCCGTGGCCCCTCCCCACTGTGGGTGCTGCAGGACGACGGCTCACAACTCACACCTGCCTCCCACTGCCTCTGCAAAGCTGGCGTGGCCTCACCTGGCCTTGGATCAGGACACTGGGTATGAGCCAGGTTTCTGGACAAGAGGCATCATGGCCTGGCACGGTGGTCCTCACCTGGGATCCCAGCCCTCAGTGTGCCCCCCAGAGCTATAGGCTGACACCCCGCTGCCCTGCAGCCCTAGCAGGTCCCTCAGCTGACACAGCTCCAGCCCCAGTGAGCCACCTGCTCACACAGGCCCTTCGGTCCACACTGAGGCCCAGGCTTGTGATGTGGGGGACCTCACCGCCAGACACCCAGCAACCAAGTCCACAGTGGACATGCTAGGCCAGCGTGATGCTGTGCTGAGAGTGGGGAGCATCACTGTAGGATGCACCCGAGAAGTGGACTTTTACACTCAGTGCATGTGGGAATGAACACTTGTGAGGTACACTGGGTTAAAAGAGCTGACTAGGAAAACCAAGTTTACCTCTTCCTTCTTAAATGTGGCTACTAGAAAGAATGCACTAGCACGGTGTGGCTGGCCTTTGTGTCCTCAGTCCCTTCTGCCCTGGGGGGCTGATGTGGCTGGATCTCAAGCAGAGGTCACGGCCACTGCGCTACCTGCAGGAGCCAGGCCGGCGCAGGCCAGTGCTGGCAAACACAGTCCTGCCAGCAGCAGGCACCGGGCTCCAGCTGCCCCTGAGAGGGTCCAGCTCCTGGACTCTGGTCAGGCTTGGCTGACTCCCGCCATTGCCCTCTGTACCCCAGGAGGCCTCACAGATGGATGCTGGGTGTCGAGTAGGCCAGCTCAGCAGGTACCTGCAGAGCTAGGGACAGAGATGCCACCTACCTTGTCAGTGCGGGCACAGCGCTGGAAGGACATCTTCCTCATGTCTTCACCATGATTCTCAGGGATGCAGCCCGCCCGGACCAGTGCGGACACCAAGTCATCTTCAATTGTCTTGAACTGTGAGGACCCCAGGTTCCTCTGCAGAAAAGACCAGACTATTCCACTGCCAGTCTGAGTGATAAAAACCACCAGTCCCTTCCTGCCAAGTGCCCACACCAGGGGCCCAGTGACAGCCACACCAGGCCTGTGTAGCACCCAGGCCCGAACCACTACTCTGCCGGTATCCCCTGCAGGAAACTGCTGGGCAGGCTGGGCTGGCGTCCAGGCCTTTCCTGGACCATCAGCTCTCACAACCACCAGGCAGCCACCCAGAATAAACCATGCCAGGAGAGGACAGCTCTGTCCACAAGACTCCACATCGCACCTTTCAGCCTGGCCTAACAGAACCCAGGGCCCAACCTCAGGGACAGTGACGCCTTGCTGACCTTCCCGGGGGGGGGGGGTGACTGGTAAGGGAGCCTTTCCCAAAGTCCAACTTACAGGCTCTTCCAGTATAAAACCATGAACACTCCTCAAGTGCCGTCAGGAATCTTACCCTGGCTGGGAGCTTCTCACCACCCCCTCTTCCCTAACAAGGAGCTAAGACAAACAGAAGCTGATGAGACACAGAGTTCGAAGACAGCGCCTACGGCACCCATCTTATATAATCAGAATTACTCTCAAAAAAGCCTAAGTTGGGCCAGGGACAGAGCTCAGCAGCACAGTACCTGCCTGGCAAGCACAAAGTCGTGAGTTGAATTCCAGATACCAAAAAAAACGTAAGTCACCCACAGAGTGCAACAGAAGCAGTCTGTCTGCTCCACCTAACCTTTGCGGCTAAATGAGACTAAAACATTTTCTATCCTCTGGTCATCGTCTACCAGCTGCCAGGAAATGAGTCTGATGGCCAGGAGTGGTGGCACATGCCTGTGAGTCCAGCGCTCTGGGAGGCTGAGCAGGAGGAACACAAGTCCCCCAGCATGGGCAACTTAGTGATTTAGTAGGACCCTGTCTCAAGACAAATAATGTAAAGGCCGATGGAAGTAATTTGGTATAAAGGCTCTGTGTTCAGTCCTCAGTACAGCGTTTACTTTCTGAAGGTGAAACAAATGTGAACTATTTTGTTACCAGTGTCATTCATAGGATAAAAACTGTTCATACTCCTAGGCAGATTACACAGTTATCTTCCTAACATTTCAGTGAGCACCTGTTTACAGCAGGGAACTTGGTCCTGTGGGCCATACACACAGAAATTCAAAGAGCATGAAACCTCGGAGACTGAGGCAGGAGGATCCTTGCAAGTCCAAACCAGGAAGGAGGGGGTTCTGCAGGAGGGACCAGAAGAGGAGCAAGGTCCACCTGCTTTGGTGGGCTCCAATGCGGAAAGGGTCCTGTTGGTGCCAGATGCACAATCGAAAGGGTGCCTGCTTGTCCAGGTCTACGTGATGCTCCCCATGTGGGCGGAATCATCCCCCAAAGTATCCTACTAGTAGGCCTGGCTGGCTCAACCTGTCCGGGAGGTACTGCAAGCACTCTCTTGGGACTGATGAAGAATCCAGGCAAATCTGCCTGTTGGCCCAGGGTCACACACGGAACAGGCACGCAGCCAACCCGGGCACCCGTGGGAGACACTTCGGGTGCTGTGCTAACCAAACCCCCCACGGTCTCTCACTAAGCAAGGCTTGATGAAAGCGGCCTGGACTCAAACCTAACCCTTGCCAGCTTGGCCACCAATTCTGCTTCCCCTTTCCTGGGCGGACTCTTCTCTGAGGCCCCCCTGTGAAGCTGGCATTAGCGGGGTGCTGAGTCTCACCTGCATGCCGTGGTAACCCTTCCCCGAGTAGGCCATGAGCAGCACGATCTTGCGCTTGGGCAGCTTTCGCGGCTGCTCCTCGACCTCGCTGCCCCGGACTCTCTTGGGGGGATTCTGCGCCTCCTCCCAGACCCGGGCCCCACGAGCCTTCCTGTCCGACGGGGGCGCGGCCGGCGCGGGGGGCGCCTCCTTCCCCGCCATCAGGGAGAGCCTAGGAGGGAGACACGGCGGGCAGGCGCGCGGGGAGTCAGGCCCCGGAGCCCCGAGCGGCTCAAGCCCACCCCAGCTCCCACCTCCGCTCCTCCACGGGGACCGGACGCTCGGAAAGGCCCCTGCAGGGGGCGGCCGGGGCATGCACTGGGGGGGCTGACGCCCGGTCTTTACCAGCGGGCGCGCAAGCCGGGACGCGCCGTGCACCGTGCCCAGGCTCTCAGCAGCGCGGCCTGCAGGCTAGGGCCGCCCATGTGCAGCGGGGTGCGGGAGCCGGCCCTCGATCTCCCGAACCCCTGGCGTACTCTGACCTCCGACCTCCTCGGGACCCGGTGCCCCTGCCCTACCCGCGACGTCCTGACTCCCGAGTTGACCCCGGACCTGCGGGGCCCTTCCCCTGCCCCTGCCCCTCCCAAGGTGCTGTGCTCGGGAGCCGCGGTCCCGCCCGCGCGTAGGCCCCCAAGGGTCGCCCCGTCCACCCCGCTCAGGGCGCCGCAGACGCACCGAGCCGACCACGTGGGCAGGGCGGAAGAGCGCGCGGACCGGACGGTGGCCGGGCGCAGACAAATGTCCTCTGGCGAGGGGCGGGTTTCCCAGCCGCGCAGCCGTGAACGCCGCGCGCAGAGGTCGGCGCGCGCTCCGAGCTCCCGTGTCGTGACGCGCAGCCGTAGCCGCGCCAAGGCCTCGGGGTGACCTCGTCGTCCGGCCAGCGAGCACGCACTGGACTCTCCACGCGCACCCCGAACCTGCGCCGCACCCAGTCGCTGGGGTGCGGGGTACCCGGACGTCTGCTCCGGGTGGGCGGCCACCTGTGGACTTCCCCCTCAGAAAGTCTCCCTAGACGGACGACAGATCCGAGTCGGCACGGTGCAGGGACTCGTCTCGGGTGACAGCCAACAGTCACAGTGCTGGGGTACGCCAGGGCTAGGTGCCCAGGCGAACGCTGCAACACAGAGCTGCACCCCGATCCACACTACGCCCTGCCGGCTGTCACTGCTCCAGCAGAGTTGGAGCTAGAAATGGAACAAGATGCTGCCCCCACCTGGCATCTCCTGCACGCGGGAAGCTTACCGCACTGCTCTCACTCCCAGAAGGTCTGATGCCTGCACAAGCGGCCCGCAGAGCTCGGCAGCCGGTCCAGTGCCTGCCCTGTACAGGGCCCCTATGACCGACAGCGTCCTCAGTCTACACTCCTTCACCCTTCTCCAGTCGTCTTTTGCATCGCCCTCCAACCCTCCTGCCTCCTTCTGCATAAAGCCTCACCGGCTTTATGCCGGTGCCACTCACCCCTGCTTGCTTGACCAATCTTGAACTGTGGGCAGTGGGACAAGCCTGTTCCAAGCTGGGTAGGGGCAATGCAAAGGCTCTGGGGCAGGAGCATGTGAGCTTCTTCCTGTGGAGCCTTGGGGCAGGACATCCACCTGGAGTCTCCAGTTAGAGAAGCCACAAGGATGCCAGGGGATGCAGGAAGTGCTGGGGACAAAGCTAGGAGCCAGGGGTCAAACCCCTAAGCACCTGACAGGTCACAGGGCCAAGGTAAGGGTGTGGGGTAAGACAGATGAAAGAATCCCATGCCTCCCTGCCAGGGGGCTGCCTCACCTTCACAGGTGCTGCTGCTCACCCCTGTCCCACTGAGGGCAAACCGAGGCAATCAGAGGGTTGGAACAGAGGCTGACCTCCTGCCTGAGCCCCACTCTCTAGTCACACCTACCCTGCAGTGGGCACAGAGATGAGTGGATGCCCAAAGGACTGGATGCCCTGACTGTCATTTGGAACCAGTGAGCCACCGGGGCTGGGGTGGGGAGTGAACAGGTGTGGCACACGTCACCACACACGTGTCAAAACCAGTGACTGCGCAACCCCAGCACGAGTAGGGGCTCCGGTGACCACACAGTGTTGTCATTGTGCCGAGGAACCCAAACATGCAGATGATGGACCACCGGGGAAGCGAGGCGAAGCCAGAGTTCTCCATACTTCTTGCTCAATTCCTCTGTAAAACCTAAAACTGCTGGGGCTGGGGATTTAGCTCACTGGCATAAGCACCTGCCTTGCAAGCAGGTGGTCGTGAGTTTGATCCCCGGTATCCATTGAAAAAAAAAACACCTAAAACTGCTGTGAAAAGTAGTCCACTGAGGCAGCACCCAGAGCCCCACGGGGGCAGCTCTGCTCTGCAGCCAGTTGCTCTTCTGGGAAAGGCGCGTGCAGGCTGGGGGAGACCCAGTTTGGGTCCACCTTGCGCAGCAGACTTTCAAGCGCTTACCTCTCCATGAACTTTCATTTTTGATATTCTGTTTAGCCTTTCTGGTAAGTTATTTTTATCCTATAAAAACAATAGTTTAAAAAGCATAAGCCCCGCAATACAGTAAAAATGCAAAACCAGTCAAGTGCTGGTGGCATACACCTGTCCCTGAGTCTGGCAGGAGGATGGCAGGCTCCAGCCCAGGGGCCAGGACACAGCTCAGTGGCACAGTGCCTGCATGGCAAGCACAAGGCCGAGTTCCATTCCCAGTACAAAAAGAAAAGAAAAAAAAACACCCCAAGGAATTACCACAGATCACTTGAGAATCACATCAGAGAGGCCCCAGCTACTCTGAGGCAGTGGTTGGGGAGCCTTTAGGCCTGGGGATTTGTGGTCAGGCCACACCAGACCAGGAGCCCTGCAACTGTCAAGAACAAAGGTGGCCCATGAAACGAGTACCCGGCAAGTGGCTGGGCTGACTTGAAGGACGTGGAGTTCTTGGCACCCCAAAACCCCTCCCAGTGCTGCCCAGAAGGAAGCAAGCCCACTGTGGCTGTGGGGCCGGCACTGGAGGGCGAGGGCAGGGAGACACTCTGAGCCATGCAGCGGAAGTCCCAAGCTCCGTCCCCAGGCAGGACATCTGGGAGCATGTGTCCCCAGGGCCTCCAGCCTGTCACCCTGTGTCCTCCCATTTCACCTCTGCCTGGAGGGGCTGTTTGTGCTGGGTTTGAGCACATTACTGAACCCCAACTGTCCATCCCCAAAGCAGCCCCAGCTGTTGCTCTGGGGTTTGCTCCCAAGGCCAGGCCAGCCACCAAGGATACCATGGGACCCAAGGGCTCCTCTTTGCCACTGGCTGCTATGCACAGACCTAGGCAGAGAGGACAGGATGACAAGGATGGGGCAGGCCACGGCGATAAGCATCAACACAGTCAACAATTCCGAAGGTTTATTCCTGCATTACACAACGTGATGAGATGGGGACTCACACAAAACGCATTAAACAGACAGCTGCACCGAGCTCAACCCCGGGGGTGAACAGGAGCTGCTCGCAGCACACAGCTGGCCACATGTACGGTGGCCACCGGGCAGTCTCTGGGAACAGGCGGGAGGCACTTCCTGCACGGCCTCCCAGTGGCCTTGGCTCCGGCTGGCCCGAAAGCAATAAATACTAACATCACATGCAGCAAGGTGAGTCGGAGGGGCGGCAAGACAGACCATCATCCCCATGAAGGGGACGCATTTTCTTGTGTCCCAGCACAGTGGCACTATTTCAAGTATCGCAAGGAGAAACGTGTTGTGTGTGTGGCATGACCTCTGAACCCTCAAGTGGGCACTACAGATCACAGGCCCTCCTGCAAGAGTTCAGAGATACATTCAGCGAGGTTTGGGCAGGGCTAAGGTACCCAGTGCATGCCCACCCAGAAGGTAAGCTGGTGGCTCTGGTGGCCACTGGGCACAAAAACAAGAAAGCTCCATGGATTCTGCATTTGGGGTTTTTCTCTCTGTGGCACAGAAAACCCACCCTGACCTGCCTACTGCCTCCAGCTGGGGAGGGCAGCTGGGCACGGCCCATCCTGCAGGACGTGGGACAGCCAGCCTTCTGGACACACACACACACACACACACACACACACACACACACACACAACAAACAAACAAACACACAAAAGGGCAGGTAGCAGGCCTCACATCTGCCGCCACAGGCTGGCACCTCCTGCTGCCACCATCCAGTGTGCGTAACAGTCCAGGCCTGCCCCAGCCACCCTACGCTTCCCAAATAATGTGGAACACCTGAAGATTTTCTTCTTTAAAGAAAAAATGAACTGCAGAAAAATAAGACACATTTTTAGAAGTGTGAAAAGTTACATCTGTTTTGGGTCTAAAAAGCTTGGTGTTTCACTGTCCCTAGGAAAATATTAAATACACGGATGGTGGGCACAGAGCCACATTGATGCCCCTAGGGGCACACACACAGGGCTATGTATAGATATACACAAATATGCACACATACACCCGGGGCTATGTATAGGTATACACACATGTGCACGTGTACACATAGGGATATGTATACTTTATACACTTATGTGCACATGTACACTGGGCTATGTATAGTTTATACACTTATGTGCACACATACAACTGACCGAGAGGAGACAGTTCCCAGCTGCCTGCACGGGGACAGCACTAAGGCTGGGTTCTCTGTCTTTCTGCATAAAGTGCTTGGTGATTTACAAAGCTGGATGGGGGTCCAAGGGACAGGTTCCCAGAGGGCTGGGAGCCAGAGGCCGTGCCCTTTGCTGGATGCCAAGGGCAGTGGCCTGGAAAAGTCCACTTTGGCTTGAGTCATCAGCAATGTCTCAGGGCCTGCCTGTCCTCAGCATCACCCTGGGTGTGAGGGCGGCAGTGCCCACACATACCTGCCCACTACCTCCCAGCACCAGCAAGGTGGGAGGTGGCCTGAGGGGATGCACTGTGGCCCATGGCGGGAGGAAACCAGCAGGCTGGACTTGGACACTGAACAGCCCCATCAGGGCCCAGGCGGCAGCGCAGCGCCGTGGGTCAGCGCAGGGGCCAGTGGGGACAGTCCAGCAGCACGTGGAGCCCAGCACAGGACTCGCAGCAGCAGGTCAGGCGCAGACACCAGACAGCAGGGCTGACAGTCTCCGCTCGATGCACAGCTTGCCTGTAGGAAGCGGGCGTGTGAGCGGGGGCACCCACACCCCAGGCCAGGGCCTCTAGCATGCCGCACTCACACTTGGCAATGTTCTCGATGTCAGCCTGGTCCGTGAGCATGTGCTGCAGGCCCTCCAGCAGCAGCAGGGCCTTGTGGTAGCGAGGCACGCAGCCTTCGTGGTGCTGGAACATCTCGTCCAGGGCCGCTGACTGCACCTGGAGGCAAGGGCAGAGCTGGGCCGGGCCAGGCACTGACGGCCCCGATGGGTGGCTGGGCTGCTCCACGGCGCCTGTGCACAGGCAGGGCACACGTGGGAGGACCAGTGGCCTGCACGTCAGGCCGGCTCAGGAACAGCTGGCATGCCCAACAGGCAAAGGGACAGAGCTGGCTCTAAGCATCACCGTGGGTGACAAGGCGGCATGAACAGCAGCCGCTGGTAATGCCCACGCAGTGGTGGGTACTGGGCTGCAGGAAGCAGGCCTTCTGGATCTTTGCCTACACTGCAACCTACTGCTGCGTATCACCTGTCTCTGGGCCCAGAGGCTGGGGAAACTGAGTCTGCCCTGCTTTGGCGCCACAGGCCCTACCCAGGGACATACCATCTGCACGGCGTGGCTGAGGATGAGCCTCTCAGCAGTGACGCCATGAATACCATCCAGCAGCCGCTGCTTGTCCAGGAAGAAGCGCTGTAGCCGCAGGCTCAGGCCCTGGCAGGACGTCACGCTGGCCTTGTACAGCTCGTTCAGCTTGCGCACCACTGCAGGGGGATACGGTCAGCTCCCTGCCTTACAGGGACCAGGATGCTTGGACACTGGAGGAGTGGGGCTCAGGGAGCCATGGCTGGGACTGAGGTCCTCGCCCGCAGGTCCAGGGCTGGGGTAGCTCCCTGCTTGCCGCCCACCAGCTCTCCCAGCCCTTGGCACTTGGAACTCAGCAGTCCACCGGGGGACCCAGGTAGGCACCCTCTGCCCCACAACTCCCCAGTTGCCCACTCGTCCGCCCTCACCCTGCTTCACGGTGGAAGACAGGCATAGCTTGCCGGCCCGGATCTGGTCAATGGCCATCTGCAGGCCAGAGGACAGCAGCTCGGCCACTTTCAGGTACAGTACCAGCTGCTCCGCAAAGCTGCAGGGCAACAGGAGGTCAGGAGGTGTTGCCCACCTACAGCCCCCAAGGCCCCCAGGGTACACGTACCCCCACTCGCGGCTCAGCAGGCTGATCTGGTCAGCCACCACGCTCTCCTGCAGCTGGTACTCGGGGCCCACAGCCGCCTCACTGGCATTGCCCTTCAGCGCCGCGATCTCCAGCACGTGCTGCACGAACACCAGTGTGAAGCGCAGGCTGTGCAGAGTCTCCGTGTGCTCTTGCTAGGGCACAGAGGCAGCGGCTGGGGTGGGTGGCCGGCAAGCCGGTGGGCACCCCCCACCCCGGGCCCCCGGGCCGGCCTCACCTCCATGAGTGTCTCCTCCGGCAGGTCAGGGGCCTCAAAGGTCACAGCCCCCTCCAGGTGGGCCGACAGGGGGTCACTGATGCTGCAGCAGTGGCTGGGAACAGTGAGTTCGGGGGCAACCTCCCCACAGGCCCCGGGCATCAGGTGGCGGGCAGAGGACCCAGCGGAGCCCACTGTGGGAGATATGGCTGGGATGGTGCCTGCCCTGCTCGCCCCACCCCAGGTCCCAACCCTGAACTCCACACCAAGGCTTACGATGCCTCAGTCAGCCGCCCAATGAAGCCAGAAGACTGGACCCCGGGACCCCATCCGGTCCTGGACATAGGAAGAAGCTTGCTGTGCTCAAACCCAGGGTGTGGCCAGCACAGCACAGCCTTTCAGGTCAGTGAGACAAAGAGGCTGGCGACCTGGACAGGGCCTGCGTCCTGGGGACACCCCTGCCCTGGTCCACTGTGGGCATCCCCCAATCACCTGACACTGAGCAGGGTTCAGTGCCACCAAGCAGCCATGGTGGCCCAGTCCAGCCTCACCTGAGAACATGCGGGTGCGGGGCGCAGGGGGCGGCGTAGTCCCACTGGGAGGTGACCCCACTGTGAATACCACAGGGGCAGGGCTGCTGGCACCCCCAGCACGGGCTCCTGGGTGCAGGTTCCCTCCAAAGCCAGCAGAGGGTGCTGGGAGACAGGGGAGAGGGGAGGGGTCAGGGTCCACTCAAGTCTGAACATACTCCCTACCCCTGGCCAGCCCTGGCCCACCAATCTCCATGGGTTTCTCCTGCAGGCTGTCCGTGCTGCCCGAGTCTGAGGCCTGCGTCCCAAATGCAGCCTTGAGCAGCAGATCCGTGAGGCGGCTGGTGCTGAAGGACCTGGAGAAGGGAAGGGCACTTCAAGTACTGGGCCTGGCTGCCCACCGGCCCAACATCCTGTCACCAGCCATCTCCAGCAGGCAAACGAGGCAGCTGGCTGTGAGCCGGCCACCCAGAACCACGAAGGTGCAGAACAAGGCTGGCACACACCTCCCACCTGCCCCACTCACCGGCCAAAGGGGCCCTTGGTGTCCTCAGCTGGCCGCAGGCCAGAGCCCAGCTGCTGTCCCTGGAAGGGCCCCACCTCTGAGAGGTCAGGCAGCGTCCGGTTTCGGGGGGGTGTCACCACCACGCCCTGTCGGGCCAGCAGAGCCAAGAGGTTCTGAGAGCTGGGGACCTTGGGGAAGTCGAAGGAGGGTATGGCCTAAAAGGGGCACAACAACGATGCCCCACCTGCCACAGCCCCATGTGCAAGCCAAGGCCCCCCCACACCACGATGAGGCTGGGTCTGAGGGCCTCTGCGTGGACAAGGAAATGTGGCTGTCCCCAGAGTAGCAGTCCATCTGCCAAGGTGGCTTTCTGCACCCAGCCTGGGCCACAACCTTGGGAAGGGAAGGCCCCATACACCAACGCCACATGCCACAAGGACACAGAGACCTGATGTTCCTTCAAAAGGGTGGCTGGAGGGACCCAGCATGGAGAGCACTGGCCACAGGGCCCAGCCTGAGACCCTCCACAGGGCACTGGATTGGCGCTCCAGACCTCCCACCCACGGCCACACGCAGGGATGCCCAGGGCGCAGCCATGCCTGGAAGCAGGGGTCTGGTCACCCTCTGGGACTCAGAGCTCCTGGGCACTGGGAAACTGTGGCAAGCATTACCTTGGTCGGGGAGCCAAGGATGGGGGGTAGGGGCTTCCGCTGCAGGAAATCGGGAAGCTTGGGCGATCCGCGTGGGGTGAGCCGGCAGGACTGCAGCACGGAAGCGGCCGGTGGTGGGCTGGGTTGCGGGGGGCTGAAGGCAGCTCCCAGTGGGTCCGTGGGGGGCTTGGGCAGCTTGGGTTGGATGACACGCAGGTCTGACAGGTTGGGGGCACTGTGCAGGCGGCAGCCCAGCCCAGGGGTGCGGGGGGAGTGCTCCGGCACAGAAGAGCCTGGGAGCAGGACAGGCTTGTCAGCAGACCTCCAGGGCCCAGAGACAGTGTGACCGAGTGTCACCGCCCTGCTCCTGAAGCCCTCACCCTTCCATCCAGGACAACACAGCAGGGCTGCACCCACCTGGTCTCGGGGACCTGCCAGCCCACACCTCAGCTCCCTGCGGAGAGGGTGCCCTGCTCCAGCCAGGCCGCTCAGGGATGGTTCCCACTTGGGGACAGACAAGGTTTACAGTCACGGTGGGCAGACACAGGGGTCTCCGAGCTGACCCCACCCTCCAGACTAAGGCTGCACTCACCCTGTGGGGATGGTGTGAAGGGCCGGCCCCCACCCAGAGACAACTTCCTGGCCAGGATAGCGCCGTCAGCATGGGATGGGGGTGACGGGCTCGCCCGGGCAAAGCCCAGGGGGCTGGTGCCACCCGACCTGCGGCTGGCAGAGCACCTGGAGACAGGGCAGACAGTGAGGCTCCAGCCCTGTGCTACACCCATTGAGAGCCACGGATGACCTAGGGTTCTCCCCAACACAGCCAGACACATGAGGGCTAGCTGTGCCATGCCATGCCAAGGACACTCACTGGGGGGTGTGGTGTTGGCTGGGCGACTGTAGGTTCTGCTCGATGCGCTGGTAGTTGTGTACCTGAGTGGGGACGGGGATGGGGACCGAGGCGCCGTACCTGCTGCTGGAGAAGGTGCCAGCCCGGCTGTGGGGAAGAGGAGGGCTCAGAGTAGGGAGGCACCCCAGGGCCTGTTCTGTCCACACCCACTGCATCTGCACCTCCCGAGGAGCACACAGGGCCTCTGACCAAACCAGCCCTGCCAGGCAGGGTAGCCAGCCCACAGCCCTGCCCATCCCCTCAGCAGCGCCCTGCTTACCCTGAGGGACTGGGTGAGCTGCTGTAGGACGGGGATGGGGATGGTGTCCGGCCATGGCTCTCCAGCCCGGCAGAGGCTACCAGCGAACTCCTGCAGGGCAGAAGGCAGAGGAAACAGATATACGGCACTGGGCTACTGGTCCCTCCTGGTCACCTCTCCAGGCAGGGGTCAGCAGCCCTTCTGAAGGCACCGTTCCCTCTATAAAGGGCTGTATGCTCACCCACTGCAGAGCAGGCTGTCGGGCGGGGGCTTGGCACTGGCTGCCTCGGTCACCAAGTCACCTGCAGGGACAGAAAAACATCTGGCCAAATGTCCACGGCCCCCCAGAGCTCACCTCACCACAGGGCTCCCCATGCTGAGCTCTACTTCCTTTCTCCCAGAGCGGGCCGCTGAAGGCAGCAGCCACTAGCTCGGTGGCTCTAGGGTGGGGCCCGGCAGCATAGTACAGGTGGGGATGAAGGCACACACTGAGGATTATGCCCTTCATCTGCCCTCACAGGCTCCAGGGTGGCAGGGAGGCCAAGGCCCCCAGCATGCCCCTCCCCACACTGTGAAGTCCGGCTCCTGCCCACTGTGAGTGGACCATCATTGGTTGTCCTGCCACCTTGGAGCTGTGGCAGGACCAGACTTTGCCAGGGGAGAACCTACAGACACCATGGCCAAAACTGGATCAGGAAGACAGGTGTGGGGGCCTGAGGACAGCAGAGTGGGGGCAGGAGACACAGCCCGGGAGGACCCTGCGGTGACCCTGCCTGTCTATGCCCAAGACACAGACCCCAGCCACAAGCAGGAACCCACCAGAAGCCCACTGCACCCCGTGCTCCCCTGACCTGGGAACTGAGCAGGGACCATGACAAAGTCATCAGTGTCACAGGAGTCCTTGCTGCTGCCGCCCGAGTCCCGGGAGCCATGCAAGAAGCCAGTGGCATCTGCAGGGGAGGTCAGCGTCTTCTGCAGTGGTGCCATCTCCCCCAGCGACTACAGGATAACGGAGCCCAGTGTCACGCAGACAAGTGGATAGACAGGGTCTCTGTGGATCGCCCCTCCCCACAGAGGGGACCATGCCTGACCCACGGGCAGGGTTCCACGTGCTCTGGGCGAGGCCCCAGACACCGCTGTGCTGTCCCCAGGTCTGGCCACTTACCGGAGGAGAGGCCAGGTGCGAGGTGGAGCTGCTGCTGGAGCTGCTGCCGGACCCTGAGCTCGGGTAGGAGGGTACAGGCACGGGCGGGGCTGTGGAGGGCGAGAGCGTCTGTGGGACGTGCTGTCCCACCCTGCACAGGGGACAGCCACTTCCCCAGGGCAGGTGCACCCAGGCCTAGCCCCTGCAGTATGGTTCTCAGTACCCCAGCCCTGAAGCATAAAGACATTCACCCCGACCCATGACTGTGACAGCAGACCCTCTGTGGCCCCATCATCCTGTCATGGCCAGCACAAGGTGGCATCAGCCTCAACCCCAACCACCGCACCATGACCATCCCCACCCAGCATGAGATGCCTCCCTCAACCACCAGCAGGCCCAGCCCACCAGCACTCACACTTCCTGACAGAGGCGCTGGCGTCCAGAAAAGGGTGGTGGAAAAACTCATCTGTGGGAGAAAGCCAGCCTCAGGCGGCCCCAGAATTTGGCCTTGGGGTCCCACCTGGTCAGGTTGGGCTCCCCATGGTCAGACCAGGCTGCAGCCACGTGGCTGGGGCGGGGCCACCAAGTGTCTGGGAACCTCCACCCACCCTCCATGGACCCCAGGGGGACTGGCTGGGCCTCGGGGCTCACCGAAGTCCATGCGGTCTTTATGGTTGCGCTGCAGCAGCGCCAGGAGCAGCTGCCGCAGGGGAGCCGAGGTCTCGCGGGGGATGCTGGGAGGGCAGAGACATGAAGTGATGGGCCTGGGGCATCGGGGCAGGGGCTGCTGGGGTGACGCCCAGGGGAGGGGGTACTTACGCAGGGACCAGTGTCTTGTTTTTTTCGTAGAACAGTCGCAGGTCCTGAGGACTGCTGGCCTGCGGGGACAACGGCGTGAGCCCAGCCCCTACGGCAGCCTGGCACACGGGACCCACTCTGCTGGGTCTGGGTCCCCAGCTGGCCCCACTGGGCCACAGGCAGCCCAGTGCCCATGGCACGCTGTACCCTCCCTTGCCACTGGTGGGGTCTGACAATGCCAGGAGCAGAGCTATACCCCACACCCCAGGGTTTGGAGCTAATGCCCTCAGGCCCCTTTCACTGGGCACCTGTAGAAGACACAGGCCAATATTCGGGGACACATGCCACACCCCGCACCCAGCTCAGTGCCAGGCCTCGGCGGCCCTGCCCCCACCTGAAACGGGGCCTTGCCCGTGAGGCACTGGTAGACAATGGTGCCGATGCTCCACAGGTCTGCCTTCCCGTCATAGTGCTGGGACATGATGACCTCAGGAGCCTGTGGTCAGAGGACAGGCTGGTGCTGTGGCAGTACCATGACCCAGAACAGTGCCACGGAGCGGACACTGGGAGGCCCAGAAAGGCCGTGCACTCACGGGGCACAGAGGGACGTACCATGTACATGGGGGAGCCGCACAGCGTGGCCGCCATCATGTTGCTCTGCAGGTAGCGGGCGAAGCCAAAGTCGGCTGCAGAGAGAGGTGCGTCAGGGCAGCAGTGGACAGACAGCCCCTGTGGGGCCCTGCGGCAGGCTACATCCGGGACTCACCAATCTTGACCCGGATGTTGTTGGGGTTCGCGCGTCGTCCCCCAGGGTTAGACAGCAGGATGTTCTGCGGCTTCAAGTCGCGGTGAATGATGCCCTTGCTGTGCAGCAGCCGCATGGCACCAGCAATCTGCTGCAGGAAGAGCCGGATGGTGTCCTCGCTCAGGGTCCGCATGGCTGCAGGCAGAGGCAGGCTCAGGGGCGCCCAGCACAGCCCGGCAGAGGCAGGGCAGAGAAGCTGGGCATCAGAAACACATGTGGGGATGAGGCAGTGCCCTCTTGGGGACCCTGCTTCCCCTCCAGCAGGAGTGCATCCAACGGCCCAGCCACAAGCCAGGGTGTCAGGAATGGGGGACAAGGGACAGCTGAGCGCCCCCAGCAGAGGGAACCGCCTTAGAGCAGAGACAGCCACCCCGGCACCTTCCAGAATCGGGTATGGGAAGCCTCGCCTGGGGGTGCTGAGCCACAGGGGAGCAAGCCCTGTGTAGCCCTGGATTATATACCCTGCACGGAGGCGTTCTGCCGTCACAGCCGGAGGGCCAGAACAGATGATGACCCCAACCCCACGTGTGCAGGCCAGAGCCCTCGGAACTCTGCCTGCCCACAGGTCCTGCAGTACTGCCTGCCACCCCTGCTTGCTGTGTTCCTGTTTGAGGTGGAGGGGGCCTCACACCTTCCACACAGCCACCCCGTTGCCTGGCCCAGAATAAGACCCTGAAGCAGAGTGTACCCCAGTCCTGCGGTGGGCGGTGGTGGTCAGGTCCAGCGTGGTGAGGTCCCTCCCATCCACCTCAGGGCACCAGAAGACAAACCTCATGCTGCCAGCCAGCAAGAGCTGCTTGGCCAGGCCCTCCCACCACCCGCAGGGGCATCACTCACTGTGCAGGTAGTCGGCCAGGTCACCACCATTGCAGTACTGAAGGAAGACAGGCATGAGCATTAAAACACAGCCAGGCTGCCAGCCCAGCCCAGCCCAGCCCAGCCCGGCCCAGCCCGGCCCAGCCCAGCCCTGCCCTGCTGCCAGGGTCCCTGGGCTCACCTCCATGACCAAGTAGACAGAATTGGCCATTTCCTGCAGGACAGAAAAAGGCTATGAGGGATGGGCCACTCTGGGTGCCCTAAGCACACCTACCTCCCGGGTACTGGGGCACAGCCAACACAGCCAGGCCAACTCTAGAAGCGGGTACTTGTCATGTCTTCTGCCTACTCCAACTGAAATGTGGCCTGGGACAGGTGTGGATCAGCACTCTGGGAGACAGAGCCCTGCATGGGCAACTCAGTAACCTAGTGAGTCCCTAGTAAATGAAGGGCTGGATGTGCAGCTCAGTGCTAAGCCCTCGGTCCAACCTGCACCACAGAGCCAAAACAAAGAGATCCTGCATGTGAGCAACCACAGCAGTGGCCTCCAAGGAAGCCAGGCCTCCACGACTCCAGTCACAGGGTACCAGCAGATGCACGGAGCCAGACAGGGAGGGCTGGCTGTGATCTCAGACGCAGGCACTCCCGGCCCCCGGAATCAGAGATGCCACCAGATCAGGGCTTCAAGCTACCAGGCCGAGTCAGCACCAGGGCACCCAGCCACCAACCCCATGCCTCAGCCCAAGGTACCCGTCCTTGTTCTGCTTAGGGTCGACCTCAGGCAGTGTGCACATGGCAAAGGAGAGCCCTCCACAGCACCCGACTCCCAGCACAAACACCCACTCTTGGAAATTTCAGAGGCCACTGATGCCCAGGCCCGACAAGCCAGGGACCTGGACCTGTCCAGTCTGCAAATAAGTCCACGTGCAGAGAGGGTCTTCACAGCCACCTGGCAGTTCTGCCAATGCCAAAAAATGCTAAACCAACCCTGCAGCCACGAGGCCCGCGGATCCACACCCTGCTCGCTGTCTCCATGCGGCTTCCCCGAGCTCCAGCGTGGGGCAGCAGGCTGAGCTCACGAAGCCCAAGCTCATGTTGGATCTGGTGCCCGGGACAGTGAGGGGCGTATCAGGGGCCTATGGGGTCAGGCACACAGCCTGGCATACAGCAGCAGCCTTGCCACCTGCCAGCCCCAGGTGCAAGCCACCTTGCCTCCCATTTGCCAGGCCACAGGACCTCTGGTGTGTGCCAGGCACCCAACCACAGGAGGCTGAGGACACAGCTAGAAGGCCAAGAGGTGACTTCAGCCTAGAGGCAGGGACATCCCCAGAGGGAATGTCCCCGCCCTGCCCCACCCATCCCCGTTGTCCCAGCCTGACCTTGCTGGGTCTCAGCCCCACCCGACCCCATCTTCCAGGGAAGCTACGGGAGAGAGATAACACTGGGCAGGTGTGGCTTGGCTAGGGAGTCCCAAGGGCAGGGCTCAGAGGGTCAGGTCCAGGATGTGGCACAGAGACTCAGGACAGATGTCAGATCCAGGAGAGAGCCCAGGGCCAAAAAGTGACAGAGACAAAACCCAGAAACAGCTTCAGGGGCGGCAGCACCCACCTCTGTCCCCTGCCACCTCAGGGAGGTCCCAGTACAGGACCTTGATCCCTTGCCAGTGTTGGCCACTTGACCTGGGATGGACACAGTCAGAGGCTGAGGGGTGGGACCTGAGCCTGCCTTCCAGGGGACACAGCTATCTCCCTGAGCTGCTGGCCAGTACTTCAGGAATCATCTGCTTCCCAACAGCAGCCTCCAGTGTCCCCCAAAGACAAGTTCAGAGAGCAGAGCTCTGCAGACCCAAAGTCAGGTGGGGATAGGAGAAAAACAGTGCAGGGTCCTGGCCTCACAGGATCCAGATCGGGACCTCGCATCCACCTCTTGCAAGCCCCACATCAGAAGCAAGCACAGTGCCGCCACACAGAGCCAGTGATGTGCCCAGCTGAAAGCTGAGGGCCAGCCTAGGCAGGTCAGCTCGCACACCCTCCACAGCCTCAAAACCAATGCCAAGCCAAGGGCTGTGCCCTAGGACTACAGTGCCACCCAGGAGGACCGGTGGGAAAAGCCAGGCCCCAGGGCCACCAGGGTGCCAGGACAGAGGGCACTGCCAGGGTCTCTGTAGCCACATGGGCACCCTCCTGTGAGAGTGGCTCTCCAGGGCCCAAGACTGGGGACAGATGGATTAGCGCCTTCCCTGCTCCACCCAGCCTCAAGCCCACCTGGAGCCCTGTTCCACTAAAGACCACAGGCAGGGCTGGGGCGGTGGCAGACACGCAAGCCTCTCAAAGGGAACAGCAAGGGGACAGAAGGCTGCTGGGCCTCGGACACACTCCCGGCCTTCCAACGGGGACCCTGAGGCTTCTGCCTGTGTGCATGGAGGCTCCTGGCAACAGAACAAAGCCTGAGAGGGACAACAGGGCCACTGCCCTGAAGACAGGGCTGCCACCTCCACAAGTACCACGCCAGGCGGAAGCCAGCTTCCTGGCAGGGCAGCTGCACAGGTCATCCGCGTGGGCACGGGCATTTGGGCACGTAGAAGCTGCCTGCCCTAGGCCTTAAGGTGCTTTGCTTAATAGGATCCTGGCTCCCCACCCTCACTGGCCCACTCCAGTCTGGTGATCCTGGTTGGCCCAGTGGGCGGGCAGGCAGAAAGGTGCTGACCTACTTCATTCCTCCAGAGCTGTAGCCATCGAGGATGGCAAAGCCTAGGGATGGGCACAGCCACCACCTACCCACCCCTTTCCTGCTCTTCCGGGTGCCGCAGAAGGGAAGTGAGGCGACCTGCCCATGAGGAAGGCCCACCCGGCTCCAGCACGGCCCGGAGCAGTGCTGGCAGGATGTCTCCCCTGGTCCCAAGCCCAGACCTGCTAACCCACAGCAGTGGCGCGGGCTGGGGCAGGACGTGCAGGGGACACCACCAGCACAAGGAGCATGGGCAGCAAGTCTCTCAGCAAGGTATGGCCACCCTGGCTACCAGGCCCCAAGTGGGCTGACATGCAGGCAGCCCTACAGGAGGACAGGGTGTGGCCACCAGCGAGACGCGGCGACACCAGATACAGCACCCCACAAGGCTGCAGCCCCACCTCTACGAAGTGCCAGGACCAGCACGGCAGCTGGCAGAGGGACACAGAAGAGGGGGTAGGAGCACCACAATGGCAGACCCAGGAGGATGGGGCCAGCTTTCTGGGCTCCATGCTTCCTAACCGGTGCCCACTTCATCAGGCACCTGTCTTACCCTGAGCTTTGTACTCACCACTGTTGCTGTGTTTACAGACTGATTCATAAAACACTCATCTCTCTGTGGTCCACAAACAGGACACTGACACGGTACACTCCCATGTGAGTGGAAGCCTGCAGCCACAGACAGCTGAAAGACTGCTGGCCCCCTGACCGCATCACACCCCTACTCTCAGGGCCTACACCCCCACCTGCTCTCTGGGAAGGGTGCACTGCCCAGGACTCAGGTCAGCACAGGCAACTCTTAGTGTGGGGGGGGGGGTCAGTCTGCAGGCCCAGGTGCACTGCCTCAAGGCCAGTATGCTGGCCTTGAGGAGGAGCCCGCAGCCTGCCAACTCAGAGGGGAAGACTGGAGTCCAGCATGCACAAGGCCTTGGGTTCCATCCTCAACGCTAAGAAAAGCTGGACACACCAACACAAGAACGAAACAGGCCAGGATGGTGGTACACGCCTATGACCCCCGCACTCAGGAGGCCGAGGCAGGAGAGCGCTGTGGGTTCTGTTCTACAGCCCTCAGCTCACCGACACCCATGTGTACACAGCACAGTTAGTGCTGACGCTGAACACACAGTGGCTCAAGTCTTCTGCACAACTGGCCAGGAAGTCAAGTGCCAAGGAAGGGGCCCCTGACCAGGCCTCACAGGTGCCTGGACGCTGAGCCAGGGCCGCCCTGACCACCAGCTAGGGCTCGGGGGCACCTTGGCCCCAGCCACCAAACACAACCACAGGCGCAGGCATCAGGAGGACTTCAGGAATCCACCCTCAGACCAAGGACACAGGCAGGCTGCGTCCCGGAACAGCCCTTGTCCTTCAGCAGCCACCACAGGTGAGGTCATGGGTGCCAGGTGCCGGCAATGGCAGCCACAAACATAGATGTGACATTAGCTGACACCTCCTAGGGTCCCTGCGGCCAGTGTGCTGTCACGAACCAGACATGTGCATGGCAGAGCCCGACTGGAGCCCCAGCGAGGGGGGAGGAGTGCACAGCTGTCACGCACACGCGCAAATGAACACAGTGGCGTGAGAGCAGCAGGTGTGGCCGCAAGGGTGCACGTGGTCGTCTCCAGTTCAAATACACAAGGTGTCTGAGGAGAGAAGCATCCGGAGGAGGACAGTGTGCCTCTGACTGTTTTCCCTTCTGGTAATCTGGGACATCCTTGCCCAATCATTGTTCACCTGTATTTTTCTGAGACTTAAGTTTTACTGTACAGTTCAGGTTGGCCTTGAATTAATGATGATCCTCCTGCTTCAGCCTCCCCAAGGGCTGAAATTAAAGGCATGGGTCACCACCCCCTAATCACCTGCCCTTAAAAACAAATTTGGCTGGCTGTAATCCTAGCACTTTGGAGGAAGGCAGAGAGGACTGCCACCATTTGAAGCCAGCATGGACTACACAGATCAAAGCCAGTCTAGTGAAACCCTGTCTCAAAAAAGGAAAAGAAAAAAAGCAAACAAAAAAAATCAAATCACTGGGCATGCATGGTGGCACACAGTTCAAGGCCAGCCTGAGCTATCCAGTGACACCTTGTTTCAAAATACCAATACATAAATGCAAATCCTCTATCTCTGGTACCTGTGCTAGTCCCAAACAAAAGTTATAACATGGGGCAGTTCCACGCACCATGGGGTGAGTGACCCCAAAGCCAGGAGAGGCTGTGGCTGGCATTTCTCAGCACTTCCTCTGGGCAGAGGAAGCCACAACATTGCCAACCCTGGAGGAAGTGGCTATGCCCAGAGTCAGGTGTGTCCAGCCAGACAGCAGACACTGTGGGCCGGTCAGTAGAGCCCAGCTGACACCATCTGCCCTCCCCTGGGCCCACCCAGAGCCACTGGGCACAGTGCAGTGTGCTCCAGAGCAGGACAGGCTGCCTGGTACCTCAGGTCCTGCTGGAGGCACCTGGTACCAGGAGGGGGAGAGGAAGGATGGAGCCCGGAGGAAGCAGGGGAAACAGCTCGGGACAGGGAAGGAAGGCAGGTGGGGAGGGCAGAGTGCGGGGTGGCCTCCTGGACCCAGAACACAATGTCTTTGGCAGTTTTCAGGTACACCCTGTCACACTAGACCTGGCCCCGCCTATACGTGACGTGTCAGCCCCCAAGGCCACAGCAAAACTGACAGCGGAGGAGGGTGGAGGCCACCAAAACACACAGCCACCCGCTGGGAACTTCCCTCAGCCAGGGCTGGTCCCGTGGCCCCAGTAAACAGGTTTCAAAACCATTAGTCAGCATTCTGCCTGGCAGATCTGCGCCTCGAGCTCCTGGTCCCAAGGCCAGGCACCCAGGGCCCTCAGCTCTGCTCCACAGGCCCTGGGGCCCGGCAGGGGCACAGCGTTGGAAGCCGGCTGAGCTGCAGGCTGGCGTGCTGGGGCCCGCCAGGCCTGAGGTGGCCTCATCCGGCAGAGATGTGTCCAGCAGGCCCAGCACCAAGAGCCAGCAAGGAAATCTCCGGCAGCCCCTCCCCCTCCCCTTCTGACGCAGGGAGGCTCGGGCCAATGCCGAGCCACTGGAACAGTGTCAACAAACAAGCCACTGGCCAGACAGGTGGGCCCGCCTGGGATGCCAATCTCAGCCCAGGCCACTGGGTCAGACAGAGAAGGGGGTCCCCAGCGGGTAGAGGCGCCCAAGCAGTCAGCACAACACCAATGAGGTCCCTGCCCTCCCCAGCCAGGCAGCCAGGCAAGCTGGGGAAGGTCCAACACCCAGGGAAGCTAGACCAGACCCGTGCAGAAGTCTCCAGGCCCCGATGGGCTCAGAGCTTCACGCTGGGGTGCCTGGCTCCTTCCACCCAGTTATATCCATCTGGGACCATCAAGGGCCTCCACCGTTCAGAGGCTGGGATGGGTCAGACAGGGTGACACCGCCCCTCCCCCACACCGGTCGCCAGCCAGAGGCCTCACCTGGAAGTCATACAGTGCCACAATGTTCTCGTGCTTCAGCTCCTGGGACAGAAACCCAAGTTTCTCACAATCCAGGTAAGGGCTGGCCCACTCCCCTCCCCTCTCAGGGTACCAGCTCACCTTGAGAATTTTGATTTCCTTCCCCAACAGCGTCTGGGACTTGGCCAGGTTCTTCTTGTTAATGCACTTGACCGCGACCTCCAGGTCATGCTTCTGGAAAACCAAGCGTGGCTTTTCAAGGCTGAGGACCCCCCTCCCCTGGCTCTGGTACGGTCCCGGAGTGGGTTCCCAGAGGCAGCCCAGACAAGACTCTCAGATGGGGCTGGGATCCCCGGGGAAAGAGGGTTCCAAACGTAATTTCTGGAGCTGGGTTCCTGAGCACAACGCCAGGTTGGCTCTTGGGGGGGGGGTCTCCAAAGCTGGGGGGTCCTTAGGACAGGATCCAGGGCGAGTTTCCACGACTGAGATCCGCGCCGAGGTCTCGCGCGCACCCACCTCGCGGTGGCGGCCCTTGAAGACCACCGCGAAGGCGCCGTGGCCGATCAGGTCCTTGCGGGAAAACTCGAAGCGGCCCACGGTCTCCACGCCGCCGCGGCCGGGCTCCATCGCGCGGGGAGACCAAGGGTGCAGGCCGGGGGTCTCCGGGCCGGGCGCGGGGCTCAGGCGGAGGCGCGGGCCGAGGGCGGGCCGGGCGCGCGGGGCCGGGGGCGCGAGTGCATCGCTGGGGCCGCGCGCCCCATCGGGCAGGCCCGGGCCGGGTCCCAGCCCCGCGGGCCGAAGGGAGGGCCGTGCGCCGCGCTCGCAGGGGTCCGCCGGCGCACTCCTGGACGGACAGGCCGAGCTGGCTCCTACGCTGGCTCCCACTCCACTTGGCTCCGGCTCCGACTCGGCCCGACTCCGGCTAGACGCGACTCAGACCGCGAGTACCGCTCGCGGCCCGGCTGGGAAACAAAAGAGCCGCGGCGCCCGGGCCTCTGAACCTGAGACGCCGGCGCAGCCGCACTGCGCGGGGGCGGGGAGTTGGGCGGGGCCTAAGGAGACTCGCGCTAGGGTGGGGCGGGGCCTCGCGGGTCCGGACTCAGTGAGTGGTGGGCCTGGTAGTGGGCGGAGTCTCGAGGAACGGAACCCTGTGAGTGGTGGGGCTGGCGGCGGGCTGGGCCTGCAGGGCCAGTCGGTAGCGTAGCCCACTTGGAGGCGGGGCCTCGATGGGCGGGAACTTGAGGCCCGAGGCGCGGGAGGTGGGAGTGGAGGCCTGGAAGGGGCGGGTCTAGAGGGCGATCGAGCCTAGCAATTGCCCGGCCTGGGCTGATCTTTCCGTGGGCGTGTCCGTGGGGGGTGTCCGGGCGGGGCTACTTGAGGGGCGGGGCTGGAGCTGGCCTTGGGAGTCGAGGAGCGTAGTGGGTGACCCAGGTTCCCCTCGATCTCCGCGGTCCTCCGTTGCTAACTCCTCTGTGTGCAGCGGCCTTACCTTCTGCCATCTGTCTGGTCCCCTTTCTCTGGCCCACAGAACACGCCTTGAACACCTGCATATGGCAATGCCCGAGGCCTGACCCTGGGCAGTGAAGTGCATTGGCTGTGCCAAGGTGCAGCATGTGCTTACCAAGCTTTGACCCCAGAACCTAAAATATAAGGAAAGATGCCTTCGATGAACCCTGAATCCTAAGCCCAGAATGTTGTTAAAACTTCGGGAAGTAAGCCGGGCATGGTGGCTCACACTTGTAATCCTAGCACTCCGGAGGCTGAGGCAGGAGGATCATTGCAAGTGAGACCAGTCTAGGCTACAAAGTGAGCTCAAGGCTAGGCCCAACTGTTGTCTCAAAACAAACAAACAAACAAAAAAAAAAAACACTTGGGAAAGAAGGGGCCAGGGATTTAGCTCAGTGGCTCAAGTGTTTGCACTTTGGTAAGTGCAAAGTTGTGAGTTCGATCCCCAGTAACCCCCACCCCCCTCCCCAAAAAAGCCTTAGGAAAGAGCCCATCCATCTGCCCTAGAGGAGAGGTCAGGGAAGTCAGGTGTTAGATCCAGCACAGCCTCTGGGCAGAGTGGCCGGCCCTTCTGTGTTTGTGTAGGGAAGAGCACAAGCAGGGTGCTCACCAGTGATACAGCCAAATCCAAATCAGCAGCCCCGCCCTCGCTCCCAGGTACTGATCTGTTCTGGTTCCATGGGGCCCTTGCTGATCTACCCCAACTTTACAGATGATGGAGTTAGGTGGATGTGCCCAAGGCCCACAGCTGGCAAAAGAAACTGGCAGGATTCCCACACTGAAAGCTGTCTACAGCTTACTTTAGGGACAGAACCCGGCAACAGAGGCAGCCGGTTCCGCTGCGCAGAGCTGTACAAGTTTAACTGTTTTCTTCTTTTCTCTTTTGTCCTGTTGAGACAGGGTTTCACTATGCAGTTCATGCTCCCCTTGAAATCACTCTGTAGTTTGATCCCTGGTACCAAAAAAAGAAAGAAAGAAAGAAAGAAAGAAAGAAATCACTGAGTGCCCCAGAACAGCTTCTAACCTGCAGCAATCCTCCTGCCTCAAACTCTGCAGGCATGCACCACCATAGCTGGCATCATTTTGTGTTTTGAGATTCAGTCTCAATAATAGTGCAGACTGTCCTTGAACTCATGGTATGATGCTCCTGCTTCAGCCTCTTGAAGGCTGGGATTATGGGCCACCATAAACAGCTGCATTTAAACTGGTTTTATGGCCTCATTTGCAAAGGTGTAATTCTAAATAATCCTCACTACCCCCACCCGGCCCTCAGTAGAAGCAAAAGTTGGCTCTACCTCCTCCCCCCCACCTTCCGCCCCACCATCAGGTCACTACAAGGCCGGGGCCTCTTGGCAGGCTCCCAGGCACATAGCTCTGTGCCCTGGGAGGTAGCCAGCCACCCTGGCCTCGGGCCTGAGGATAAGGGGTGCACTACCCTGGATGGGAGGCTGGAAGGGCAGAGGGCAGCTGGCCCAGTGCTGGGCTGTCCAGGTGAAAAGGCAGCTGAGGCCACATGGTCAGCTGCTGGCCACGTGGCCCTGCCATTCTTCACAATGGTCACTGGGTGTCACTGAGTGCCCACCCGAGTGGGGCAGAGAGCCAGGAGCTCAGTGTGGGCTGGGGGGAGCAGACCTGGCTTCCAGAGCTTCTACGCAGAGGGAGGGATGAGGATGGTAACAGGAACCAGTCCTGGTGGCACATGCTTGCAATCCTAGACCCCAGAGGCTGAGGCAGGAGGACTGCTGTGAGTTTGAGGCCAGTGTGGGCTACATAGGAAGACCCTCTCTTGAACCACACATACACTACACACACACACACACACACACACACACACACACACACACACACACACACCAGAGCTAGGAATGTACTCAGTATACAGCACTTGGTCAAGACCTTGGGTTTACCAATGCTAAAAAAAGACCAATAAATTAATTTAGTCACATGTGGGGCCACATATCTGTAATCCACTCCTATGGGAGGAACTGAGGCAGGAGGATCTCAAATTTGTATTATAAGCCTTTCTTTTTTTTTTTTAAATTGGTACTGGGGATTGAACTCAGGACCGCATGCTTTCAAGGCAGCCGCTTATGCAGCTGAGCTAAATCTCCAACCCCAAGGATCTCAAATTTGAACCCAGCCTGATCAACTTAATGAGACCCTGACCCTTGAACTAAAAAAAGAGAGGTCTGGCACTCTAAGTCCACAGGTCAGTGGTGCCAAGCACACAGGCTCCACACCGCTGTCCTTGTCCAGAACACGTTTACTTTGCACCTGCTGCACAGGACCCCAGCCGGACCCCTGTGGGTCCGGCCTCAGTGCCAAGGAGACAGATGTAGGTGTGTCCTTCAGGTCCCTTCCTCCTTCTGTGTCTCGGGCATCTCTCTCTCTCTCTCTCTCTCTCTCTCTCTCTCTCTCTCTCTCTCTCTGTGTGTTTTTAAAAGAATCTTTTATTTTTCTATTTTTTCCTGGTATCAGGAATCGAACCCAAGACCTTGAGCTTAGCAGGCATTTGCTTATGCCACTGAGCTAAACCCCAGCCTCTTTTGTTTTTTTGGAAGACAGGGTCTTGCCGCGTAGTCCAGGCTGGGCCTCCGCCTCCTAACTGATGGCACCACAGACATTCCTGGGTGCACCTGGCTTTTTTTCGTTTTTTCTTCATTTATTTTTTGGTGTTGGGGCTCAAACCCAGTCCTTGGAGCCAGCCAAACACTATACCACAGGGCAGCACCCCAAGCTGCTCTGAGTTTTGTTGGTGATAGATACCAGAGACTGATAACAGGACCTTGGCAATGAGCTGCATGCTGGCCCCTTGATATTTCTTGTATGTGTAAGTGTCTCCATATTTGGAGACAGGGTCTCATTGTGTAGCCCATGCTGTGTTCCAGTTCACAGCAATCCCCTGACTCAGCCTCCCAGCACACCATCACCCCCAGCCTTTATTTTTTATTTTGAGACACAGCCTCCCAGGCTGGGCTGGAATTTGTGATTCTCTTGCCTCGACCTCTCTGAGGAGTGCTGGGATTCCAGGGGAGTGTCACCCGCACCCAGCTGGCCAGTTTGTTTTATAAATAGCAGGCCTAGGTGTGAAGCAGGATCCTCCCAGTGGTGATCTGCATTTCCACGGCTAACCCTGCTGAGGCCTCTATGCATCGCTGGCCTTGCACAGGAATAGCCCTCTGGGCTCACTCAGGCAGTTACCCTGTGCTTTCCTGATGTGGGGCGGCAGGACCCCCTCACTCATGCAGATGACAGGCGGCAAACACAGCCCAGACCTCTGCCTGTTTGCATCTGGGGAGATTGGAAGCCACAGAACTGGGGCAGCAGCCTATCACCTGTGCGGCCCTCCTGCCAGGGTCCTCTGGGTGGTGCTGCCCATCAGGCAGGACAGCCAGGGACAGCAGTGTGGTGGTCCAGGTCACTCCCCCAGAGAGCGGGTGGAGCACACGCCTGGACCCCACTGTGGCCGGCTTGGGTGACTTGGTGACTTAGTGAGACCCTGTCTCAAAATAAAGAGAACTGGGGGCCTGTAGATGGAACTCAGCGTGGACAGAAGCAGGAAAGGAGAAGCCAGACATGGGAGGGTGTGGCAATCGTTGGATCCTATTTCTATGAAATGTCCAGAAGTGGCAGGGCCATGCGTCACTGGCTGGAGTCTCAGAGGTCCCTGGGGCTACAAAACAAACGGGTGGACAGCGGCAGAAAGCCCAGGGCCAGAGGCGGAGCTGGTGGCAGAAGGGAATCAAGAGGGTGCCTTGCTGGGAACCTCCAGGGCACAGGACCAACTCATAGCCTCAATTACCCTCCCTGGAAAATGGGCACGACACCAGGACCCAACCAAGAACTCTGGGATAGGGCACACACTGCTGTAGGAGTTGCTAGCCCAGGTAACTTCAGCCTTGCCCGGATGCAGAATCTGAACAGCCTGGGGAGGGGAGAGTGGCTCAGAGCCTGGGGCTGGGGGGCGGGCAGGGCTTGGGGAAGAAGGGAAGGAAGCCGGCTGGGCCCAGCCCAAGGGAGGTCACATCTGTCCCCTCCCTCGGAAACGGGTCCTTTTGTACTAGAATTGAACCCTGGGCAGTACCTTAGGGCAAGTGCTTCACCTCCGAGCCAAGCCCTCAGTCCTTTCTGTCTTTCCAGAGAGGGTTTCACTGTTTCTAAATCACCCAGCTGGAGTTTGAAATTCTCCTGCATCAACTTCCCAGAATACTGGGATTATAGGCGTGAACAGCCATGCCTGGTTGGTAAAATTGATTTTAAAAGAAGCACTGAAGGCTGGGCGCGGTGAAGCACTCCGGTAAGCTCAGGTTTTGGGAGCCTGAGGCAGGAGGATCACTGCAAATTCAATAATGGCCTGGGCTACACAGTGAGCTCAAGGCCAGCCTGAACTGCAGGTCGAGACCCCCCTCCCTCCCAATAAAAAAGCTTTGAGACAGGGATCTTGGCTCAGGCTTGTGATCCCAGCCACTCCCTGGGCTGCTGTGATGGTCAGAAGCGCAGGAGACAGACATAGCTCAGTTATAAAGGGACCCTGGGTTTAATCCCCGGAGCTCTGACAAAAGAAAAAAGAAAAAGAGAAATAATCACTGAGACCAGCCACACTGTGGGTAAAAGAAACCAGACAGTCCAGTGTGGTGGAGGCTGAGGCAGGAGGATCACTGTGAATTTGAGACCAGCCTGAACTACATAGCAAAACTATCTCAAAAAACAAACAAAAAGTCAGACGTGGTGGCTCACGCCTGTAATCCCAGCACTTGAGAGGCTGAGGCAGGAGGATCGTTGGGAGTTCGAGACCAGCCTGGGCTACAAAGTGAACTCAAGGCCAGCCTGAACTGCATAGTGAGACCCTGTCTCAAAAAGACACACACACACACACACACACACACACACACACACACACACAACCCAAAAACAGCCAGGCATAGTGGTGAACCCCTATTATCTCGGTTCTTGGGAGGCTGAGGCAGGAGGCCTCTGAGCTGGAGGCCAATTTGGGCTACATACACAAAAAAGGAAAAGAAGCTGGACCCAGAAGGAAGCGGCATATGGCGGCCCTACTCCTGTGGAAGGTGCAGGAGTGGCAGGCCCTGGGTCCCCGCTCGCTCTGAGCGCCCCGAAGCTGAAGCGAGAACCCCACCTCGCATGGTGGAAACGGACCTGCAGGACAGTGGGTGATGGCGGGGGGGTCAAGGAGACAGCAGAATTCGCCTCGGGAATGAGGCCGGGCCAGCCAGGGCCAGGGCTCTCATCTGGGGAGGTGGTGACCCGTCCTGGCCAGGCTGGCATCAGGGCTACCCTTCCACCTGTGCGCGGCCCAGCGCTGGGACTCGTCGCTCAGAGCGGGGAAGCGGCTGGTCCTGGGGCGGCAGCCCAGGCTTGTGTTTCAGGAGAAGAAATGAGCTGGGCTCCCATGTCAAAGCTAGTTTTTATGTTTGGAAGCATGATTTGTTTGGTTCCCTTTTTGCCCGGCTGTTACTGTCTTACCCTGCACTTTGGGTTCCCGGAGTGGACTCCTCAAATGGGCCCCGTGGGTGCTGGTGGTTTGGGCTCGCACAGGCTGAGCCTGTGTCCTGAGCTGGGGTGAGGAGGAGGTGGTGGCATGGCTCGCCCACTGGCCGGCACCGCGGGAAGCAGTGGGTGCTGGGCCGGAGGAGATGGGGGGACTCAGTGGCCCCGGGCTGACCTGGCTGGGTCCAGCTTCGGCCTGGCCCTGGCCTTGTCCTTGAACCCCTACCTCTGGCTGAGTCTCAGAGTGCTGGGGGCCTTTGCTGCTCACTAGGGCACTCAGTGGACAGGCACAGCCAGCAGGGGATCCGCAGTCACACGCCTCGGGACACACGGAAGGCCCAGAGCCAGGGCAGCTGCCAGAGCTGCTGCCGGGCTGGAATCTGCAAGGGCCTGGGGGCACAGTGGCCCAAGATCTGGGTCTGGGCTGGGGCCAGCCCGTCCTGCTGTCTACTCGCCATGTTGCTTCTGGTCCCTCTGCCTGGTTGCCACAGGGCCCACACTGAAACAGCAGTAAGAGGGCCACCTCGGGAGCGGCTGTCCCCACCCTGGCTGCCAGGCCAGACTCGAGGGTCTGGGAGCCCGGAGGAGGCCTCACCCAGCCCGAGGAGCCGAGCTGTGGCCTGCAGGTTGGGCCCTGGCACAGCTCCTCCTGGCAGCCGCACAGCTCACCAGCCACAACCTGCTCACTTGTTCTATGTGGTTTCAGGGCCTCGGACTGGAACCAAGCTCCAGAGCCCAGGCACCCAGGACCCAGGACCCAGAGACACAGGGACACAACACAGGGGCCAAGACCTGAGGACGGGAGACGGGGGACAGGAGACTCGGACACCCGAGGCTCGAGGACCCCTGGAATGGAGACCTTGACTCCACTGGCCCACTCATCCGTGGCATCAGCCTGGCTGGCGCTCCACAGAGTGTGGGTGCAGCACTGGGTTTGAGTCTCGGCTCCAGAATCTGAGCCCAGGGAGGCCGAGGGCCCAGTGTCCTTGCAAAGCTCGCCACCCCATGGGAATCGGGCACTATCAGTGGCCAGCCCAGCCCCCAGGCCTCGGGGTCCCTGCTGTGCCCAGGCGGAGTCCGAGGGCCACCCCCGGGCTGGGTGAGAGCCTGAACTTGCACCACCTGAACAACAGGACACAGCCCCCTGGGGACAGGGCGCTGGCGGCCTTGAGTGGGCAGCCAGAGCCTGAGCTCCACCACCCCAAAGCAGAACATAAAGCAAAGTGAATGTACCTTAGTGTGGCCGGGGTGGCGGTGCACACCGTTACCCCAGCACTCTGGGAGGCCGAGGCAGGAGGGTTGTAAATTCAAGCCCAGCCTGGGAAAATGTGCTTGACTGTCTCAAAATTTAAAAAGGGCTGGTGACAGAGTTCTGGGCAAAGGCCCTGGGTCCCATCCCAGGGCTGAAAACAAGTCGTCAGGGCCCCCAAGGCCGTTCGTGGCGGGGCGCACAGAGCCATGTGGGGGGCACAGGCCCTCGCTCCTCCCAGACAGCGGTGGCCCCGCATCTGGGGAGTGAGATAAAATAGGCCAAAAGGAGCCAAGGAAATGAGAACTTACGGATTTATTTAGGTTTTTTAAAACAGGTTCTCAGCTGTGGGTTTAGCTCAGCGGCGTAAGCACCTGCTTGGCAAACACGAGGTTATGAGTTCCATCTCTGGTACCCCAAAAACAAATAAATCAGTCAATCAAAAAACATGGTCTTGGGCCAGGGATGAGCACCTGTCTGGTAAGCACAAAGTCCTGAGTTCAATTCTGAGTACCAAAGAAATAAAGCAGACTCTCACTATGTAGCCCACGCTGGCATTGAACTCTAGATGATTTTCCTGCCTCAGCCTCCTGGGTTCTGGGATTACAGGCTTGTGCCACCATTTGTGGCCTGTAGTCATGTCCAAGCCCCATTACTGTGTCCAGCTGGATCGCCAGGTGCGTCTCCCTCCAGGGCCATGCTGTTCCTCTGAGTGGCCACTTACCTACCAAGCCATCCTCACTGACCGCCAGGAGCCAGCAAAGCCCAGCTGCTTCCCAGGCGGGGAGCAGGGCCTCGCAGGAGCCGTGGGTGGTGTGAGGACGGAGGCCTCTGTCCTGCACTGAGCCCTGCCCGGCTCGGGCTGGGGCTCCTCATGGAGGGGCTCGTACTCCTGTCTGGTCCCGCGCTGGGACTCAGCCCGTGAGTGACCTTCAAGAGATAAGGCAACTGCCACTGGCACGTGAGGGAGAGTCCTGCCAGGGCCTGGGTATTGGCTGCGCAGTTCAGGCGGCCTTGAGCTCACTTTGAAGCCCAGGTTGGCCTCAAACTCTCAGTGATCCTCCTGCCTCAGCCTCTGAGTGCTGGGAGCACAGGCGTGTGCCACCTCTTGGGTCCTTTAATCCTTCCGAGGACTCCTGACGTCCTCCCCTTGTGCCAGCCCCGCCTCACACAGGGAGAGCCCTGCGTGACCCAGGACCCTCCCCGGGCACGCGCCGTGCCCGCCCTGCACCCCAGCCTGCTTTCTGCTTTCTCTGGTCCCCGCCTGTCCTTGAACCCCAGCTGCTCTCCCATGGCATCTCGATGAAGCCCTGGCTGTTCCAGAGCCGGACAGCTGGAATCCTCTCTTCCACTCAAGGGCTGAGGAGGGAGGACTGCAAGCCCAAGGCTGGCCTACCCAAAAAAGAAAGAAAGAAAAATAAATTTCCTCTAAATCTTTTTTTTTTTTATCAGTACCAGGGATCAAACTCACAACTGCCTGCTTGCAAGGCAGGCGCTTATGCCGCTGAGCTAAATCCCCAGCCCCAATTTCCTGTAAATCTTTGTCACTGGTTCTTGGGATGGCTGGTGCCACGCAGTGAAACACAGTGGGTGTCAGGCTGCCCCCCTCGGAGGCCAGATCTCCTTCCTCAAAGACAGACCCACCTGTGGATGGGTTCCAGGGCCCAGGGCCTCCTGCAACCTGCTTGTCCCTCCGGACGTGGGCCCAAGGGAGCTGCAGGCCCCACACGAGGTGAAGTTTAGGTGGTTTTTATTAAAACGTGGGAGACAGGGTCTGGCTATACAGTTCAGGCGGGACTCCCAGTGCCCCTCCTGTCTCAGCCTCCCACGTGATGGGATTACAGGTGTGACCACCACGCTGCTCAAATCTGAGATCTGCTAAATTGGCCACAGATTTACAGTGGGATTCTTTCCCAGAAGCTAGGCATGGTGGTGCATTTCTGTAATCCCAGTGCCTGGGAGGCTGAGGCATGAGCATCACTGTGAGTTTAAGACCTACCTGGGGTACATAGTGAGTTCAAGGCCCATCTGGACCACATATCGAGACCTGGTCTCAAATAACTGAAAAAAAAAAAAGAAATTTTTTTTCAAGTCAAAAGTGGGGAACAGCTCAGGTGCTCACTGAGGAACAGGTAGAGCACATAGGCTGGGGGGATTGGCATTTCGGAGTACAACGCAGGCCTGAAGAGCGACCAGACTGCACAGTGGAGGACCCACTGGGTAGCAGGGCTGCACACACAGAAGGGCAGGTGCAGCGCCATTCTGTGGGGCAGAGGCAGAGAGGTGTGATGGGCAGGGAGGGAGGAAGTGGGTGTGGGTAGTTTCCTGTGGGGGTGCCGAGCGTCTTGGAACCAGGGCTGGCGGTCACCGGTTGTAAAGATGACCCGTGTTTTACACTGAAAAGCTGTGCAAGGGCTGTGTGCACGCAAAGGGCGGGTGGGCGGCCTGTCCTGCCGTGTGCCCCAAAGGACCCTGGGACACCCACGAGATGCCCAGTGACCTGCTGTGGCATAACTGAGGTGTGTGGGCCAAGTGCCAGCCCAGATGTCACCCACGGTGAGGCCAGGGCATTGCCGGCGGGGGGGGGGGGGGGACAAGGTCCAGGCAGGGGTGGTTGCGCTGGGTCTGGGCTGCCTGGCTGATGCAACCTGACCACAAGACCTGCAGGCCCTGGATGCCTGGATCGGGGCCATGGTGAGTGGTGCCACGGCGCCACCTCCAGGAGGACAGCCTGACAGTGGGGCATCCCCAGGGCGGGGTGATTTGCAGCATCATCACTAGGCCACACACAGTGCCGGTCACCCCATGGGCCGGGTAGCTCAGTCTGGCCCTGAATGATGTATGCACGGAACTCACCACCACCCTCCTGCCTCAGCCTCCTGAGTGCCGAGACTCTTGTGTGTGCTCCACACGCAGCCCTGCACAGAGTCTGGGGCCTCAGAAGCCCTGACACCCCAGTCGCCTTTGCCCTTGGCCCTCACGGAGTCACCATGCACCCAGGACCCTGGGTCCATCCGGGCCGCCCTCTTCTTGTTCCCAGTGCCGTGCAGCTTGAGGCTGGTCACCATGACAGTCGTCTTGCAGGGCGCCCTCCCCGTCACACGCAGGACGCTGGCCTCAGTCCTGGGCTGGCCATCTCCTGCCTGGGGCAGTGTAGGGCTCCCACTCTGCTGCCCTGACCCTGCAGCTCTGGGTTCCTTCAGCCCCTGGGTCACCCGGCTGTGTGGCCAGAGAGGAGCCACCGGCCCTGCAGCATCAACAGCTGCCCAGGAGCCAGCAGCAGGTGACAGGGACAGGGTGGGGAGTGCGAACCAGGGCGGAGAAATGGCTGGGGACAGTGTCCTACAGGAGGCTGCTGCTGCACCTGAGCTGGGCCGACAGGAACACTGTGCCTCAGTTTCCCTGTGACAAGGAGCTGGAGCAGATGCATCCCAAGGTTATCATCTGGATGAGCCCCTGCCCCACAGGCCTTCCAGCCCTCATGTGGGAACCTGGGCATGTCCCCAAGCTGGTCACCAGCATGCTGCCACCACTCCAGTGCTGGGAGCCCTGACCTCCCACAGGCCCAGCACCAGAGCCATGGTGAAGCCTGGTGACATTCACCCTGGGGTGGCAGAGCCGGGGTTGGCCTGGGCATTGGTGCAAGGGCTCTGGGCACTGAGTGCAGTGGAAAACCATGCATCCGACTCAGGAGACGGGGACAGCAGAGGCCCAGCCCCAGCTCCCCCCAGACCCCGGGAGCCACAGGGACACTGCACAACACCCCGACTCTGCGACTGGCGTAGAAAACTTTATTAGGGTTTGGGCCTTAACACCAGAGTGACGCCAGGCGGGATCCGCTTCTGGCTGTGTGACAAGGATTGCAGGGCCGTGTCCCCACGGAGGGTGCCTGCCAGCAGCTCTGGGTGCGGACGTGCGAGGTGTGCAGGGGAGCGGGGGGAGGAGCCAGTGCTTGGCCTGTGAGCCAGCGTGAGGTGTGGGGCTCTGGGGGTGCGGCACCTCTTGCCCTGGAAGAGGTGGGATGCAGGAAGCCACCCTACTGGCCCAGCTCACCCCCTGCAGGGCACAGGGCTGCCTCTGCCCAGCCACTGCCCCAGGGCCACTGCCTGAGGGCTTCACTGTCCTCCGTGTTGAGCAGGGTGGTGCGTGCTGGTCACTCGCAGCCTGGCTTCCAAGGGTGCTGATCCCCCCACCTGGCACGGGCAGGGAGCGGCGTTCCACACCTCCAGGGGGCAGTCGTGTCCCTGTCCCCATGCAGGCCCGCTGGCTCTGCTCCTTGTCTTCCTGTGCCAGGGCTTGGAAGCCACAGTGTGGCCAGGGCAGGGAGGGCGATACCCCAGGGTCCCCTCCAGGTGCCCGGAGGCCGGGTTCCAGCCCACAGAGGGACATCGTCTCCTGGACAGTGATGAGGATCCTGTAGGCTCTAGTGCAGCTCGGCCTCGAGCTCGCTGGACCTTCACGGCCACCCTGGGGTCACGTGAGTGTCCTCCGTGTGCTGGGCTCTTCACCCGGCTCCTCTCCTCTGTCTCGCTGTGACCCCGGGAAGCAGGACCCCAGGCTCACAAGAAGTGGCGGTGCCAGGTGCCAGGGTCCAGGGTGTCCCCAGATCGAGGTACAGCAGTCTCTCTAGGAGGGCAGCGGGGCACGCAGAGCTGACCCAGCTCCTTGCAGGCAGCCACTGGCTGCTCCCTGGCACAGTACTCACGGGGCCCGGGCCAGGGCACCCAGCGCACTGGGCAGCAGCGGTGGCAGCAGCAGGGGGAGCGTGCGCCCGGCACCTGAGCAGGAGCACACGGCCAGGCCGTCCTGCACTCCGCTGCGGCCCTGAGGGCCTGCCGGCAGCCCCTCCACACTCGTGCCGGCCTGAGGCTCCCCGCACACCAGCCAATCCCGTGCCGTGGACTGTGGGTACCCGGGAGCCACCTCCAGCTCCCCGTCCAGCACCTTCCAGTACTCCTGGCCACGGAAGAAGTAGGAGGCCCCTGTGGGAGAAGGGCAGCCTGAGCCTCGGGCACCACCAGGGAAGGGTTCGGGGGACAGGCCTGGCTGGCTGCTGGGACCCCAAGATGACCCGCACAGCATGTGGCCGGGCCACTGTGGTCACTGTGACCCTGGCTGGGCCTGCCTCCTGGAGATCCTCCTGCCTCGGTCTCCAGAGTTCTGGGGTTGTGGGCCAACACTGTGTGCCTGGCCCTCCCGGCTTCTACCAGGGCTCTGCCCTGTGCCCACTGTGGTGGCGCTGGACAGGAGGAGCACACTCCCTGGACTGGTGCTGACTGGGGGATTTCCGGTTTGGGGGTGCAGAGGGTGGGGAGGAGGTGTTTGTGGAAATCGTCCTGGAGGCCACAGGGCCGGGGAGCCTGGGGCTCGGCGCTCACCATCGGACCAGCGCATGGCGTCGTCTAGTCTGCTGGGGACCCCCCTCCACAGGGGGCCCTGGGCGGGGAAGCCGGGGTCCATGCGCCGCGCACGGTCATCATAGCGCCAGTATAGCTGGTCCTTGAAGAAGTAGGTCCGGTCGTTGTGCGCCCAGGCAAAGGCCGCGTCCACGCCGCCCGGGGGGAGGCTGAAGTCGGAGATGGGCCGCGGGTACCCCTCCTCCACATTGTTGTCCTTGAACACCCAGTATCTGTCTCCTGGGTGGAGGCGGGGCTGAGGCTGGCTGCCCCAGGGGCTCCAGCCCTGTCCCCCGCCCCGGGCCCCCCACATCACGGTGCCTGCTGAGCACCTGCTATGTGCCCGGCATGTGCCTGAGGGTGGAACCCAGTCTGTGGCCAAGGACCCTGGCCGTGCTCTGGGCATCATGACGGGCACAGGGGGACCTGGGGACAGTGGCGTGGAGGCCGTGGCTTCCACGTGTCCCAATGTCCTCCGCTGACAAAACCTTGGGTGTGTCTAGGGAAGGCGTCCTGCATCCCCATACCCAGAGGCCGAGGCAGGAGGGTGGAGGCGAGTTTGAGGCCGGCCTGGCTGTACGGCGAGACCCTGTCAAGCACACAGGGCCAGGAAGGCTTCCCGGAGGCCAGCGAGTGTGGGACAAGTCTCTTGTACCGTGATTGGCAGGAGACACGGTGAGCCCCACCGAGCTGGGGCTGGGGACAGGAAGTGGACAGAGGCGCCACAGGAAGTGACTGGCATTCAGGGACCCGCCCTCCACACGCTGCCCAAGGTCCACCCAGTCTAGAGCCAGGGAGCGGGAGGGTGAGGGGCACGAGGGGACATGGCTGGACCCCACACAGGGCAACCTTGAAGCAAGGGTCTGAGTGACCCTGAAAGGCTTGAGGGCAGCCCTGGGCCCTGGAGCCCACCCGAAGGAAAGCAGGATGGGGCGGGGAGGAGAGAAGAACTCTGTGTTCTTCTGTGGGTGGCAGGGACAGCTGCATGGCACCAAATGTACCCAACAGCCCCGATGTACCCAACTGCACACTTCCAGTGTTAAGATGACCAGGTGCAGCGGTGCATGCCTGGCATCCCAGCCACTCAGGAGGCTGAGGCAGGAGGATCACCGTTAGCAGACCCTGTCTCACGTTAAAAAGCCAGGCTGGGTGATGCCTGGGTTCCACTCCTGCTACTGGGAAGAGCAACCATGGCAGAGGAGGTTAAGGTGAGAAATGTCCTTGTTTTTATGATGATTTTACAGATCAGGGGGCACTCGCTGGGCTCGGCACCTCTTCCCAGGGCTTATTTTATTTCTGAGACCAGAGCTAAACTACGCAGGCTGGGATCAGATTTGTGATCCTCCTGCCTCCGGCTGCCGGAGTACTGGGATTGCAGGAGTACCCCGCCACATCTGGCGCCAAAAGAATTCTGACCAGAGGTTTCTTTTTTTTGAGACAGGGTCTCACTATGCAGTCAGGCTGACCCCGAACTCACAGTGATCCTCCTGCCTCAGTCTCCCCAGAGATAGGATTACAGGTGTGCACCACTACGCCCAGCAGCCTTTGCACCTTTTTTGGGAAGGTCTCACTATATCGGCTAGCCTGGCCTTAAACACTCTAAATTGACCAGGCTGGCCTGGAACTCCAGGTGATCTTCCTGCCTCAGCCTCCTGAGTGCTAGGATGACAGGCTCCACCACGCCCTGAGAGCAGGTTCTATGAGGGACAAGGGCAGCCCAGGCTCACGGAGTCCAACACATGTGAGGGACTCACAAGGGCTACTCGTGGACCCCTCTGTGTGACACTAAGGGTCACGAGGTCTGCTGGGCAGGCGCTCCTCGGAGGGCCTGGCAGGACAGAATCCCAGGACAGGTGTGGGACGCGAAGCCCGTACGGCAGGGGAGGAGGCCTGGGAGACACAGCGATGCCCCCACCTCCGCGGTGACAGGGTCTCCAGGGTACAGCCTGGCTTCCTGGAGGCAGAGTCTGCTGTGTCCTTACTCAGGATTGGGTGGGACACAGGGAGGCCTGGCCCAGGCCACCAAGGGCCCACACTGCCCCCCACCCCCACCCTTCCGCCCTGGACCTGGAATCGGCTCCAAGACAAAGCTGGGCACAAACCCAGCGACCGGGCCATGGGGCTGCCCTGGGGCAGGGAGTGGCAGAGGGATGTCCGGACGTCCCCTCCACCTTACATTCCCGCTGGCCCTGTCCCCACTGGCCCGCTCGGGTCGGCGCACATCTGGACCAGGCTCCTGGCTGCTGCCGCAGCCGGGCAGGGAGGCGGCACCCGCTCACCTCGGAAGAAGACGATCTTGTGGTCACTGGTGCGCTCGTACACGGCGTCCACCCCGTCCAGGTGCCGCGGCAGGCCCCGCCAGAAGCGGTGCATTTGTGCCGGCTGCAGTGACACCAGGTGCCGATCCCGAGTCAGCCGCCAGAAGTACCTGCCTGGGGACAGAGAGGGGCTGGACAGGGCTGGCCAGCGGCCGCGCCCCCACCCCAGCCCTGCTGCTGACCTTTGAAGAAGAAGGCCTCGCCCCGGATCTGGGCCACCGCATCAAAGTGGGCACTGCACCTGTGGGGCACGTCCTTCTGTGGCCTGTGGGCACAGGGCGTGGGTGTTGGCACAGGAGGTGAATGGGTGGGGTGAGGCCTCCAGCATGGGCGCCACAAATTGAGTGTGATCTCCTTGAAGAAGCTCAAAGGCAGGCCTTGTCCAGCCCGTGGGGGCCCCGGGTTCCCCACCCACATGGAATTCAGAGAAAGCAATCAGACAATGTGACGCCCACCAGCAGGGCTGGCCGAGGACCGCAGCTTACGGGGTGCTGGACCGATTGTCGGGGGGCTCTGGCAGCAGGGGAGGCTCTTCAGGCTCGGGGGCATCCGGCTGTGCCGTGGGGGACACAGACTCCCGCACACCTGGGAGAGGGAGGAGGAGGCTGTCCCTGAGCACCTGGGCCCTGAGACACCGTCACCCTACCTGGGCCTCACAGCCAGGCTGGGTTCGGGGAGCTGAGGGTGGAGCGGGCCCGGGCAGAGGGGTGTCGCTCTCCAGGGTGGCACAGTGAGTGGTGGGCACTTTGAGGGCCAAGGTGACCAGGGCCTGGCTGGACAGAGGCACTCTTGAAGCAGGGGACCATGCCAGGCACTGAGGCCTCCATGCCACAGTGGATTTGACCATCAAGGCACCATGTGAATCTTGGGCACACGGAGGAGCCCGGGGGAAGGACATGGGGACCCTGGGGGAGGCCCCAGCACATCCGATGGCGGGGTCTGTGGGGCCAGCAGGCCGGTGGCCTTAGGTCCTGGGTGTCCCCTCAGGGAGGGGTCCTGGTGGGGCGGGGCTGAAAATGTGGGGTTTTTGGTTTGTGCTTGAGAGAGACCCTAGCTATGGAGCTCAGGCTGGCCTTGGGCTTGCAGCAATCCTCCTGCCTCAGCCTCCTGCGTGCTGGGATTACAAGCATGTGCCGACGTGCGCGGCAGGAGTCCTGGCTTTGCACCTGCAAAGAGGCTGTGCCACCTCCGTCCCTCACAGCGTCCCAGAACCTTCGGTCTCCTGATGCCAGCGGGCCGGGCGGCCCAGGCTGGTGACACTCTGACCTGCCCTGCCCTGACGGGGACTGTCAGCATCCCGGCCCGCAGGCTCCCGCTGGCTAGGATGGGGTGGGGCTGGGGGCCGTGTGCTTTCCTCCCCCTGCCCACAGGTCCCCCTACCCGTGGTCGCATTGGCCGGGCCACTCACCATACAGCTGCCACACGCGCACTCTGTCCTCATAGGGGAGCCCGTAGCGCAGCGGGTCGCCCACGGGGCCCTGGTAGTAGGGCTGCATGATGGAGCTGGTGGCGGCCACGTGACCTAGCCCGATGGCGTGGCCGAACTCATGGACAGCCACTGCAAACAGGTCCATCCCCTGCGTATCTGGGGGCAGGGACACGTGAGCCACAGGGTCATGCCCCTAGCCGGCAGAGGCGGGCCTGGCGGGGCTCACCCAGGGCCGCCTGGGCCTCGTGGGTTACGGCTGCTCCCCAGGTGGTGCCTGGTGGGGACCCGTGTTTTGGAGTTTTGGCTTGGTTTTGAGTCCTGACTGAAGCCAGGGGTCTTGAACTGAGCCACATCCCCAGTCCTCTTAGGGTTCAGTCCCGCTAAGTCACCAGCTGCCCACACGGGGCTCAAGCTTGCGGTCCTCTTGCCTCAGCCTCCTGAAATGCCAGGACCACAGGTGTGCCAGGACCCCGAGACTGGCTGCCTTTTCTGTGCAAGGCCACTAGGTGGTGCTGCAACCCTGCAGCCACCCGAGCTCTGCACACAGCACCCAGAATCCCATGGGGCCTGGTGCCCCAGTCGGGTCAGCGCCCCGGGTCCCAGTCCCTGCTGCTCCCGGGCCTCCCAGGCCCACAGGGGTGCCGGCTGAGGGCCCCACTCTGGGTCCCGCACCTACCCGAGGAGCGGAAGGTCCAGGCCTCGTCGTCATCGAAGTGGGCGTCCCCTGCGGCATGGTGGTCACCGGGGAAGAAGGCGTGGGCCACGGTGCCGCCGGGGCCGTCGAAGGGGTAGCGGTCATTGTGGTCGGCGCGGGAGAAGTCGATCTGGATGTCGGCCGTGCTGCCCGCCACCTCGTGGAAGTCCAGGGGCGCGATGTCGCTCCACACCTTCAGCGCGTAGTACATGAGCGCCCGCACCGTGTCCCGGCCCAGCGGCGAGTCTCGGGGGAAGGTGCGCACCCTGGGGAGGGCCGGGCTCAGCCGGGCTCAGCCTGTGCGGGCAGGCGCCTCGGGCCGGCCTCTGCGCAGCCCTCCACCCTCTCTGGGGCACAGAGACAGGGCCACGGAGGGCCGGCCCCTGGACACAGAGCAGAGTGGGGTGAGCTGGCAGCCACTCACCTCCAAGACAGGTTCCGCCTGTTCCACTTGGTCCTGGCCGGGGCCTGGCGCCTCCTGCGCATCGGGGCGGCTGGGGGCAGGTCCGGGAGGGAGCATCGTGGGGTCCGCATGAGGGCCAGGGTGGCGGGGTCTGCGGGGAGCGGCAGGCGGGTATCTTGGCTTGGGCTCGGGGAGGCTCCCGCTTATGGCCCTGGCCCTGGGGTGGGGGCACAGGACTGACCTAGGACACCGGTGGCCTCCAGGCCACCGAACTGCTGCATGGCAGAGATGGCTTTGGACAGCTCCTCCTGAGTTTGCAGCTGCCCGGTCTCGGGGTCAGCTGGAGGCAGGTAGCCGAACCTGCTCAGCCACTCCTAGGGCAGAGAGCAGAGTGAGGGGGTAGGGTGTGCCCCTGGGGAGCAGCCCCCCAGTCCCCGCCTGGCCTGGCCCCAGCAGGCCCCTTCCTTACATCCCTGTCATCTGCCCTATCAGACAGGTGGGCTTGTGCAGTGCACGACCCGTACCACTGCTCACTCCTGGGGCAGCAGAGTGCCCAAGGGACATTGAAGAAAGGGAAGCTGCCCGGATGTGGTGGCGTACCCCTGTAACCCCACTATTCTAGGAGGCAGAGGCAGTTCAAGTTCAAGCCCAGCCTGGGCAATTTAGCAGGTTCGTGAGACCCTGACTCAAAGAAGAAAAGAGAACTTTTAAATTTTTTTCTTGTATTTTTTTTGGGGGGGGTACTGAGGACTGAACTCAGGGCCTATTTATTTTTATTTTTTGGTTTTTCCTTTGAAACAGGGTCTCACTTTGTAGTCCAGGGGGCCTCGAACTTGCAATGAAATGACCCTCCGCTCTAGCCTTGGGGCGCTAGGAGGACAGGTGTTGGCCACCACGCCCGGCAGCTGGGCCCTCTTCACACTTTAGCTGAGGCAGACAGAGGCCCTCAGGAGTTCGCCCTGGTTGAGCCTGAACTCAGGACCCCAGAGCAGGCAGGCACTGATTGGCAGAGACTGCTGGGATCACCCCCCCACTCCGCTCTGGCCTCTTGAGCCACCAGAGGGCGCTGTGGGCTACGGTGCCAGCCAGGGGCTGGCGGGTCTGGGGCGCTGAGCCACCTCCTTGGTCCCCTCTGGACCAGCAGCACTGAAGGTTTGAGGCCCAGTCTGGGAGTCCCAGAGCGCGGTGACACAGCCCCCCCCCCGGGGGTGTGCAGGTGGCCACTGTCCCTCCTTGGGACGCATTGTGTGGGCAGCTTTGTAGCCTGGACATCTCACGAGCCCGAATGCCAGGCAGCAGGGACCCCCCACAGGCCCCACTCCTTCGGTCCCAGCTGACACCATGTCCTGGGGTGTGTGTGGAACTGGGAGGTCACGGGGACCCCGAGGGCCGCTGAGTGACCAATTTGCACTGGCCCTCCCACCCCTCCCCACACTGGCCATGACCGTGACAGCCACTGTGAGTGCCTGTCACTCGAGGGTCCGCCATGGGATCCTGGCCCAGGCACTGAGGGCCCACGGCAGACCCAGGGAGACAGGGGGCTTCCCTGAAGTTTCCCTGATGTTTCCGAGTTCTGATTCTGAGGTTTCCTTTCCAGAGGTCAGAAAGCGAGCACGTGCTCATTCCCCAGCCGGGCGACGGCAGCTAGGGCAAGGGGCCTGGACCCCGCCAGGCAGACCCCGTGGGACCCAGACAGGGACTTGCCTGCCTCCCGCACTGGGGTCCAGACCCTGCGGGGCCCACGAGCTGTGGCCGAGGCCGGTGACCTGGGCCTGGGCCTGATCCCAGGTTGCAGCCTGTGTCCCAGCCAGGCCTCTTCACGCCCAAACATGCGGCTCTGTCCCTCAGACCCTGATAGGTGCCAGCTCAGGGGGACACGGGGATCCTGGGCTGTGCCTGTGTCCCCTCCCTACTGCGGGTGCAGGGCTGGTAGGGAACTGGCTGGCCCCAAAGGGTCACCTGACACTGGTGCCCTACAGGTACCCATAGACCCCAACAGAGGGGCAGCCCCTGGGAGGCTACCAGTGTCCCCTGCTGCCTGGCCCCGGCCTGCCCGGCCTGGCACCTGTAACACAGGGACGGCTGTCCCAACCCATCCTGTCCTGCTGGCTCGCTGCCTGCGGTCCTCCCTGCTGTCGCCACAGAGATAGACCACTGTCTCCAGGGCAACCAGGCTGCAGGAGGCACGCCGTGCACGGTGTGGGGTGAGCCTTCCAGAAGGCCCCGGGAGGGGCAGGGAGCCCACCCTGTGGCGGCCGTGACTCTCCTGTGCCCGTGGCACTCTGCAGGGGGGGGTCACAGGGGCAGGGCCGCAGGGTCACTGTGGTTGAGGCAGAGGGATCCCCACTTGGTGACACAGACCCCCCAGACCCCAGGCTCTTTATCAGCACATCACGGTGACACACGCGTCTCTTCACAGCGCTAACGAGGCGTGACGCACGCAGCATCAATCCCTTCTGTGACTTCAGCAAATTCACAGCCAGTGCGGCCGGCACCGCAGCTGTGCCGTCTCCCAAGGCCTCCCGGTCCCCCGCCACAGCCCTGCTGGGCCAACGCCCGCCCAACTGACCGGTGTAGGGGTGTCAGCCCTCACTGCACATAGGACCCCTGGACCCCACGGACTCCTACCAAACCATGACGCATGGCCCTCGGCCACCACCCACCAGGCCACAGTGCCCGGCCAGTGCTGGTGCTTTGACTGTGAGGCCCCTGACCAAGGTGCTGGCGCCCTGGCTGGCTGAGTCCTGTCCTGGCACCCCCAGGGCTCCCTCTGCCCAACCTTCTGCCTGTCCAGGAGCACGGCGTCCAAGGGAGGCAGCTCCCAGTCCTTCCCACCACAAACCTGCCACAGCCCTGGGACAAGGGGTGCCAGGGCCCCCGAGCTCAGCACACACAGGTGCTCCACATGGGGCTTGGGCACTGCTGCTACCTCTCACAGGCCAGCAGTGCAAAGCACAGAGAGGTCAGCCACACACACAGCCAGGGAAGGACACGGCTCCTGCACACAGGCGTTGACGCTGCAGCTGCCAGGATGGCTGGGGCAGAGGCACCGAGTCACAGGCACTTGGGGAAGTCACCCCGGGTGACACTCGGCTGGCGGGGGAGCCCCGGGGAACACTCCTGGAGAAGCAGTGGGGCTGAGCCCCTGTGGGGCAGGGAAGGGTGGAGGGGTGGTGGCTGTGGTATGCCAGGGGAAGCCCTGGATCTGGAGTGAGGCTGAGTGCCTGCTGTACCTCTCTGGCCTCTGCTGGCTCCCATCCACTGTCAGTGAGCAGAGCCTGCTGGTGTCGCGGTACCATGGGCGCCCGGTCATGGATGGCACCACTAAATGCCCCACCCAAGCCCATCCAGCCCGGAAGAGACTGCCTGCCTGGGGCCGGATGCAGTGGCTCTCTCAGACCCCTGTGGGTCCGTCCACTCCCCAACCACACGGGTGGCCAGAGGAGGACCTGAGCAAGGACACGGAGACCTGTTTCTCTCCTCGGCACATGCCCGCTGTCCCCGGCTCTCGGGGTTGGACCTGGAGCCTGTGGTCGAAACTCTTGGAGCATGGTGGTGATGGCAGCGTGCAGACGGCGCTAATGGCCCTGCAGGGACCCTGGCCTGGGCATGGAGCTCCCTGCACCAGCCCCAGCTTGGTCAGGGGTCCTGGGTCACCCAAATGACTGTCTTGCAGGAGGTTCTGCAGGCTTCCGGGTGGGGACAGCTGTGTGGGGGCCTGGGTTTGGTCACTAGGGTCGCCTCAAAATCCTCTCCTGTTGTTTCCGGTGTATTCCTGCCCACAGCTTCCCTGCTGGCATCTCCAGGAGGGAGGCCCGGGTGCTGCTGCTAGCGGGTGGGTGATGGAAGGCACCACCAGGTGGGTGGTGAAGAGGAGGCCGGCACACCACAGGTTGGAGTGTGGCTGTGCAGGGCTGGAGCTCTGCACATGCTCTGATGAGGCACCCTGACTGCCCCCAGGGTGACACCACCCTGCCCAGACCCCGTGGGTCAGCCAGTCCCAGAGCTCCCTGCTACGGAGGGCTGTGTCGTCGTGCAGAGGACATGAGAAGCAGGACGACTCAGATGGTTCTCTGGACGCTCCCCAAGACCAGCGACAGGAGCAGGGTGCGGGTCGGCCTCACGCAGCACCCAACTCTGACTCCTCTGACACGTCCCGGGCCTCGGGGCTCCTGCGAGGGCACAGCAGCTCCGGCACCAGCTCCAGCAGGGCTCCTGCATCCCCGAGTTTCCGGCCTCAATCCCCGCTTTGTGCTTAGAAAAGGATCCTGGGGCACGGCCCCTCCCCGCCGCTGCGAGCCTTAGGCACAAAGGCTCCCTTCTCCCAGGAGCGGAGACCAGGGCGGCGGCGCCCCGGGGGTCTGGAGGCTTGGGAGCCCCTAGCTCCCGCCCACCTCTCCAGGCCTGCTCTCTGGTCCCCAGAGCCACCAGAGGGCGCCCCGCCGCGCTGAGAGCAGCAGGCGCCGATCTGCACCGGGAGGGTCCTGGCCTGGCTGGGTGCCCGGTCCGGCGCTGCTGCGGGATCCCGGTTCTCGCCCACGGACTGCGCGCCAGCTCCGTGCACCGCTCAGCGCCGCCCCATCCAGGAGCGGGGACGCAGCCCCGGGGTAGCGGAGCCGGACGGGGCGCTGGCCCAGCCTCCGGTCAGTCGGGAGAAACTTCCCACGGTGCCGACCCTCGTCGCCTGCTCAGTCACGGGTTTCGTCCCCACCCAGGCGCTGCCCGGTGTCGCGTGGCCCCTGGAGTCCGGGGCCCGACTACCCCCGGAGGCGCTGGGACACATGGTGCAGACAAGTGCGCACCCCCAGCTCAGGGCCGCGCGGGGTGGGGCGCAGGGTTGCGGGGCCGCGGCCTGAGCTCCGTGGCCCGGGTGGCCTCAGGTGGCCCGGGTAGCTGCGCGGCTCTCAGACCCAGGGCGGTCCTGAGCCGGGGCTGTGGTGCCACCTGGGCCCTCGCGTCCGGAGCTCAACGCCGCGCGCGCCTGGAGGGAGGCCCGGGGCTCCGAAGCCAGCGATGCCCGCGCGCCCTGGAGGACCCGGGAGGAGACTGCCAGGCTGCAGGACCCCTGAGCCGCTCCGCCGCGGCGCTCCCCGCCTGCTCCGTCCTGCGCGCCCACGCCGGGAGTCGGACCCGGGCCAGCGCGGACCCCAGGACGCCTTGCCCGCACCCGGCCTCAGTTTCCCTCGGCGCGCACTCACCACCCCCAGGCTGAGGTCCTCCGCGCGGGGTGCGGGTGCCGGCGCGGCGCACGTCCGGTGAATAGCCAGCGCGAGCAGCAGCAGAAGCGGCGGCGGCGGCGGGCGCGGGGCAGGGGAGCGGGGCGGCGGGCCGGGGCCCGGAGCAGCTCCGCGCGCCATCCCGCTTGCCCGCCGCCTGCGTCCGCAGCGCCCGCTCCGCAGCGCCCGCCGGACTGAGCCTCGGCGCCCGCCCGCTGGGGCGGAGCCATGCAAATGTATGCTAATGACCACCGGCCCCGCCCGCCGCCTTAAAGGGCCTGCGCCCGCGGCCTGCTCCCCTTTCAGCGCTCGGCTCGGCCGGCCTGCCACGCGCTCCCCGCCTTCCAGGGACGGGATCATGCTAATATTTGCAAAATACCCGCTCGTCCGGCCCGTCGCCTTAAAGGGCCCGCGCCCCGCTTGCCAGTCCGAGCAGCGCTGGTCTGTGGCGTGGAAGGCAGGCTTGCCCCGTGCGGTCCCGAACAGACCCAGACGAGAATGCCAGGATCTGGGGGCCAGAGGCTTCGGCCCTCTTCGGAGGGCAGACCCTGGGTCCCTGAACCCCTGCCCGGCGCCCGAGGTCCGTTTGCGGTCACCCGGGATCTGGCGGCTGTGCACTGCAGGACGGTCGCGTGGGGGCGCCCGCGATCCGCGTGGGATAGGGTGGGCGAGCGCGTGGAGGTGGCCAGGAGCCCCCGGAGGTCCCGAGACCTCGGGTGGGCAGGCGCCCGGGCCCAGCCTGAAGAGACAGCAGCCCACGCGTGCTGCGAGCTCGCATGTGCCTGGTGCTTGCTCGGCGCCTTACACGGTTTCCTCTGTCTTACAGCCCTATGGAGGGAGGAAAGCAAGAATCGCAATTTGCGAGAAAAACAAACTTGGATACCTAGCACACACACAAAAAAAAACAGGCCCTGAGAGCTGTCACCCCTGGGTGCTCAGGCGCTGGTGGCGGGGTTGGGCCAGAGCCACTTAGCCGTGACATCAGGGACACTCGGGGCGGGCGCTCTCCAGGCCCCACCTCCCCAGTGGTGGGGGTTTGGATCGCGGTGCAGCAGGGGCGAGGCGGTCTAGGGGAAGGGCCACGCGGGAAACAGCGTCCTCCACGGGCGTCTGTGTCCCAAGTGCTCCGCGGGCTTTGGGACTGACCCTGCACGGTTGTCGGGGCTGCCTTCCTGCAGGGCGACATGGCCTCACTCCCGCCAGCGCCCTTGTGTGGAGGGGCTGCGGGTGCAGGGAGTTGGAGTGGGGGCTGCCCGTGGTTCCCTGGCGGGCCTGGGGGAGGCTGCGAAAGCTTGGCAAGTGAAGCCAGGCATGGTGGGGCACAGCTGTGATCCCAGGATTCTGGGAGGCCGAGGCAGGAGGATCACTGGAGCTAAGATGTGGTGTGCCCATGCGCCAGAACTTAATCTGCATGTACTCGGGGACTAATAGAATTTGAAGACTAGAAAATCATAATATTTTGTAAAATTAATTGGCATTAATAAAAATATATTTAAAAATAGGCAACAGGGCCTTCCTGGCAAGCAGGAAGTCATGAGTTTGATTCTAGTTACAAAAACAAAAAAAGGAAAAAAAAAGGCACTGAAGGATAGAAGGGCTGGGCTGCAGCTCGGTGTGAGGCCCTGGTCCAACCCTGGCACTTGGGGCACCCAGAACAGCCTGGGCGCGCTCCCCCGCCGTGGGTGTGCCTGGGGCAGGACCTGGAGGCCTGGGGGGGGGTGTCCCTGATGAGGCTGTGGTGGACGGACAAGGCCCTGCGTACTATGGTGCTGCTGCGTGGTAGCCTCCAGCCTGCGTCCCAAGGTGGCCCAGGAAGTACAGCACTCCCTGCTCCAGGGCCCTCACCCAGCGCTGCACAGCCCGGTTCTGCCATCTCCGGGCCAGCGTCTCCAAGGCCTCCTTCCACGTCCTCCACCCACACCAGCAGGCTCTGTACAGCTGTCACCTCAGCCCCCCATGCCGCACCCTGGCCAGGTGGACACCAATGCCTCGCCCTCCCCAGTGCTGGCGGCCCACAGGCTGTCCCAAGACCAGCCTAGCTCACTCCTTGAGATGTCAAGGCCCACGGTGTCATGGCCTGTGCCAGAACTTCCTTTTCCTGGCTAAGTAATCTTTCTCACTACGGGCACCAGGTCTGTCTGTGCCACCAGCTCAGGGCCCTGGTGAGCACCACGGGACTTCCCAGGCGCAGTGCTCCTCCCCTTCCTCAGCCTCTCCCAGGCACAGCTTTTCCAGGCCCCACACCCTGCTATGCTCAGGGCCCTTCCCCCTCGCTCCCTCGGTCTGCAGCCCTAGTGGGCTGATTCATGGGACACTTGGGACTATCAGCCTCGAGCCCGTCGTGGGCTCCCCTTGCGTGGTGCAGGGGCCCACGAGTCCAGGTGGCTCCGTGGGGTGGTGGCCAGTGGGGTCTGCGGTCTGCATTTGGGCTTTCCAGCAAAGCTGAGCCTGGGACAGCCGGAGTTACAGAGGCGTGAGGATGCCAGGAAGGGACCGGCACGGGGCCCACGTCCCTCTCTGCTGCCCTGTTCCGGCACATTGTCCTCCACTTGGGCTCGCTTGGCTGCTGTTTCCCAGGCCTCAGAACCAGTGACCTTGGGAGCCAGCTGGCTTCATCTGGGGCTTTGCCCCAGCGACCCGAGGCGCTTGGACCCATCAAGGATGGGCCCACCAGACCCTGGCTGAGGTGCAGGTGCCCGCACAGCCCACGAAGGAATTGGGGCATCGCCTCCCGGCATGGCAGAGAGCCGTCAAGCTCCAGTCCCTGGTGCATGCAGTCGCCTTGAGGAAGTGTCCTGTCCTGAATGACAGTGATGATCCAGGTTCCTCCGCAGGACAGCGGCTGTTCACCGCCCTCCTCTATGCCAGTGAGGACTCGGGAGGACGGGGCCTACACACCTGTGGTGCCTGCTTGTCCCCTCCCCTCCAGTCCAGCACTGTCTTCCCTCCGGAACACAGGGGATCTCAGTCTCACCCCCTGCCTGGGACATGGGGCAGGTTCTCGGGTAGCCCGTGCCCCTGCTCATACCCTCTGCCTCGGCTCCCTCCTGAGCCCCCACCTGATCCCCAGTCCTCTCTGCAGTCCGCCTCCGTCCTCAGTGTACACTCAGCCCAAGGCTGCACCCCTCACCCCTGGAGTTGCAGGGGCTAAGGGCACCAGCAGGGCTGGTGGGCAGCACAGTGGCATCAGCAGTGGTGCTCGCTCAGCTGGGTGGGGCGGGGACAGACCTGCGTGCTGTGCCAGTCCTGTTTGGGCGCCAGGGCCTCTGCTGTGGGCTGAAAGCCAGGAGCAAGGGGCCTTCGGGGTGCCTCTCACCTCCCTGCTCTGCTCCGGTGCCTGCCTCGTGAGGAAAGCGACTCCTTGTGCTGCCACCGTGGGAGCTGCATGGCACCGCAGGGGAAGAGTGCCATGGGTGCCGACCACACCCTCAGCGGATACCCAGGCCTCCCTTGGGCCGTCGTCGGGGTGGACCCATCCTGGACGCAGGTGGTGGCGTGCAGTGACTGGAAAGGGTGGAGGTGAGGCACGTCGGGAACTAAGGGCCCCCAGGGCAGTGGCATGGGGAGGCCTGGTGCGGAGGGTGCCCTCTGGGCGGTGGGGCTGTCTCCTGCTGCCACGTTGGCCAGCTGGCTACCCAGCACTCCCTGGCACCCCAAGATTGTAGTCGCGACCCGGCAGCCTCTGTCCGTCAATGGGAAACCTGCAGCAGAGCAGGGACGGCAGGAGACACCGAAGCTACATGAGCAGGGAATCGGCTGCCACTGCGCGTGGACCCCCAAGCTGGCAGAAAAGCAGCCGTCTACACAAAACGTGAGCCCTCCCACACAAAGAAAAGCTCAGCCAGGCACGGCGGCACGTGGGTGACATCCTGACACTTGGGGAGGCTGAGGCAGGAGGATCCTAATTTAACTTGATTCTGTCTCAAAATAACGGGTAGGGAACCGAGCTCAGGGACACAGCACCCCTGGGTCTGTCCTGTGCTGGGAGGACAGAAAGGAATGATGAACAAAGCCCAGGGAGGAGCCCGTTGGGACACAGCTGGCAGCAAGCCCTCACCGAGGAGAGGCCGGCACCTCCCCCTGGCAGCTACAGCCTGTCCAGGAGCGGCCGTGGTCGGTGGCCTGCAGCCGGCCAGGCATCCCAAAGGCTGGTACACCAGCAGCCCTTCCTCCCCGGGGACGTTGTGGGGCTGAGGATGGGGCAGGCGGCCTGTTGTCCTCGCCTCAGCCAGGATCTACGGGCACAGATGCCGTCCCCACAGCACCACCCCGCAGGTCCGGCCGCCCCAGGGAGAGCAGGGCCAGCTGGGTCTGCGTGTGTCCGGGGTCACTGTCATACTGGACCTCACGCCACATGCAGCTGGGCCTGGTTCTGTTTCTGGTTTGTGCTGGCCCAGGATGCTCCCCACCGGAACCCCAAGGAACAATGGGACAGATCCTCCAGCAGCACTGAGCCACCGTCCCATGGGGTACACGGCCACCAGGCTGGGGTATGGGGTGCACAGCTGACGGCCGGAAGGCCACACACAGGGCAGTGCTGCCTGCCCATGGCGGGTCACGCCTGCACGGGGAAGCCCAGTTGTCACTGTCCCCACGCCAAGAAGGAAGACACTGATGAGGCTGCTAGCTAGAAAAGGCTTCCTCCCGTTTTATTCGATAATACATTTTCACAGAAACATGATATTATTTACAAATATACAGGTAAGAGACTGCTGGTCAAAAATCTGAAACTGAAAATATCATCGAAAATTAATTTACAAAAGCCACCCCTGCCCAGGGTGTCTGTTGTGCACGGCCTCAGGCCCCGGCCGGGTCTCAGGAGGCGCTGGTCTGCAGGTTTTTGGAAGCTGCAAGCATCGCTCTGACTTTGGCCATAAGGTCCTGTGTGGGCGAGAAGGGAGGGGACCTGTGGGGACGGGGCAGGGTGCCCGCAGAGAGGAGGGCCTCCTGTCCGGATCCGCCCACAGGCCTCTGTCTGGAGGCAGCCTGGGTCAGGGCGGAACAGGGAGGAGTGGACGGCAGCAGGAGGAGAGGGGGAAGAGACCACACCCGCGTACCTGAGTTATTTTGCTCTGCACAGAGGAAACGATGGCCGAGGAGATCTGACCTTCTTTTTCCTGAGAAACTCCCCTGGCGCAGACAGACAGACTGAGCTCACTCACACCAGGAGAGACAGACACCTCTGCCCCAGACCTGACTCAGACAGCTGTGTGATGCGGCGTCCCTGGGGCTGAGCGCGGACCCAGAGTCTCATCATACCGCTGGGCTGCCCACCAGCCCTCCGCTTCTACTTAGAAACAGTTTCCCTGAGTCGCTGAGCTGCCAGGCTGGGCCCCAGCTTCCCACCCTCCCACCTGAGCCTCCTGGAGTGCTGGGGCCATGGTGTCACCACCACACCTAGCAGGGTTCGTGTCTGCACCAACATCACCGGAAGCACAGGTGAGAAGGGAAGGGCCAGGAGAAGGACCGTGGCGTCACCCTCCTGGGGCACAGGAAGCTGCCCAGACAGCGTCTCACGTGAGCTGTGGGTCCTGTGACGTGCACGGTCCGGAAGGCCAGCAACGCAGTGGTGACATCCTGCCTGCCACGTGAGTCCTCCCGCGGCCCCAGCAGGGCAGGACAGCAATGCCCACCTCAAAGCTGCCTGCCTCCTGGTCCTTGGGCAGCATGGGCCCCATTGGGCTAGGACGCTGCTGGTTAGACCCTGGCCTCTGAGATGCTGCCACCCCTGGGCATCTCAGGGGGCTCCCTCTGCCCGAGTGCCCTGCCGCTACTCCCAGACGCCCAGCTGGTTACCTGGAGCGCTCCTGGCTGGAGCCCCGGCTCTCCACAGGAGAGATGCTGGCTGAGTGGGCCGAGGGTGCAGCCGGCCGGTGTGCCGCCTGTTTGCTCGGGGATGCCGACTGAGACCGGGCCTTAGCCTTGGTCCGAGACTGTGACCGCCTCTTCTTCTTCTTCTCGTGGGGGCTTCTGGAAAAGAAGTGCTCCTAAGAGAGGTGCACATCTGCTGAAGGCGTAGGGTCCCAGAGTGTAGCGTGTGGGTTCAGAACCGAGGCCCGGGGTTGCCCGGGTGAGCGGAGCTGCTGGAAGAGCCTCTCCCAGGGAGGCAGTGGCCTCCTCCAGCACCTGGCACCAGGAGGCACCACCTGGCTTCTACGTGTGCTGAAAACACTTGTGTTGAGCAGCTGGGGTTTATATGCTGATTAAATGGGGACACACGAGACAGGGGCGACGCCAATGCTGCACGCTGCCTAAACCAAACCCACAGCAAGCCCGGTGGACATGCGGCTAGGCCCAAATCCTGGTCAACTCAGTGCTGATGGTGCCTGTTTCCTCAGAGGGAAGTCCCCAGAGGGAGGCTCCCCGTTAGAACCACTCTCCAACCCCGGCCACGCTTTTCCCGCCCTGCTCCCTGCTGAGCCCCAGGCCCTGAGGTGACTGATCTGTCTTGAGCAGCTTTCTTTGGAGGCAGCATCTTGCCACCCAGCCTCTGTCTCCTGGGTGTGGAGATCACAGGCACACACGCAGGCCTGGTGACAGCTGCAAGCATGCAGCTGGCCTGAGCCCTTCTGCCCAGGCCCTCCAGGTCCCAAGACGCTTCTTCCGCATCTTGGCTTGCATGAGGAGCTGTTCATCCAGGTTGCAGGGGCCTCCCCTTCTCTGCCAGGATGGGTGCCCCTGATTTCCCCAGGCTGGGAGTGGTACCAAGGCCCTTCCCATCCAGGTCACCCTCTACCCTCCAGGACACAGCTGGGACCCACACACTTGCTTGCCAATCCAACCCCAAGCCAGCTGCTTCCAGGCTGAGGCCCTCTATCCCTTAGGAGTGGCCAGGCAGCTCCTGCATGAGTTGGTGCCTTCCCTGATCTGAACTGTGTTGCCGACGGCTTCATTGTGTGCCTGATCCATGGAGGCCCAACCCAGAGCCCGGGCACAGTACCAGGCTGATGGTGTGCTGAGCAGGTGGGGTGAAGGCAGGCCATGGGCTGCAGAACACAGCAGCATGCAGCCAGGCCGTCCTGCTGCTGGGGACGGTGACCTCGCTGAGCAGGGCTGCACGCCAGTGACCTGGTGTCTCCTAGGGCATATGGGTGAGCAGGGGTGCAGCTGTCAGAAGCGGCCTGTGCGAGGGGCCTGCTCTGCTCTTTAATACTCAGGTGAGCCCAGGTCTTCACGCTGAGCTGTACCCTGTCTCACTCTGCTGCCCTCGCTGGGCCAGACCTCGTGATTCTCCTGCCTGTCTCCTGGAGCACTGGAATTACAGGTGAGTTCCACCACATCTGGCTCTCTCTGTGCAGCTTCTACTCCCTAGTTAATCCCAATCAGTGAATTAACATTCTAATCCGCTGGGGTTTCAAAGGAAGCAGCAAAGAGAACAGTGAAGTACCCGGTAGCAACCGGCCTCTGACCAGCACAGTGGGGCCCAAGTCTGGCTGCCTAAGGTGCAGGTGGTGGTGACGCTGCCTGTAGCTCAGGAGCCTCCTGTCACACCAGCTCAGACTGACTGCAGTTTGAGCTCAATGGTGGGCCGTCCAGGCCCCTGTTGCAGGAACATGGGAGCAAGGAAGCCACCCCCAGGTGGCTGAGGCCCAGTGTGTATGGCCTCAGCACCCACTGTGGAAGAGCCCTGCAGCAGCAGGAGCAGGCTGGAGTTCTGGGATGTTCCCCCACTCTCCGAGGTGACCTCAGTCCAACTTCGATGCAGGGTGTGGTTCCACTGAGCAGAGCTTGCCACGCCCAGCAGGGAGGTGCCTGTGCGATGCGTTCTCTCCACCATCTCCACCAGGGCCGAGGCACCTCTGGGTCCGAGGCTCACGCCCATCAGAATCCATGCTGGGTGGAGCAGCAGGCAGCAGCTCTGTGAGGGCCTGGCCTGCCCCCCAAGTGGCCGCACCGAGCCTCTACCAGGCTACCACACGCCCATGCCACCCTTCCTTCTCGGAGCTGCTCTTCTGGGCAGCCGTTGTAGGTCTCGGCCCTCGAGTCACCGTGGTGGGGCTTGGCCTGTGCTGACAAGCAGAGGGAGGCCTTCAATGCTGATGCCGGCTGACGCTGTGGCCTCTCCTTGCAGTCGGGTTGTGGCTCTGAGGGATCCCAGGCACATGTTCCGTCCTCTGGGAGCTGCTTGGCACCTTGGCTACAAAGACCTCCAGGTTCTCGCCAATCGCCTGGGCACCCCCGTCAGCACCTGTGTGGCCATGTGCGGGGCCCTCTGGGACTCTCTCCCCTATTCCACTGGTCCCAATCACCGTGGCTGTCCTGTCAGTGGTGAGATGCTGAAGTCAAAGCCGCTCCCTGTCCCTCTCAATTGCACACAAGCTTCAGGTTGCAGCCTGAAGCTGTGGGTGTGTATGGGGACGTCCTAGACACATCCACGACACTGGGCAGAGGAGTAGGTTCTGCATGTGCAGGGCTCTGAGGGGATGTGGTCTCTGGTGGTGCTGCAGAGGAAATGGGTGGGCTCTGCACAAGCCAGGTGAGGCTGGCGCTCCGCCCTGAGCATGTCTCTGTCCTTCACTATCATCCGAAGCAAACCTCCACTTCCTCCAGGGCCTTCTTGGACTCAGAGCATCTGGCTTCCAGCACTTGGACTTCTCCAGCTCTTTGTGGCTTGGGGGTGACGCCCTGTGGGCTGGGAATGACCTGAACCTCAGCTGCTGGCCAGGCCGCTATGTGCATCCCGTGGCCGGCATGTCCTGCGGAAGTGAGCCCTGGCCCTGGGAGACGTGGCCTCAGCCTGCTCTCACCTACCTTCATACACCTGGTGCCCAGTAGCCCGGCCACGCTCCGGCCCTCCCCGCGTGCTGCGCTGGGCTTGTCTGCCTCTTGCTTCTGATTTCCATGTTCAGGTCAGAAACGATCCAACCTCAGGCTTCTGTTCCATCATGGATTTCAATCTGCCAGCACTCAACCCAAACAGACTTGCTGTACACCGGTCCTGAGGCAGAGCCTCGGGCAGCGAGGGACACGCTCCCCACTGGACACCCAGCTGAACAGTAGCAATGACGAGCCGGGGCCACAGACCCTGACCCTCCGTCTCAGCCGTGCGTGCTGGGATTCTAGGTCCTCCACACGCCTGGCCGAGCAGTTTTAATTCCATCCTCTTGGTTATTTGTCCCGCTTGTGGCCTGCAGTCCTTTTCTGCTTCCTTTTGAATTTAGTAGAGCATTTTTAATTGTTTCGTAGCCTCTGTCGGCTCCTTTCAGTTGGTTGCTGGGGGCCTGGGTACCACCGCCAGGAAAGAACATTCACGTGTAACCGAGAGCCACCTCCAGGACACCTGCCCCACGAGCTTGCACACAGCTTGCCCCTACGATTTGGCCTCACTGTGACAAAGCTGACGGGGCGTCCCGAGGCAGGGCTGTGACCCCTGACCAGCATTCTGTGACAAGTACTTCTTGATGTACTCCAATGTTTGGGATGCATGTTGTTTTTACATTTTCATATTTTCAATTTTTAATACCACAGATCTGGACTTCTAAATGCGTGCCTGTCCTGGTGGGGGCAGGGAAGGTACTGGCGAGCCTGGCATCACCTGCCCCAGTGTTCGGAGCAGCAGGAGGAGCCTACAGCAGTGTGGCACTTGCTATAAAGCGCTCCAAGGGCCTGGTGTGAGACAATGTGATGTCACAGAACAATAAAGCGACTTATTGCTGCACCCCAGGAAGCACAGCCCAAAGGCTCGAGTCCACAGTGATGCTACCTTCTAGCAGAGGGTTAGCTCGTCAGTGCAGGGGCAGGGCAGGGCTCAGTGGGCAAGGCCGGGGAGGGGGGGGTCACTGCTGGCGATGGCCCCCTTGGCATCCCAGGGCCGTGTCTGTGTCTTTGGTGCAATGAGAGAGCCAGGAGACAGGGCCGCCTGTGGCCTGGCATACGCCATCCGGAGACACAGAAAGGAGGGTGGGCCGGGTGTTCACTGCATGGCTTAAACTGTCCCCACACCGCAAGACTGTGGAAGAGGTGAGCAGCAGCAGGGGACAGTCCACCTGCAGTGCCTGTGAAACACGCCGTCTGTGCAAGGCCTCAGCCCTCAGGGTTAGGGCAGAACAGGCAGCGGCGTGCAGGCGCTCACTGCTATCCAGTGCCAGCGGATCCATCCAGTGCCAGCAGATCTGCCTGCTGCCGTCACCACAGTGGGCTCAGGCTTGGTGATCTTCGAGGTGAGTGGGCCCACGTGCAACCCACCCCTCCTGTCACAGGCTGCCTGCAGCCACACCCGAGGTCTCTGAGTCCTCACATCTCTGCTTTAGCGCAAAGGTTAATTTGACGGCAAGGAGGAACTCTTCTGTTACGACAGACAATTAACTTTAGGTCATGCCCTCCCTGGATGCCAGAGGCGGTGATGAACTGCGACATTAAGTGAGTTGCTGGGGAATGAGCTGATGCACCGAGAGAGCTGCGTGTGCTCGGTGTAGGATTAGCAAGGCACGGAACCCCATTCACCAACAGAGCGGCTGGCAAGATAAACCACACCGGCACCCACCAGCTGCCCAGCTCTCTGAGCACTTCCCTCTTTAAGAGCCTGCTTCTCTGCCCCAGTGGAGCCACCCTCCCATGTCTGACCTGGGACACTGCCTGTGCCCCTGTAAAGGCAGTGCTGGGCGGGGGTGCACTGCTGTGGCTGGTGCTCAGAACAGTGGCAGCAACCAGGGGCCCTGGTGTTGCCATACACCCCTCCTACTCTCTGGGTGACAAAGGCACTGAGGGCTCCTGGGAGCTGAAGCCACAGCCCTAGCTCCAACAGCAAATGCCTGGGGCCAGAGAGGATATCAAGTGAGGGGTTCGCACTGCTGATAGGTGAGGGGCAGAGCTGGGGCGCCCAGCAAGGACAGTGCTCCACAGGACCCGGGGACTCATGGTCACTGCCCTCAGCTGTCTCACACAGGCGGATGGCAACCTCAGACCTTTCTCTAAGGAGCCCTGGGAGCTGGCGCCTGGGCGGAGGTAGCCTACCTGGATCGGGCTCGTTTTCTGCTGGCCCCGGGGCTACTGCTCATCCGGTAGGCAGTGGGCATGCTTCTTTCTTCCCGCCGTCTCTCAGGGGAGTGGGCTCTCCGCCGAGGGGACCGGGAGCGGGATCTGGATGGAAGACGACAGGCAGAGGGTTGGCACCACAGCCTGGGTGTCTGGCATGCATCTGTGTGTGGCAGGCCAGCACCGACACGCTTGCAGGTGTGGTAGCACGGTGCCTGCCTGGCCAGCCAGGCCCTGCTGTCGCTGGGCTCCAGCCCTTGGAAACAGTCACCCCTCCACATGTGAAGTGCCCAGGCTGGCCTGGGGGCCTGCTCTCCCCTCTGCCTACAGTTTCCCACGCACCAGTGCTGCGGATGCAGCCGGTGAGGAACAGAGCTGACACGGCCGGCCATCCTCTTGTCTGAACACTGGCCTGAAGTGAGAAAGAGAAGGCCCTGGAGGCAGAGGGTAATGGCTGCAGCTTTTGCCCGCTCTGGCCTCAGGCTGCTGCTGGCAGGAATGGGTGGAGTGTGCTTTGGGCACACTGGCATGGGCCCAGCTCCAGAGCATGCCGTCTCATGGTGGCGTGGGCTCAGCTACTGCAGAGCCACCCCTAGCCTTCCTGCTTTCTTCCTGGGACTACAGGACCCATCTACCCAGCCCACATTGGGCACAGAAGGCCACGACACCCTTGGCCACCAAAGGAGCTGGGTCCCTAACGTGGGCCCCTGGACGGCCCTGGGACTTTTACTTTAGTTCTTCATTCAGTCAGTGAAGTTACTGATGTAGGAAATCCTGCAATAAGCAGAAGTCTGGGGGAAACACCATTTCCCCCACTCTGTTTCCAAGACAACCCAACTCAAAAACAAAACAACAGCAGCTTGATTTTAAAAAAGCCCTCCACTAAATCCTTTGAGTTACATCAAAAGCCCCTAAACAACACACACGGGTGTTCTGGTCAGCGCAGCCCACCCCCGGCCATCCTGAGCACTGGCCCCTCTGGCACAGCGGCCTTGGGACTGCACAGGTGAGGGCCGTCTCCCCAGACCTGCCCTAAGCTTCCTGTGACAGATTACAAAGTGAGGGCAGTTAGACACCTTGACAGTTTACCAGGCTTCCCCTCAACAGAGCTCCGGGAGTCAAATCTGTCCGAGGCCGAGGCTGCCTGACAACTCTCTCGCTGGGCTGCTGCTGCCACCGCCGCGCGGCTCTGACAAGGCTCCGTGCTCAGGGTCCCTGGGGAGGCCGTGCGCCTGTGGTCGGAGGCACACACTTCACACTCGGAAGGGCTGTGCGCTACCAGAGCTCGGGAAGGGCTCCGCTTACCAGAGCTATGGCACCCACAGGATGCTTAACACAGGAGCCCCTGGTAAGCTCGGGGCAGGACAAGCAGACCGTCAGCACCTACAGACTGGACTCTGCAGACAATATCTGGTGGCGGGGCTATGGGTGCTACGCTTCTCCAGGTGCCAAGCTGTTGCAGGCTTCCCGTCAGAGGGAAAGCCCCCACCCAGCACTGGGAGCAGTAATGGCAGTAGGTGATTCTCCGAGTGCAAGAAGTGCCAAGGGTTTTTACTGTTAACCAGGCTCTCGCCACAGCTGCCTGGTCTCAGCCAAGGGGCCCCGCTACCCCTCGGCACAGAGGCTTCGTCTTGTGTGGTCTTTCTGAGGCAGGGTCTTGCTGTGCAGCTCAGGCTGGCCTTGAACTCACTCTGTAGCCCAGGCTGGCCTGAACTTGCAGCAACCCTCCTGCTTGGCCTCCTGCCTCAGCCTCCCAAGTGCTGAGATGACAGGCGTGCACCGGCACCCTCGGCCACAAAGGCTCCTGGGAGCCGACACCGCCTGGGTTAAAGGGTGCCGTGCTTCTCTTTGCTATGCGTACTCAGAAGGGTTTGCTCTCAAAGGCACAGGGAGACCTTTCTCGGGGGTAAACCCCGGAGATCTGATCGGAGCCCCTCAGTGTGTTTATAAAGAGCTGCTCTCCACTCCTCATGCTGCGTCCAGGCCGTCAGCACCAGGGCCGCTCGCTCTAGGCCAGCAGGCCGCCCCTGGCGTCCAGTTTACACTGGGCACGCGGAGCCCCGGCTTCCCGCCACCAGCAGACTACTTCACCACCTCCAGCAACTGCCCTCACCCCAGCACGGCACTGTCTCCACAGGGGCCTCTAGAGGATCCGTCTCTTCCTTTCAGAAGCGGGATTAGAAGGTTAAATTTTACCTTTGGTTGGTTTGCTGTGCAGTATTTCACACAGAAAAAAAGGACAATGAAGAACTATAACTTCCAAATTAAAATATGATTGCAGTTACTATTTTTGCCTGAACGCTGCTTTTCAATGTTAAACTATTAAAAGAGCCATGCTACTCCCCAGAGGCTCTCTGGGGAGCTAAGTTCTGGACAGGGACCCAGGTGCTCACACAGCTCCTCTACGAGGACAGTCTGAAGCCCGCTCAGAGCCCGACCAGGCCGACATGAAAAGGGTGCAGTCTTGGCTGAAGGTCAAAACCAGACGCAGTTCCAGGCTCCAGTCCTCTCATGTGCCTAACGAGACTTGTGCCTCATGGTGACCTTCAGCTTTAGGTGTGAGCCACCCATGTGAATGTGCCTTCTCGCCATGAAGACGGAGACCCTGGCCACTACCAGGACAGATGGAGCAGGGACAACACGGGGAGGGAAAGTCGGATGCCACCGCCAGCATGGAGGACCCAGCGCCTCCCAAGGCGACAATGACCGTGGTGACCTGGGAGAGACTCTTGCCATGCTGGCGTGTTCCTGGGTCCTGACTGCCTCTCCTCGGGGCCTGCAGAGGCAGTGGGGCTCCCCATGGTGTCAGCAGCCCCACGGTAAACAGACTCCCGACAGAAGTGCCGCCTGACCTTTCCGTCCAGCACTATTTATGTACAGGACCACAGTGACTCACTTCAGTGCGTGTCACCACGATGAGACATGGCCACCACGGTGGCCTTTAGCTGAGCTGGAGCAGCTCGACAAGGACCAGTCAGGCCACAAGCCTGGGGCACCCCCCGGGACGGTGGTCTGTAACGGGCTGTGCTGGCTGAAGAGAAGTGATGGAGGCAGCAGGAGGGCGCTGGTGCTCTCAGTGGTTCGGTCGGGCAGCAGCTGGCTTCAGCTGTCAGTGACCTCTGCTGGGGAGGCACAGGCCATGATGCGTGCATTTTACCTGCAGCTGCAGCACGTGAAATCCACTTGCGTCCCCGCATGGGAGGCCAGCCAGGGCGGGCCTCAGCCCGAGGGCCACAGCCCCAGCAAACACCCGCCCCAGGGTGCGGCTGTCCAGGGTGGCCTCGTGCCTGCTGTGTATTTCAACAGCTGGAAGGTTTGTTTCCTAACATTATCGGTCTCTACTGCAGACGGAACCCGAGGCTGCCCCTCTGGGCTGTACCCCCAGCCCTCTATTGCCATTACTCTTAGTCTGGGACTGGGGCGTGAACTTGTGATCCTCCTGCCTCAGCTTCCCAAGTGCTGGGAGTCAGTCTTTTATAGCAAGGCTGTACTTTGCCTTGTTATTTTATCTATCAAAACTAAATTCCAAAAATCTGACTTAGTACACTTAAAAGTCAGTTATTTCACTAAAATCAACTACAAGTCTTATAAACACCACCTCGATTAAGAAGTTCGAGTGGCAGAATACTCGGCTCTGCTGACACTACAAATATTTTCACATAGGTCAAGAAGGAACTGGTGGCCTACCGTCACGGCAGAAACTGTAATCAGAATATTCTTCATTTTTTTCCTTGTACCTGAAAGTTACAAACTAAGGAGTAAGACATCCATCTTGGACTTACCAGTGCTGAATGTATAAAAATAGTAAGATGCATTTGTGTGTAAATCTATTTTAAAAGAAACAGTAACACAGGCTCAACTTAATGTATTCCAGACTAGTGCAAGGAAACTAATGCCCGGCTCTGACACCCTACGGGTGTGAGGTGCCCAGCCCTGCCCCTGCTGCACAGGCCCTGGTGCGGGTGCTGGGGCAGGGCCACACCTGGGGACCACAGAGGAGCCCGCCTTCCCCCTGAACGCAGCGGGGTCCCTGGGTGCGGTGTGCCAGCAGGACTGGCTCAGGCACGTGGCACTTCCTCCCAGTTCTGTGACTGCATAAAAAACTTTCTTAGGTGAGAGAAATTCTCTACAAGGCTTTCATCTGCAATACAAATTCCTGGGAAGATTTAGACCAAAAGTATATCAGCAAAGCTACTCATTCACTTGATTGATTTCTTTGCTGTGTGTGTGTCATGGTAGGAAGCAAAGCAATGGATCTTGCGCTGAGGAGGAGGAAGAGGAGGAAGAGGAGGAGGAAGAGGAGGAGGAGGAGGCACAGCAGAAGGACAGGCTCTGCCCAGGACGTCTGGCAGCCTTGGTCCACTCCACCCTCTTCCCATGGAGGGAAACCTCACTTCCAGGAGCGCTAGGTACCTGCAGTTGGGTCTGTGATGGAGGTGCTGCAGTCTGGGACAGTGGGGGACACACAAGGCAGACGGGAGCGCCCAGGAACTGGACAGCCTTTCTGAACCTCATGCAAGCTGGCCAGCTATGCTCCTTCTTTTTGATGGGGAATCCAGGACCTTGCACATGAGCAAGGCCTTTCTGCAGCTGAGCACCCCGGCCTGCCCTCCCTCCTCTAAAGGCAGTCTCGCTAGGCTGGCCTGAAGAGGAGGTCCTCCTTCCCCTCCTGAGGAGCTGGGATTAAACTGTGCTGCTAAGTAGTAAATTCTGGGTAGTGCTGCTGTTGTCAGAGATGGGAAAGCACTTTCCCCAAGGGTGCCCGGGGAAGGAAAGCTCTGCGCAGTGGTGGGAACGGAGGAGGGAGAAGACCTGCCCTGCTGCCACCTCCTCACCACCCGGGTACTGTGGACTGGAGCACAGACTACGGGGTGAAGATTTCTGTTTTGAAACTTACACACACACACACACAAAATCAGCACAGAGAGATCACCCACATAAACAGAAGGACCCATCCCTTCTCGTGCAGTTTTTGCACACTGAAACAATTGCTAGGCTGGTGCCTGTGGTCTCCTACCATTTAAATAAACCCTGCTTATTTCTTTTTAAAGCCAGCAGAAGTGGAAGAACTTACAGCACTGGCTACGATACCAAGAACAGGATGGAGGGCACAGGCAGCAAACGCCCACTGTGAACCTCTGCCCCACTCTGTTGGGCGGGCACCAGCTCACGCAGGGTCCTGTGCGCGGGGACGGGGACCTGCAGGGTGCTGGGGCCCTGCATACCTACCTCGACCGCCGCACCGTCCGGTAGGCGCTGGGAAGCGAGTGCTTTGCTTTAGTGTGGGACCTGGACCTGGACTTCGACGACGAATGGTACTTGGGAGAGCGGGACCTAGTCCGAGACCGTTTTTTGTGCTTTTTCTTCTTCTTCTCTTTTTCTTCTTCCCGCGGTGGGTCTCTGCTTTTGCTTGAAGGCCTTTCTTGTGGCTTCACTTCTGAAGTAGGCAGGGGTCTGCTTCCGGTCAGTAGTGGACAGGGTGCAGCACCGGTTTCCTGAGGAAAAAAGCAAATTTGTGGCATCAGCAGAGAAATGCACAGTGAGGAGAGCAGGTGACAACATTTAACTTCAGGCCTCACTTAGCAGGGCAGGTGTCCCAGCAGGGATGACCTGCCCCGCCCCACGGCGGTTAGCAGCTCACCCTCCTTTCCCCAGAAGGCGGTTCAGGTGGAGGAATCAGCCCTCCCCGCAGCCAGCTGGGGCTGTGGACAACCCAGGATGAGGGCAGCAGCTGTTTCGGGAAACCTACACCCGCTCGACAGCAACTTCCCCCAAGCAGACTCCACAGCCCGCTGTGGTTGTCTCTCGAGCTGGAGGCCTGATCAGAACCGCTGCAGTGCTTGCAGAGGGGACAGTGGCTGGAGCATGGGGGCCACCCCACGGGAGGCAACGCCCGGGTGTCCCTGCTCACTGCAAATGAATTTTAACCAGCCACAAACACCTCGCACCTCTACATCATGCATGTCGAAGGTCTAGCTTTGTGGGTTTTGGAAAACTTCAACAGAGCCTGCGACCTTCCCCTGGTCCGCACCACCCACCCCCCGCCCACCAGGCCAGTAGATGGGCGCTGCACACAGGGCCACTGCAGCATGCACGCCTGCCCACGCACATCCTGGGAGCTGCTTCAGCCCTGGCTGGGGCCTGTCCCAGACCAGCTCCTGCCCAAAGGGCCGGGGCCTGTGCGGCTCAGGAAGGGAGGCACCAACATGTGCAGCTCAACCTCCTCACCTATGCTGGCTGCCCTCCCACCTCCATCTCCTGAGCAGTGTGACATGCAGGGGCAGCCCAGGCTCGGCTAAGTAGGACCGTTCTGGAGGCTCTGCCTGGAGACCTCCAGAGAGCCCACTCAGCACGGGACAGAACGGCTTCTCGAGCCAGAGCTTCACAGTCTGCTGTTAAACATACTTAGCACAGCAAAGAGCCCTCCGAGCAGCCCTACTCCCACGCTCACCCCTATGCTCACACAGGATCCCCGCCCTGTGTGGGAGAAGGAGCATGCTGGGCAGCCGGGTGCACACTGCCATGTCCTGGGCTGCAGACCAGCCAGGGGACCCCGCAGCCCCAGACAAATCAGCACCTACACAGGGAAGACCCCAGCAGCCCCGGCCTCTCCCATGAACACAAGCTCATGAGACTGGAGGCCAGACTCGAGGTGGACAGCAGGAACCGAAGACTACCCCATGGATGCCAGCCCTAGAACGCTGCACCCCTGTGGATCCTGGGTGGCTGCCACCCTTTCAGGTATGAGGCCCTTTCAGGACTTCCCCAAAGAGGAAGGCCGAGACACACCCACCTCTCACAGGCTGGAAGTGAAGGGCGGCCAAGCCTCACCGTACATCCTCATCGCCGTCATGAGCACTAGCACGCTGCAGCCACAGGGTCACACACATCACACAGACAGACGGAGCGCTCCACAGGCTCAGGGCCAGACAGCACCAGGGCACAGCCAGCAGGGGACGCGTCCTTAGGGTCCTCACAGTCAGCCCAGCACAGCGCCCCTCTAAACTCTGTGACTGTTTCCCTCACCTCCACCTCAAGCGATGCCTGTCCTGGACGCGTCACTGACTTGCCTCCTGCTGCCAAGGCCAGAGTGCTCAGCTGCTAAGTGAGGAAGCTCAGAAGAGCTGCTTCAAACTACAGCGTGCACTCAGCCACGAGATCTCCGTACCCCAGCAGGATGACTATCCTACCCAGCTGCAGGGGCACATGCCTGTTACTCAGCTACTCAGGAGGCTGAGGCAGGAAGAGCTGAAGTATGAGTTCGGCTTGGGGATTCAGTGAGACTGTGTCTCAAAAACAAAGAATAAATAGGGCTGGGCAGGTAGCTCAGTGTTAGAGAGCTTGCATAGCACCGCAAGGCCCTGGGTACTATCCCCAGTACCGAATCAGCGAGTCAGCCAGCCAGCCAAAGATTATCCTTCATCAGTAAGACAAAACCTGGTAACTATGGTGACCTTCGCAGGCAAAATCTAGATGATTCATTGTGGTCAGCTCTTTGTTTTTTTAATTAAAGGTACCAGAGGAATATTTACAAATTCAGTATGCAGACTCGAGAACAAAATAATGAAAAATACCAAATACCAGGCACCACACCCAGCTGCTGGTGGCAGGACAGGTGCCCGGGGTACGTCCCCTGACCAACGCTTGCGGTGCAGGAGGAAGGTGGGGTGGGGAGGGCCGGCCCTGTGCCTCCTGCCTAGAGTCAGCTGCCTCAGACACTGACCAAGGACTGCGCATCACTGCCTCTCCAAGCAGTACCGACAGTACTTCGGGGTGCCCAGCTGTAGAAGACAGAGGAGGGGGTTTGTGCGCGTGAGTGTGCGTGGAAAGTCAGCAGGAGAACCAGCTGCGAGGGTATGCAGGGAGGCAGGCCTACAAGCTGAGCTGGAACCCACTCAACCCAGACTCTGGTGATGCTCACAGCACGTGCGGCAGGGGATGCAGCCCAGAAGGCCTCACCCTCCCTGGCCATGGTGCTACACGTGGGGACAGGCATGGCCTCCATCAAGCCATGCATGGCCAAAGGAACCCTACGCCAGCTGGCTGAGCAGGCACAAGGCTCCCTTCGTGAGTCAGTCATGAATCTCCACCAGGCTGTGAGCCCGCAGCCAGCCCATGAGCCCGGCCCGCACGTGGCTCAGCAGATGCTGAGCACACCCAGTTCCAGCGTTCCACTCAGTTCTGGCGCTGAGCTCAAGACTTCACAGCCATCAGACACCCTGAGCCGCACCTTGGTGTCACTGTGCCACCCAGGCTGGGCTGCAGTGACTCTACTCTCTCAGCCTCCTCGGCAGCAAGAACTACAGGTGTGTACTGCCCTGCTTGGCCTCAGAAACACAAGAAGTGCAGAAAGCAAGACCCGGCTAGGCCCTGTGGAGGGCAGACGGTCCTCCTGCTGTGGCCGGCTTGGGCAGTGACCAGGAGTGGCTCTGAACTCGTCCCCTCTCCTCTAGAGGCCGCTGGTATAGCTGGTGGCTGCCACACCACAGAGTGCACATCTCAAACACATTCATTCTCAAGGTGAGCACTGTTCTGGCCGCACCAGAAGACCCTGGCTGCTGCTAACTTACACCGTCCCCGCAGGCATAGCCAGGAGGGCAACTGAGTGGCTACCTCCTGAGTGCAGACTGGGCCCCCGCCGGCACCATGTCAGGGTCCCGGAGCACCTGCTGATGCCCTTCGTGCACCATGGCCAGGGAGCCAGAGCCACCTTTCCAGGGTGCACTTAACAGAGACAAAGCAAACCGTGGCTGGCGTAAGGCTGGGGTCAAGTATTGTTTGGGAGACCACAGGAAGTGTAGAAAAGCAGGGATTCATGTGCTGTCAGGCCGCCTGCTGCCCACCACTTCAGCAGTGTGGAGAGTCGTGCTGATCAGTCCTCTACTACAACTGAGTGTTTACTTGGCAGTATGTTAGCATGCCAACCAGCATCCACCATCTCCTGTGGGGGCTGAGTGAATCACCGGCTCCAGAGTGGATGAACAGCACTGGCTGAGGGGCAGGGGCCTGCCGCGGGCATCCTCGGGGCTGCTCCCGGATCCCACCCTGGGCCTTGCCCAGCTGCACCAATGGACAGTTTCTTACTCACGTCCCCACGTGCTTCAGCACCTCAGACCTGCAGGGACTCAGCCGACGCTGGCTGACTTATTCCTAATTCCTTTTCTAACTATCACATGATTCACTCAGCAAGGCTGAGCTTGAAAAGACTGGAATCTACAGGGCCCTGAAGTGCTATTAGTAGCAAGCAATTGCATAACTCAAGGGGCCACGGCCAGGCACTGCGGTGCACACCTATAATCCCAGCACTTGGGAGGTAGGGGCAGGAGGATTTTAAGGCTGACTCTCTCTCTCTCTCTCTCTCACACACGCACACACGCACACACACACACACACACACACACACACACACACACACACACACAGAAGAGGAGCAAAGCTTCTGATTTCTCTTCATTTTGAATTAAGCACACAGGTACTCACCAAAGGTGAGGAAGGTACACACGCAGGTTTATATGTACTATGGATGCACACGTCTCTCTTGTACACTGCTTGAAGCTTAGGGTATTACTCATCATTCTTGTCAATAAGTGCACATTAGGACATTACTTAAAAGCCTGCCCAGTATATGACCACCTCTTCCAGTGACCGCTGGAGCCAAGCAGGGTGTACAGACACAGATCAGGTGTAAAGGGACCCAGCACATGCACAGGGAGATGCAGACCAGAGTGTGTGTCCAGTTCTGTGTGCCCCACTCATAGAGACAAATGCGTGCAGTGGAGAACATTCCCAGTGCTGACCACAGACTCCAGCAATGTGGGGCAGAGAGCTGAGCAGGATGGGCAGTTGGTACAAGGCAGAGACACAAATGCCAACAACCGGAGCGGACCCTCAGTACCCCTTGGTCACAGTCACAGCAGCTCCCGCTGCTCCAGAACAGACTGGTGGGTGAGGACTGCATGGATAGTGCCACCACAGGTAAGCAAAGCTGCCAAGACCCTTCTGCAAACACAGCCACACATCAAATTAAGAAAGCAATTCCACAGCCAGGGCTCTGCCTGGTGATCTTGGTAGAAACCAGACACAAGATACAGGACCCAGGGCTGGAGGGGTGCTGGTCAGAGAGAGGAACCCACACTGCACCTGTTGCTTCCAAACCCGGGGACAGTGCACCCCAGCAGTCCTGGCCTCATACCCTTCATGAAGCCACAGATTGCCAAGCACCACCTCAGCCCTCTGCTCCACACTCATGGACCTTCCCATGCACACACACATGCACACCCCTTATACCTGTGGGCCACAGGTTCCCTTAAACTACTTTAACCCATGTGCTCTACTAAGCCATGTGAGCGTGTGTCCTGCAGAAAGTTTTATACATTCATCGTGTTACAGGAAATTCAGGCAGGACTCGAGTCTCAGTGGAACACTGCTGGGACAGCGCAGGGCTGTTTGCTGAGTGTCCAGAGGCAGAGCCAGCGACGGTCCAGGGGTAGCTAAACTTGTAGTTCTCATTCTCTGCATTTTCCCCTTCCCTCATCCTACTTTACTCTTTGTAAAGGAAAGACTCTCATAAAAAGTCAGAAAAAACTGCAATGGAGCTGTCAGTCCTGGAGACTAGCACCCCACACCCCAACTTTGCTTCTCCTTTTTTTCCATCCACCACCCCTTGTTTTTGGGACCTGTCTCCTCATAGAAACCAACAACATTCATGACCTCTCCCACGTGGACCCACGCATGCCCCTTACCACCAGACGTCCAGTGTGCAGATACAGGCTGCCCCTGAGAACACACCATCACCGAAACGTGGTCCGCACAGACACTGAGACACAGGCAGCCTTGCCAAGGAAGGAAAACGTGACACGAAGTACGACATAGGGGAGGTGAGTGCCGTGCTGAGTGAGAGGCAGCCTGCCGTGGAGGTTCCTGGGGCGGTTTCAGGAGAAGGATGAGCAAGCTCTGGGGACAACCTGCAGATGTGCTCGGCACATGGACAGTGCTCTGCAAAAAGGAGGACTTCTGTGGTCAGTACTTTATCACAGTAAGGACAAAACAAAAGCCACCGTGTCCACAGGAGCAAAGTAGGACATATGAGAAGACCTCTGCTGCTCACGCACTGTTCTCAGGTATCTGCGCCTTTCACATCCTATGCTACGCTGCCTTTGCAAAAGCAAACAGAAGAGAAAACAGAAAAGCAAACAGATGCCTGTCCCAGGGCGGTGGCCGAATGGGGGCTGCCATGGGACTCTGAGCAGAAGCAGACCAAGGCCTGCTCACCCAGCCCCTGCTCTCAGCTCGGGAGACGGCAGCCACCGCCCTGTCCTGTCCTTGCTGCACTGAGATCCGTGTGTCTGAGTTGCTGGACCAAAAGCACCGGCACCAACCAGCACAGTGCCCGTCAGAACACAAGTGCGTCTAGCACAGCCCGGCCTGGCCCGGCCCGGGAGCTCCTAAGGCTAACGGCACTCTGAGGCCCAACTCTCGGCTATGACAATTCCAATTTAATTACAAGTACTTTTTGTCTCAAAGCAATTAAAGACATTTATCACCATCTGCCCCTACCATTACATTTGTGTCAAAAAGGGCTTAGCAACCATCCTCTGCATGCACTCACATGTCCAGGGGAGCGCCCAGAGGTTTAAACACCATTTCCAGGGATTAGAGCAACCTCAGGCTGGGCAGCGGGGGCGGGGCGGCGGGCACTGGTCCAAGCCTGCGCTTGTGGAACAGCCTGGCAGCTGAGTTCCAGCAGAATCCGCCAGCGCGTGGCGGAGTGCAAGGAGCAGCCCTGGTGGCCGTGTCCCTATCTGCAGCATTCTCGGCAAAACCCTTTCTTCAGTACACAGACAGCAGGAAACGACAAGGCGTCTGTGGGCTGCAGGCCTCTCCCAGCCAGGGAGCACCCCTGCTTTCTGCTTCTCCCCTCCACGCTATGGACATCAGTTTCAGGGCCTTAACCAGAAGGCACAAACATTTTTAGCTAGGTGTGGCAGGGCACGCCTGTAATCCTATGGGAGGCTGCAGCAGGATGTCACAAGTGAGGGTCTTGGGCTCAATCCCAGCCCTGCAAAAAATAAGAACAAGAACAAAGCAGTGACGTCCGTGCTCTGCTTCTTCCTTCTCTGTGTCAAAGCATCTCTGGGGCAGGCACAGCTGCTGCACGTTTTGCTGAGAAGCCTCAGCGCTGAGTGCAAAAGGGTGGGCAGGGGCAGATGGTAGGGGGCATCTCCGAGGAGAGCACCCGGGAAGCCCAGGATATGGGCGAGGTGGCTTCCGCAGAACGCACAGAGCAGACCCTCAAGAGGCGTCTGGTCCACCACTTGGCGCACCACGTCCTGCCAAGACACACACTGCCGGGGGGTTTAGGGTCCCACCAAGAAGCCAACTGCCTCCAGCAGAAGGAGGTCCAATCCCGAACTCAGGACACCACGCTGCTTTTCACAGAAACATGAAAGTAGCCAAGAGACACCACACAGAATCACCTTGGAATACAGACTTAGAAATGAATGGCAAGGTGCACTCAGGAGGCTGAAGCAGGAAGAAGCTGCCGAGTTCAAGGTCAGCCTGGGTACGTGGTAAGACCTTGTCTCAGACAGACAGTCAGAGTGACCAATGTAAATGAATGGGAAAGAGGTGCTATAGGCACATGCCAGCCACAAGACAGTGGATACACCTAGACACATGGCTGTGGAGTTAGGGACACACCACGGTGACAGGCATGGCATTCCCACAGTGGGACACGGCGCAGTGACTAGAGCAGCTGTTACTGTGTCTGCACTCGACCTGCACATGGCTCAGAGAAAGCCAGCGCGTGTGTGGGGGTGTGCACACACATGGGCGCGGACTGCCAGCCTGGGAGGCTCTGGCTGCCATGTTCTTCCAAAGGGTGAGACTTCTTGACAGTAAACTTCCTGCAGCCTCTGTTTCTCGTAAAGGTCTTTGGGCTGGGAAAGGTTTCGGTGAGGGTGCTGAGGCTCAGGGCTGTGTCACGAGTGTGATCAGAGGTGACGCTCAGCACGCGCTAACCCTCACTCGGGGCTGCCTGAATGCGACCCCGCAGGTCTAAGCCAGGCCACCCCACCACGCCCTCTGGAACTGAGCCAGTGAAGCACACCGATGCTGTGTCCCAGCAGGGGCAGGGGCAGGAGCAGGAGCAGGAGCTGGGCTGCCAATGCCTCGCCTTGGCAGGTGACCAGTGCGTGCGTCTCTGGCCACTACACCCCAGTGGTGAGGTGACATGGTTTTCCTTCAACATACCTCTACACTGAAAGGGCTCTCCTCCATTTTTCCAACTTCTGCTTCAGGCAGAGGATTTTTCAAGGTTTGCAAAAATAAAGCCGCTTTTCTCTTACGTTCTGCCTGAAGCTGCTTTTCCTTTGATTCCTTGGATGCCTGGGCAAGTTTCTCCCGGGCAGCAGCCGCAAGGCGGTCCTCCAGCTTCTGCTTTGCTAAAGGAGCAACGAGAAAGAGGTGGAGTCGGGAGCAAATGTGCCGGTGACCTTCCACCGGCCTGTCACAGCAGCACAGGCCCCCAGGGTCATTCAGAGAGGAGCACACACAGACGGCAGGCTGGACAGACAGCGGACAAGACACGTCCGCAGAGGAGGAGCGCACAAGCGGGCCTTTCGGGACAGGGAACTGGTTTCCTGGTCAGCAGGATGCCGGGTCCCACACCAGCGGAGGCTGGGAGAAGGGCACCCCTCAGGGTGCTCTCACTATCACCACCACCCCGCCGTGGCCGGCAACGGCTACTCTAGAATGCGCCACCCCGGGCTCAGAGTCTTGGAGCAGACCCCCGGGAAACACAGGTACAGTGCCCGTGCTGGACAGGAAGGCACAGGAGCTGGAGTTCCCTCTCCTAAGGGCTGCTTACATCCGTTTGTGTGTACACAGAAAAAGCAACACAAGAATCCAGAATAGATAAACCCCACAAATACAGTGGCAATGAATTCTTTCTTCATCCCAGAGTGGGGCCAGGCTGTGACCAGGAAGACTGCCATGCTGAGGCCCCTGCTTGCGCCAAGGGCAGAAGGCTCTGCTGAGAGCCAGCCTCCTGGGGGCATCCGCTGACCGGGCTGGGAGTGGGGCTGAGGCTCACCCTGCGGGCAGCACCAAGGTGGGAGCCTCCGGTACAGCCGGCAGTGCCTTAGGCTCCCCGCGCACAGATCACCAGGGGCAGCGGCACCACGGCTGTGCTCCTGAGGAGGGCGGCTCACGGCTCACATGCCTCGCACACACAGCGGCCACATGGCTAAGTGGCAGGCTCGAGATTTCTGGTTTAGTGGCCACATTTCATATTTACTTCTTTTCTGCTGAGAACTTGAAAAGCTAGCGACAAACCTTGCTTTGCTTCTAGTTCCTCTTGGGTAAGCTGAGGCTTCTTTTCCTCGACAACTGCGCAAGGCGGGGCTGCAGCCGGGCTAGTGGTGACAGCACTACTGGAACTTTCTTGGCCCTCTTTGCCTTCTTCATCGTCGTCACTGTCATCGTCTAGCTTGACTCGGTTTTTTTCCAAGGGAAGCAGATCATTTTCTTTGGCCTTGATTGCAAAGCTTATTGGAGCGAATGAAGCTAGTGAGAAAAGGTGACAAGTGTGACACATTTTTAGGGAGCCGGATTGTGGGCAGGACTATCACAGACCCCAGTCCGGCCTGAGCCAGGCAGGCAGCTGTCACCCGCAGGGTCACGGGGCCCTGCCGAGACATCCCTGCCTGGCAGGCAGGCCTGAAGCACACTCAGCAGAGGGCGGGCCAGAGCTGCCATCTACCCGAAACAGGTGGCCTGTGTGGCCACAATACCACCCTGGGCCCGCTGCCTTCAACTGTCAGGTCTTCTCATTGCTGTTTTAAAAAAGCTCATGGCTCCTCCTGTAACTGAGTTTGCACAAACAGGCATATGATGCAGCTGCACTCTAAAAGAGCATCTTTACCAAGGCCCACGCTAACAAAGCAGCCTGTCCTCACAGAGCATGGGCCGCAGAGTCCTTTTCTTTCCTGGTGACACTCTACCAGGTGCCCACTTCATGAATGGCATGTTAGACCAGGCTCGGTGACTGCAGAAAACCAAGTCTGCCATGAAAATTCAGGCAACACAATTTATCCCCTGAAGGGTACGTAAAGCACTTGGGGAGGCTGCAGCCCCACAGGGAGCTCTTCCCAGCCCCACCTCACCCTCCGCAGGCGCTGATCCCGTCTCTTTCAGCCCCTGGCTAACAGCTGCCTGGGTGCAGTCAGTCCTCTCTATGTGTACAGCCCTGAGCTCCCACCTACGGAGGGGACAGAAGCAGCCAGCCCTGGGAACTGCCGGGCACCCCAGAGGAAGCGACTGTGGGAAGTAAAGCCGGGGAGGGCTGAGGCTCGCTGGGCAGCCCCACTCCAGTGCCTCTGCCCTGGGGTGCAGGGACACTGCTGACCCCCACGCAGCATCTGTGTCATGCTGCCTACCTGTCACGGGCAAGCACCCAGGGACACTAGTGCCTGCAGAGGAGCAGGGTGGCCTGTCGGTGTCTGCCTATGTTCCCAGTGGGAGCCAGAGGGCCACCCAGCATGCCATCCTTGTACGTGTCTGATGCTTTCTACATTAAACAAAGTTTAACAAAATGAACCTCTGACTGTCTCAGCAATTCAGTCTTTAATAAACACAGGGTCAAGGAACATTTTAAAAGGGGAGAAAACTTCACAGAAAATGTTAATTAATGAAAACAGTCAAAGTGCAAGACTGAAATATATGCAGAATAGTTGGAGAAACAATTATTCCCACACCATCTCGTCCCTCTGATTAGAAAAGGAGGAACCAACAAGCACAAGTTGGAACTAACGCCCCGTGGCACTCCCCACAGCGCTTCTCCATGCAGTGCAGGCCCACACGCAGCTGAGGCGCCTGCTCGTAGGAAGGAGGCTGAGGCAGGACGCGGCTCACTGGCTCACCAAGGCAAGCACCCTGCCTCCTTGCTCACTGCTGCTGGCCACCCCGCCAACCCTACGGCACGGATGGCAGGACAGACGTCCGCTCAAGGGAGAGAAACACGCTGAAAGCTGCAGCAACTTTCTGGCTGCTCCTGCGGATGTGTGGAAGGCCCTGCCAACAGCCTCTGGTGAAGGGTCTCCCCGAGGTTACTGCAGGGCCGAGCTCCCTCCTCCCACAGCCTCTAAGGTTTCGTGGCTCTGGCGCCCCCTCTCCTGTGCCCAGGGTGGGGGGTCAGGGCTGTGCCAGGCTGACCCCAGCTGTGTGGCTGTGGAGGAACTGGAGCCCCGAGCAAATCCTCTACCTTCCACCCAGAACAGAGCAGGCTGCCACTTCCGAGGGACACTGCGGACCTCTGGGAGGCTGAGGAAACACGGATGAAGCCAGGAGAGCTTCAACCGCGATGCAGGTCGGGAGAGACCTCAATGTCCTTGGCGGGCGTACTGTATGTGTGCAAGTGTGCACGCGCACACTGAGACCACACTTTGGAGTCACAGCTGCTGTTCCACTTTGCTGCCTCGTCTTTCCTCTGAACTTCTCTGCAATGACCACGACCCGCTGCTGCACTGCCCCCGCCCCGGGGCCTGGCTGTGCTGCCCGGAGGGTCCTGAACTCCTGGGCTGGGACACGGGCATGTGGCGCCACTCGAGTGTTCTCCTCTGAGAGGATACTCGCTCCTCTTCCGAGCCACCTCTTCCTGTTGTTTTCTCCGGAGCCCTCAGCTTTCCGTACTGATTTGTAAGAGCACCGCAAGTGAGGGCGGGCGCCTGTGTCTTCCAGGGTCAGCGGTTCCCACCGGGAGCCGCCTGCCACCTCCCTGTTTGCGTCAGACCTCTGAGTCTCTCGTCATGGTTTACGACTTTAGTTTTCATGGGGGGGTCCTCCCTAATTTCCAGATTATAAAAAATTACCTGCTTTTCCTTCTATTTTATGGTTCTTTTTTAACACTAAAATAGTGAATTCATTTGGAGTTGTTCCTGTGAGATATCTTATTAATTTTTGATCAAAGTGCAAAGCCTGTTTCCTCAGCTTCAGTTATCAGCTAAAGATTTCCTTACAGAGCGTTCCAGAGGCTCCCTGCTGAGCTAACTGTGCCAGGAGACAGATGCGGTGCCACCCCGGGTGCCTGGTACGGGGCCCGCCTGCTCATGCCCATCACTGCTCTCCTGCATGGCTGGGTCCACCTGTGTCCCAGCACCTCTGCTGGAGTGGCCGTGGCCGTGGCCTGTGGCCTGTGGCCTGTGGCCTGTGGGCTGAGCACAGAGATGCGGCTGGTTCCCCAGGGTGTGTCTGCACTCCTGACTGCTCCCGAGCCCTTCCCCGACACCTCACACCCTCAGGCTTATGGCTCAGTCTCAACCTCCTTGCTCTTCTTGAACTTACTTTAGCATTTGTTTTCTTTCTTTTTTGACTTTTTCAAGACAGGGCCTCACTGTGCATTCAGGCTGGCCTTGAGCTCACTTTGTAGCCCAGGCTGGTCTCAAACTTGCAACGATCCTCCTGCCTCGGCCTTCTGAGTGCTGGGATGACAGGTGTGTGCTACCACACCCGGCACAGCATGTTTTGAGAGTATTTTTTTCACTGATCTTCAAATCCATTCAAACGCATGATTTTATATATGTAAAATCCTGAGTACTTTAAAAAGCACCTGTGGTGTTTCCTCCTCATCTGCACCTCAGCGTTTGCTTTTTCTCTACTGAATGTGCCCAGTGCCTGGCATTTACCGGTCTTTCCTCCTCCGACTTTTCCTGCTCCCCATCGATGTACCTGACCATTTCCTCCAGTGCCTTTCCTTTCCCTCCTCCCTGGTCCTGGGACCATGCAAGGGCCGTGCAGATGCTGAGGAAGTGTACTGGCCCCTGGGTTCTGGAGCCCAGCATGGGATGTGTGCTTTTCTTTGAATAAAGTCTCCTTTTCTGAGCTGCAGGCTGGGCTTGAACTGGCACTCTCCTGGCGGTCTCCCATGGCCTGGTGCTCACCGGTGCCCCGAGGTGTTGGGAGCACGGACTCCTTTCCGAATGTAGCCTTTGCCATGTGCTCAGCTCTGTGGCCGAATCTGGGGTGCTGCCTGCCTGACTTCTGCTCCGGCACTCGAGACCCCTCCACGTTGGTGCCCTGCTGCCACTTCTCTTCTTCTTGTCCCCTCATCCCATCTGATGGCAGTGTTTTCCACTGAGTTATTTCTTAGCAGTCTTCTGCAGATGGGAGACGCAAGCTGGGCTCGCTTCGCGACAGCTTTGACTATGAGAAACAGGCTGCCAACGAGAGCGCTCCGCTGGGTGTGCTTTGGGAATTTCTCCATGCCCGTGTCATCCGGGCTTCTGCGGGACCTTCTTAGTGTCTTCCCAGAAGAATTAAAAGCATCATACCATAGCAACAGACGCTTGCCATGTTTACAGTGGTACAATTTATAAGAGCTTGGAAACAGTCCCGTACCCTTGGAGGGGGATGAATGGATAAGGAAGATGTGGGGGTGCACACAATGAACTACTACTCCCCACAGAGGAGGACTCGCCTAAGACACTTCTAGCTAAATGGGTGCATCTTGAGAACATACTCAAGTGATATAAATTGGACACGTGTGTAAACATGGTATGCTTTTCTTTGATGTGAGAAACCGAAAGTGTACATAAAGACCAAAATGTGCCACAGATACTGGGAAATAGAAACATGTTCAAATGAGAAGGGCAGAAGGGCCAAGAGAAACATGAGCTAAGCTCCTGTAAATGGAGAAGGGGTGAGGACTGCAGGCTGCAGGGGAATGGGTCCAAAGCAGCAGCAAGGGATACCACGTAGGTACAGACTCCCTGGGATGAATGTTACCGTTAAGTACATCTAAAATGTACCAATTAAAACACAGCAATTCAGCTGAGGAGGTGGGGCGGGCTCTGGCGGACACCGCCAAGTCTGTCCAGCCTCGGGCTCTGGCTTGCGCAGGGATCCTGCGAGCGCGTGCCCCTTTCCGGGTCCCAGCTTCCCACCTAACACCCTCCACATTGACAGTGGCTCCCTGGAGTCAGTGCCCAGTCCGCACTCTTCCTCCCCTCCATGAACCAAGTCCCAGAGCAACTGTCCGGCCCAACGGTGGCCTGGGGGCCCTGCGTCTCAGTCTGCCTCACTGAGAGCCGAACGCAGCCCGACAGGGCGGGGAACCAAGGCGTGTGCCGAGGCAGTGTTCTGCACAGCGACTGCTCTGTGCCCCTCAAAGGCCCCTCTGTGAAGGTAGCGCTGCCTGCCCCTCTCCCGCCCACGGCAGCTCCCTCCCAGCCCCTCTGCCTCCGTCTCCTCCTGCGCCTACCCTGCCCGCGCACCATGTCCAGGTCACCGCGACTCCGCCCTTAGGCCGAGATGCCTTTCTGCACAGTGCTGCTCCTTCCTAGTAGATGACAGGCTGCTCCCTGGCCCTTCTCTGCACACCCCAGAACAGAGCAGGGGGGATGAGCAGCACTGCACACTGGAGGTGCTCTAGGGTCCTCTGAATGTTACCATGCCACTATCTGCACAAATGCAGGTGTGCAGGTCTGCAGAGGATCAGACCATGCTTGAAGCTTTGGGAACATTAGCACTAAAGTCCTCAGAGCAGGTGGCCGTGCAGACAGAGCCAGGACAGGCTGGAACACAGGGCTGCACGGCCCGCCTGTCTGCCCCAGGCCCTCACCTTTCACCAGCTTCCCATCCACCGCACCCTTACTGGATGCTGTCTCCTTCTTCCCACTGGGGCCGCTTCTGCCCGTCCCCTCGGCAGCATCCTCAGGCACACTGTCCTCCCCGGTGTCGCTGGGCTTCTCGGAAGCAGCTTCGGCAGGGGCCTCTTCTGGTGCAGACACAGGCTGCAGAGAGCAGACATCAAACACACGAGTCATGCTACGGCACACTTGTGCCTCTCAGGGGACACGAGAGCCGGGAGGAGGAGGAAGAGCCCACCCTGCACCTCCAGCACCAGGCCTCAACGCCTTCCTGGGGAGCCTGGTTACCGAGAACACTTTCAGGGTCCTGGACTATCTCCAGCACCTGTTGATGGGTCAATTCTCTTCAGTTTGAGCAACTGGACTTAAAGGCTTGAGAAATCGACTGCTAAGCAGGGCTTCTCGTGTGATAACTAGCAGTAAATGTCAGGGTGCCTGTGGAGGGTGGGCTGCATGGACATGGCACTGGTGGGGTCCAGGGTACAGGCAACCCCGGCCCTGCAGCATACAGGGCCAGGTCCGTTTTGGTCCCTTACTCGGCGACCACAACCCAGTGTTCGGACCTGGTCCAAAGAAGCTACACAGAGTTGGCAGCCAAGACACCCAGTGCAGGAAAAAACGGGACCTTTATGTTGGAGTGTGCGGGACAAGTGATCCCCACCCAACACACTGACTCTGAGGGGCCGTGTGAGCGAAGCCAGCCCAGGTCACCTCTGAGAGGCGGGGACAGCACGGACCAGGGCCGTGGCAGACAGCACTGGTGCCAGCTGGACAAGCCCTTCAACATCCTTCCACCTCCGCCAGCGCAGGCTCTCTTGCCTGCAGTGGACCATACCTGTGCGCCGTCGCCCCCTTCCTTCTGCAGGAAGAACTGCTTCTTAAACTCGTAGTAGGCATTGTACTGGTGCCAGGGCTGCAGGAACTGGAACCTGTGGGTGAGAGCAGTCACTCAGCAGGCAGCACGAGGAGCCGTCACCCTATGCTGCGGGAGAGCGCGCTGTGACGCTGTGCAGCTTGCACAGTCACACTTTACTACAGAGGCCCCTCCGTGGGGAGGAACGTGACTTCACTAAGTTTTTTTGCCTTTTTGAGATAGGGTCTCTCTCACTATGCAGTTCAAACTGGCCTTGAACTCAAGTTTGTAGCCCAGGTTGGTCTCGAATTTGCAATAATCCTCTTGCCTGTAGTTCAGGTTGCCCTTGAACTTGCTATGGAGCCCAAGCTGTTCTTAAACTTGAGGGAATTCTCCTGTGGCAGCCTCCTGAGTGCTGGGATTACAGCTGTGAGCTGCCATGCCTGGCTTGTTGGGGGACTGAACCCAGGCACCCCTGGTCCTTATTTTTTATGTTTTGGGACAAGTCTTGGTCAGTCTCTAAGCTTCCCAAGCTGAGCTCTATTTTGTGACCCTCAGTCTCCCAGAGTTATGGGTTACAGATGAGTCCAGATTTTTTAAAAAAAGCAAAATAAAACCCCCAAATCATATTTACCAGACACGCTTAAAACTACTTTCCCTTTGGTGCTGGGAAGGGAACCAGCGCCTTGGCCGCGCTGCTCCAGGACCCCAGTGTCAGGCTCCAGCCCAGCACACGAAACTCTCGCTCTCACCTCTGATCGTTCTTGGCACGGACGCTGGTCTCAAATTTAAGGCCATTCCGAGCGACGTACTCCGCCAGCTTGTCAATCACAGGCTGAATGTCGGGGGGCGGGGGGATGATGGCAGCCACGGGAGCAAGTGCACTGCGGGGCAGAGGCCGGTGAGCGCCTCAGCCCCTCAGGGTCAGAGCCCAGCGCTGGGCCTCTGCACGGCCTCGATGGCCGTGGGAACACCAGAGTCGATGACATCTGTGGGGAGCCCTGAAGACAACAGCTGCCCCAACTTTAACAGGACTAACGCACCACTGTGGATGGTGACGATGGACTCTTACGGGGCACGAGAGCATGGGCAGGCTCAGGCTGCACCTACTGCACACTGCCTACCTTGAGTGACCTCTGGGGAACACACCCAGAGTGGGTCACACAGTACTTCTCTGTCACATGAGCGGCCAGCACAACTCAACACCCTTCCTGCCTGGCTTTCTCAGCACAACTGCCAAAATCACTTCTGCAGGGCACTGGGTGTCTTGCTGGCATTCTGGGACACCTCTGCTGAGTGGAAGACAAAACACTCTGGTGACCACCATGGGTGCCAGCTCATCCTGTCATCATGTGGCCATGAACTCAGAAGTGCCCAGCTTTATGAACCCTGCCTTCTGCTGACCAATGCAGGCCCAGGGCCTACCCAGTGAGGGGTCAGAGGAGGTTGGCCTTGGCGTGAAAGGACACAGTGGCAGAGGGGAGACTCCAGCTCCTGAGTAGCCAGGCCTCTTGCTAAGAATGTTCCTTCTCATTTACTGGTTCTGGGAACTGAACCTGCTGAACTACACTGCTGACCAAGCCTCACACCCACCCTTTTAAAACAAAGTCTTGCTAAGACCCTTGACTGGCCTCAAATTTGTGACCACCCCGCCTCGGCTTCCTGAGGAGCTGGCATCTCTCAGGCAACATGCCCAGTTCTGAAAACTTCCCTGTCTGTCAACCTTGCCCTTAAAGTGTGGGCACCTGAATGCTGCTGCTCCCAGGGGGCTCAGGCTGGGCACACACCTTGTGGTGGTGGTAGTGGTGGAGGTCGTCCCGCTGCTTGTCTCGGCAGTGGTTGGGGGTGGCGGTGGTGTGGTCCCAGGAGGCGGCGGTGCAGTAGTTGTCACCCCGGGGGAGTTGGACACGGTCCCCCCAGCAGGCAGCGTGCTGTAGTAGGTGGCCACGTTGATCCCCGGGGGTGGCGGCGCCAAGCAGTAGGTCCCATCAGGCAGCATGTAGTAGCTGTAGTACATTGCTGCCACGGGTGCTGCAGGGACAGTGGGGTGGCTGAGTGAGGTTGAGGTGGCCTCTGACCCTCCTCACCCAGGCAGGACACAGCACGGCCAGCAACGCCCAGACACAGTCAGGGCTGAGTGGAGGGAGAACGACTGTGGGGATGCCCAGGTGCCCAAGGACCCTCCTGATGAGACCCTGGCCCCCTGCTCAGCTGAACAGGAGGCAGGCTCTCAGGGATTACCGGCTGCCTTGCTCCTACCCAGCGGGGCCAGGTGGGCTCTAGATGGTGTCTGAGGGCACAGCCTGAGCTTGATATTCTCTGGAACCTCCCCTTTCCACAGTGGCCACGGCACCCGCCACACTGATGCTGTCTGTTTGTTTGTTATGCCCCTGCATGACACCCTTGTACGCGGGCACTGCCAGTGTCTGGCTCCCTCGTTCTCAATGGCGGGGTACACAGCTTCTATGCATTTTGTGCACAAAGGTGACACTGGGAGATCTAGGCACATTGGGTAACAGTCAACAGCCTTGCAAGCTCTAGACATTCTTCTGGATGACATTCAAAACCAGCGCCAAACACAGGCTGACGGATGTAACCAGATCCCTATTTGCTATTCTGCTGTAGAAAAGCAGGGTTCTGGCTCCACAGAGTCTAGTTTTTCCTTCACTGGGGATGGCAAAAGGATTTTCCTATGAAAGAACTGTATTTTGATTTATCTTGGTTCACTGGAAACACACAGGCTGATCCTGCACGCCAGGCAGGAGAACATGACAGACGATCAACACCACTGCTTTTATCAGGAACACACGGAGGACGACACTGCTGTCACTCTGGCTCAGGGTCACAGGGATGATGGAGACACAGGATCACCATCCTAGCTCTTTGGACGTCTCCACACTGCCCTCAGCAGAATTCCGGACCCCTAGGCGGGTGGGCGGCACAGGACTTGGAGCCCGTTGCTCACCCAGCACTAAGCAGTGTGTGGGACCAGGTGACACGCAGGCTGGAGCACAGGGGTCTACCGTGAAAGAGGGTGGCTGCCTTCGCTGACACACGGTGTCCTCGGCAGCATGGAATCCCTCCTCCCACTCGTTCCCCAGGAATGATCCAGTGGCCACAGACCTGCCTCAGCAGAGAAAGGTGAGGCTCTTCTGAAGAGCCGTGGCCCTAGCCCTGTCCCACAGGGAGGCTGGGGACACACTCCAGACACATCTCAGCGGGGGGTGGGGGGTGTTGTTGACCCTGCCCCAACCTGGCCTAGGAAACCCCAGGAAATTCCAATTATAGCGTCAACAAGTAAGGCATTCTAGTCCTAGGAGCAAATGGAAATTCCTTGTAATTTTGACCAACTATTGCCTTTTTCTTGGATGGAGTGCGATGCCTGCCCTCTGAGGAGGTACAGACATGGCACAGGGTGGACTCCGGCCCTAGGGCCCCTCCATCCCAACATGCGAACTGTAACGGGAAGGTCCCATCTAAACCGCACTCGAGCTCGCAGAGGGGCCCTCGCCATCTCAGAGTGTGGAAATCAGACAAGCCTGGACTGGAAAGGCCTCCTGGATGGACCTGAGGCCAAGTGCACAGAGAGGAGGGTGGAGAAGCCAAAGCTGAGCATCGTGCCGTGTTCACTGGCAGACAGTCGGCCACACCGGCACTTCAGCACCCTCCTGCCTCCCCCAGGATGCTGTGATCACAGGCTGCAGAGCTGAATGGAACCATAACCCACACGGTGCCACATGCCTGTGATCCTGGCACTCGGGAGGGAGGCTGAGGCAGGAGGATTGCTGGGAGTTCAAGGCCAGCATAGACTGCTCACTCTGTAACAAACAAACAAGGCAACCCCCCAAAGATGGATCTGGAAAGAACTGTAACTGCTAAAGGGGAAACTGAATCACAGCTAAAAAGAAACAAGCGCACATTTTCAGAGGACACATGTAAGAGGAACCCACGATACTGGAGTTTGTGTCTGATGTTCTTCACTTGGGGTGCCTGTATGCCACCTAGGCTGTCCACGAGACCCACGCTTCAGCATGGCTCTCAAGTAGCTGGGCAACAGGCGCTTGGGCCGGTGCCTTGCCGGAGCTGGGTGTAAGCAAGGTAAACGTGATGTCTGATAAAGCGAGGGAGGAATCTCGGTGCCCGCTGTGGTCTGAGGTGCAGGGGCTCAGGAAGGGGGTGCTGATGACTGTGCTGGAGCCCCGGAGCGGGCGGAGAAGTCACTGAGTGCCTCCCGAAGCCCCCGCTGCTTTCCTGAAGGCCAGCTCGGGGAGATAAGCAACCTGTGTCTGTGGAAGGTTGCACACAGCTTGTTTAAGCTGCATGGCAGAAAATTTGGCATTATTTTTTAAGACAATAAAAGGGTTGACCCCAGGGCTCTACATTGAGCCCTAGCCCCAGCATGCTGTATCTTGTACTTTGAGACTGGGTCTTGCTAAATTCCCCAGGCTGGGTTGAACACGTAAACCTCCTGCCTCTGCCTCCCGGAGTGCTGCGATGACAGGTGTGTTCCACCGCTCCTGACCTCTGCACACCTTCCTAACGCACAGCTCTGACAATCTGAGGGACGCTTTTCATGTGTTTGCTGGTTTGGTGCCAGCTCCTTGCCTATAGTTTTTCCCAGTTCCCAGAGGGAGGGACCATCCCTCTGCTCCCATCCCCAGCCAGGTCCCCCTCCCTGCCAAGCCTCTCTGCCTCCCTTCCCAGATCTCTAAATCATCTAGTTGACAGGCATCCTAGAGCCTGTCTGAGCTCAACAGCTTTAAATCACATCTACTCTTGATGACGTAGAAATTCTAGTCCTCAGCCTGCCGTGCCTGGGTGTTGGTGCCCTCTCAGCACCCCATCCAGGTGGCTCTGAAGTGCTGGTGTGTGGGAAGCCGCCTATGAATGGCGCCCATTTCCTGCTTCCGGATTCTTCCCGGCCTGAACAAGCCCGCCAAATTGTCATATCTGCCCAGTTACCCGTGACGCTAGCCTATCAGCTTGTTAGGCGCGCTTCTCTGTGATTGGATACTGCTTCCCCTTATAAGAGGTTGTTCCTGCCCCCAACGGCGGAAGAGGAAGCAACACTGAGGGTGGCGGACCTTGTCAGGTCCGGTTCGCTGTACGTAATAAAGTTTGAGAGCTGATCCTGCTCGAGTTTGGTCTCCTGTCTCCCGCGGCTCCGGTCATCTGGTGGCCCCCGTACGGGGAAAAAGGTAAAAGACTCAGCGACGTGCCTCTTCGGCCGGGAGGTGCGATTGCTGTCGCCTGCGGTACGACGGAGGACCTGGCCCAATAACAACGGAAGGCCGCGAGCGCCTCTTCTCTTCACCCTGATCAGCTACGTGAGATACAGCGGTTCCCGGGACAGGTGAGTACTGGGTCACCTGGGTTGGGTGGACGCACCTAACAGATTTTGAGCGCCACACGAGTGGACGCTGGTTTTTTTTTTTTTCTTTTCTTTTCCCTTTATACAGCCCGACAGGCTTTTGATAGAGCTCGATTGGAATGCTCAGAGGAGCCCGGAGCCACTGCCGATTGTGGGTCTCCGGAGGACCCTCAGGGCTCTAATTCTGATTCGGATTTGGAAGGCTCAGAAGAGGAGGTCGTCTTTGCTAAGCATGACCCTCCTACACCGTTAAAAGAGGAACTTAGGGCTCGGGAAGATAAAAAGGGGAACCAAACACCACCCTGCCCGAGCTACTCCGCCTTACGGGAAGACCTTAAGCCCTTCCGCCCTTTGGCAAGTTCGCGACCCACGATCACCCCCTTCAGGGCGCCAGGCCCCACTAAGCCCTTCCGCCCTTTGGCAAGTTCGCGAATTCAGGGCTCGGGAAGATAGCACCGCCGTGGCCGGAAGAGGAGTTGCTCCCTGGGCTGCCACCACAACCTATGGCACCGCCCTGGTTAGAGGGAGAGCTACTTCCTGGGTTGCCTTCTGCGCCCCCATCTGGGGAGGGAGGAGGACGTTCCTTCCACCAGAGGGTATGGTTGCGGCTTCCCTTTGAGTGTTCCGGTCTCCATGCATTCCCGGTACAAGTAGGAGGCAGGGGAGGAGGAGGATATTATGAGCCCTTAGAAATTAAACAACTTAAAACTATCAAGGACGCAGTTTCAGCTTATGGGCCCAATGCGCCATTTACCATGGCGCTTTTAGAGGCATTGGCAGGTCTGCTTTTAACTCCTGGAGATTGGACTCAGCTGGCACGCGCCTGCCTCTCCCCCGGACAATATTTAGATTGGAAGTCCTGGAATGAGGAATTCTGTGTAGAGCAGGCGGCAGCCAACAGGGAAAATAACCAGAGAGAGTGGAACAGGGATATGCTATTAGGGCGAGGAGCCTTTGAGGAAGATCAAACTCAATACCCTCGCCAGGTTTATGAACAAATTAGCCGCTGTGGCCTCCAGGCCTGGAGACGGCTGGCTGGAAAGGGAGAACATACGGGTCACCTTACAAAAATTATACAAGGGCAGGGAGAGCCATTTTCAGACTTTGTGGCCCGCATGCTTGAGGCCGCTAACAGGATTTTTCCAGATGCTGAGGCGGCTCACCCTCTCATAAAACAATTGATTTTTGAACAGTGCACTAAGGAGTGCCGTGATGTCCTAAGAACTAACAAAAATAGGTCCTTAGAAGAGTGGACACGCCTGTGCCGTGAATTGGGTGGCCACGGCCTAACGCCCAAAGGAAGAATATCATTGGCACTCTTTACCATAAATTTTTTAAACCTTAATCATAATAATCATTCCCCTGCCATGGAGCACAATAACCCGTCCCCGGCCGACAAAGGGCTGGTGAGATGGAAAGATATCCTTACAGGACAATGGATGGGCCCGGATCCAGTGATTAGCTGGACCCGAGGTGCGGTTTGTGTCTTCCCACAGGAACCAGGCTGCGAACCGCTGTGGGTCCCGGAAAGATTGACACGAGTAGTAAACTCCCCACCAGTTCCTGATAAAGCACAGGAGGATAAGCCCGCGGACACAAGTCAACTCGACCCTTCTGGGACCGACGCTCAGCGCCCGAGACCATCTACAAACTAAAATGT